GATACTAGTCTAGACAACTTGTACAAAATATATATGTCGTAAGTTACAAGATGGGCACCACTCGACACGAGGAACCAAAAAGTAGCTAGCCCACTAAAGAACAGAAATGAGGCACAGTATATACACGATTACACGTCGGCTGGAAGCAAATTTCACTGGGAGAATCATGTACCGCAGTAGACACGTTCACAAGACAACAAAACAAAAGAAAAATATTTACATGACATGAACAATTGAACATGAAAGAGCGACACAGTATCCAAGTACAATGGACTTGATGGAAACAAATCTTTCCCGATCGGACTGCTTGAAATGGACCATTGGATTCTGTCGTACACTGATTGATACTCTCCTATAAACTGACTACTCTTATATCCAATAGATTGACTGGCAGGCTTTGGGAGCAAACTCCACAATAAACATCTGAATCTGACTCAATCCATCCAGTCTCCACCATGTAAAATTTACTTTACCTTGGAAGATATCTATAAACTCCATGAATGGTGGGTGGGTCCCTACAACAAGGATTGGTGAGAATTTTGCAAATGTCGTCTGCGTCCGCGTTCGCGTCCTAAATCTTGTCATTAATGCAATGTGAACTTCATATGCATTAACAATGAGATTTACTTACAAACACATAAATGACTCACCGTAATATATCTCAAGATTGAAATTGAGAATCATTCAATGCATGATCTCATTCATTCTAATGGGTTGTTGGAGAACTAAATGGATAGCTCATAAGGACATTGTAATTTTAGGGGTCATGAAAGTCGATCATTCAATGAAAAATTAATGTGGAGATTTTGTTATCTTTCTTGATTTTCAGGTGAATATTGCAAATCATACACGTCATCTCACAGGCCAGCTAGAAAGATACGAGGGGGTCCATTTCATTGAAGAATATACTCTCCATGCCATGCTCTTAATTATCACTGTTGAGTAAAGCACCACCATCAGCAGACAGTATCATGTTACGGGATCTATGAGCAAGTTGCTCATGTGGGTTTGTTTTGTCAAACTTGTACTTGAAGATTATTTTCCTCCCTCATCACGTAAGTATATATACAATTAGCCACCACTAAAAGATTGTGTATATTCACACGAGATGATCAGTTTTATCATGTTGTTAGACTATGAATCTGATGAAATATTAATATGTTTTTTTGTTATGTTGTTAAATTGTGAATTTTGACCTAAATATCATAGTTTAATAAAATAAGCATATTCTATTGCAAAACTATCCGGCAACAAACCAGTACTACATCTTCTATTGCAAAACTATCTGGCAACAAACCAGTACTACTTTGTCGTCGTGACAACTTTTCATCATCACCTTGTATACCTATACATATACATCGATCGATGAGCTGTCCTGCTCAAAGTTCATGGTTCATTCACGTACGTATATGATTGAGTATAGTACGTGGGAGAGAGCAATGGAAATTGTATACATGACAAGAGATTTTGGCGTGGTTGGTGTGCATAAGCCATGGTTTTTTGTTTCTTTTGGACCACGTGATCTTGTGTGCCAATTGACTTAGATCCCCATAAAGATTTGCAGTATCTTAGATAGTCCCCCCCCACGAGGCCTATATTCATGTTTGTCTGCAAATCTCTCTCTCTCTCTCTCTCTCTCTCTCTCTCTCTGAGTGTATATGTTGAAGAAGCGTATAGGATCCACAAACTCGACGTCTGCATTGCCATTTCGTTGTTGGAACGGATAGGCAAAGTCTTGAGATCCTCTCGAAGAAAACAATTTGACAAAATGAGTCCAGATTCGTATCTGCTGGACAACCAAATATTTATATTAATGTTTTGGTGAAATATGATTGTCACCAACACTAATTGATATACATAACTGGATCCGTCAAAGTCATCATATAGTTCATGGTCCATGACTTGACCTTGGTCGATTGAGTTTCATGAGCTACTCCATATTCATATTCATATTGACTCAAGAGTCACCTCATTGCACGCTTAGAAGGTCACCCATGTAGATCAATACTATGCTTAACTTTAGTGTGTGTGTGTGTGTGTACATATATACAATCCAAGTGTGCTAGCCAATTCAACTTAAAACAAAAGGAAATGAAGTATGCAAAGCCTGTCTTATTGTTAGGTACCAAGTGTGTATATGTTAACTTCAATAGGGACCACATATATGAACTCTCGGGTTGCTCAAAAGACAAGATCATTCACGTTCACGTGTGTAGGATCACTTAAGAGAGAAAGGCATGCATATTTCATATGAAGAGGACTTTGTCGACTGTAAATTTCACATATATGTGAACTCTTGGATTACTTCAGATTCCGAACATCATACTATTTTTTTAGATAAACATAAGAGGGTAAATTACAAAACCAAATACTAGGGCGATCTCGTTTGGAAGTAATTCTAGATAGGCCAGAATCACTTCGCGTTTGGGAGTGATTCTCCATATAATCACTTTAAGTGATTCTAAGCAAAAGCACATCTCATGTGATTATCTATAGAATCACTTAAAAACTACTTAATCACTCCCGAACGAACCTAAAGTAGACAAAGAACCCTATTAACTTCCTGGAATGTTCTATAACCACATGACAATCACTCAACATATATAATTAAAAATTGGAATGTTCTATAGTATTGTATTCAATCCCTTCCATTTTACAAGCTCGGGTACTCATTATTATTAAAACAATATATATCGTTAATTGAGATTCTAAGTTTTAGATCCCCCATTAGATCTTTAAAAGTTGCTTATGAATTCTTAAAATGCCCAAAAGATCATTATTTCGGCATTTTCTTGGTTTTATATAACATTTTTTCGCCTAGAGGCTATAGGCTCCAAAAAAAAATAGAATATAATAATACAGCCACCCCTTTCTGCCTTGTTTTTTTCCCCAACATATATCGTCCCTTTTAGGTAGAAGACCTAACTATTACTGTTTATGCATGTGGGAATGTATGCTTAGTTGTTTTCATGAAGTTTGTTGATTTTATATATATTATTTATCCCTCACCACAGTAACCTAATTAACTTGACAACCTATCAACTTATATGTACACATCCTATTCGCTAAATTTAGTTAGTGATTTAATAACATTAATTATATTTTAGTTGTCTTAATTAGGGATATGTTCAACATTACATATTGAACTAATATATATATATATATATATATATGTGGACGTCATGCATTTTCTACTACTCCTTTCTGTTTTTCTCTCTGTTTATAATGACATTCACACGATAATAACATTCGGACATCTCTGCATAGGAGAAATATATTATATATTGATAAAATATGAATGCATGGGTCATATGCATATATGGACCAGAATATGGTGGAAGGTCTTGCCATCCGATAGCTCCTCCTACCTGTGAGATCTATAGGTCAAAGATTTATCTGTTGAATTTTAATCGGTATATTTGTTATAGTCCAACATACATTATTATTCCAATCAAAATCTTTGCTTGCGACATCGCCATATCTTTGGCTATATATATAAGTTCCATGACGTTGCAAGTGTACAACCTGACCAAAGAACAACTGTCCAAGTACAATATATATAAATATATATAGAATATTAATAAATTACGATATGGTTCATTCTTTTATATATAATAATGTGTGTATATATATATATATATATATGTTTCTGTTGCAAAGCATCAATTTTTTAAACTTGAAGTAAACAGGCAGAGCCAAGTTTTGGTGAACTCATACACTAGATTCTCCGGTGTGCATGGCATGCAGTTGTTTTCTTGCTATTTTTTTAATGAATGCATGCAAGACGCTGCAAATTTTCTTGATTTTTTTTATTCGAACCCATACGCACTATACGGATGTCAAGACTCAAATCTAGAATTCTTCCTGGAGAAATAATTGTTCCAAACCACTACAATAATAGTGAGTTAATTTGTAATGCAATAATGTTGCGACTCACATATGTTATAGAAGTGGAACTTATTTTATGCGCATTTTATTATGCCAAGTTATTATATATAAGCAGGGGTAAAAATTGAAGCTGCTTCCGAAAATATTATGAAAACGTTTTTGGATTGGCTTTGTTCTCTTCTGAGAGTACATGTATGTAATTATGCCATTGAAACAGAAACAGAAACACCATGGCTGCTTATAATTATAGCCTTATTTGACTTTTACCCATCACTTGTAGCTCTAGATACACACAAACAAATCTTATGTGGAAGAAAGTTTGTGATTTTGTCTCCCACATTTTTTTGGTGACATATTAAATCCATGAATCTCAATATAATCTACCGATTGGCTAAACTCGTGAAACTCTCCACTCTAAACCCTCAAGGGAAAATCTCAAACTAGATCCTTTTGATGATTCTCAAATTTGACCGCCATCCATGCTTAAATAATAAAAAAAACAAAAAAACAAAGACCTTCTAAATAAACAAATAACTATAAAAATTGACCAAACTTGACATTGCTTGACCTAAGATCAGAATCCAACGGCCGAAACGCATCGGGTTTGGTCTTCATGTTGGCCCACATGTGAAGAAATCTGAACCCTCCAAATGGCCCACAAGATTAATGGAGTTGGAAATCTGTGGGTGCCATGCCAAGGAATCTTCATCGAACATCATGATTTCTAACGCATACAAAAAAGGCATACCAAAAACTCATACCAAAAACGCATACAGAACGGGTAACAAACAAGTAGTAAAACCCTTTTTCTTTTCTTTTCTTTTTCCTATCTCACACGAGTAATTCATGACGTTGGAAGAAAAAGAATAATCAAATCCAAGGCCTCGTCCTTGCGTATCTTTGAAAAAGATAATGCAACAAGTTAGGCCCCAAACACGACGTCGTTTCGAGGTTTCCACTCTGGTTGGTTCTCATGCAGCCTCATTTCCCTATATATACATATATGCACATATCTTCCCCCTTCATCTCAAACACCAACAAGCACTCCCTTCTGTTCCTTCTCTCTCTCTCTCTCTCTCTCTCTCTCTCTCTCTCTCCCAAAAAAAAACAAAATGGGCGAGAAGTTTCCAACCCCAACACTTTTGATAGTCATATTCTTCATTTTGAGCCGTCTGATCTCAACCATCGGGTACAGTCTTCGTGATGATCCTGAGTCCATTAGATTAGCTTCTAGTGATTATGGCCACATTCTCAGAGAAAACCCAGCAGCTGTTTTGTACCCAACCTCCATTGATGAAATTTCAAGCTTGATCAAATTCTCAAACCTTATTTCCACCCCCTTCAGCATAGCTGCTAGAGGCCATGGCCATTCCACCATGGGACAGGCCATGGCCCCAAATGGGGTTGTGGTGGACATGATGTCCTTGAAAAATCACCACCCTTCTCATGCCTCTGGGATTGTTGTTAACACTTTTAATTTAAGTGTTAATAATAATAATTATTATGCTGATGTGGGAGGTGGTCAGCTTTGGATTGATGTGCTGCATGCCACATTAGAACATGGACTTGCACCGGTCGCGTGGACCGACTACTTGTACTTAACCGTCGGTGGGACCCTCTCCAACGCCGGCATCAGCGGCTCGGCTTTCCGGTTTGGTCCTCAGATTAGCAATGTGTATGAAATGGATGTCGTCACTGGTATGAGTTTGTCCCTTTTTTTTTCTCTTTTGTTTGGTTGCTAATTCCCTTATTAGCATCTCCATATTTTCTTAATATTTTTGTGTCTCAGCATGATGACAACTTTGTAGCATACTAAGATACAAAAAAGTTGTTGAGAAACATGAAATGTACAGTTGTTTCCCAATGCATTTATTCATGTTTGAAGCTTGTTCTTTGGGGGCCCCACACGTTTGGAAAACCCTTTTAAGATAAGTTCACACACCCCACCAGCTGATCATGAATCATGATCATCTCACTACAGTTAATTAATCAGTGATTAATTAATTAGCAAGTTATCATTCTAATTAATTAGGTTTGTTTTATTTTCCAGGACAAGGTGATTTTGTGACTTGCTCCCCACAAAACAACTCTGATCTCTTCTTTGGGGTCCTTGGAGGCTTAGGTCAGTTTGGGATCATAACCAGGGCAAGAATTGCCCTAGAGCCGGCTCCAAAAAGGGTACGTGTACGGCTTCAGCAGCCGGCAGACATTCATATAAAATCTTGACTTGGACTTTCTCTTTGGTCATAAATATTGTTCCCATTTCAACATAAACAGACAAATCCGAATTTGTTAGGCTGATCAACTCAATTGCACTTTTTCAACTTTGTTTTTTTCAATTCAAAATGACTTGTCTATGTTGCTTAAACAGGATCACAACAACCATCACATTAATCTCTCCTTTTTTGATTCTAAACTTTCCCCTTTTCTTTTGGGTTTGGTGGTGGAATGGAAGCCCGTTAACTCGAGAAATTATAGAATACTACTGTAGTATGGTCATGTGGTACATCTTATAATATGAGTGGACAATATAGTATCAATAAATATCCACTTATATTAACACGTGTACAAGATGTACTGTGTGCCCGAACTAGCGTAGTATTTTATAATCACTCAATTAACCCCATTAATTTCTCCTAACATAAGCTATGATTTTTACATGATTAATTATATATTAATTATGTCTCTGTCAATTAAATTTGGTGATCAATTTGTTTGTAGGTTAAGTGGGTGCGAATGCTTTACAATGACTTCTCGGCATATGCCAGAGACCAAGAACGTTTAATTTCAGTCAATGGAAGGAAACAAAGCAATGCCCTTGATTACTTAGAAGGTTCACTTCTAATCAACCCAGGGTTCCCCGAATAATTGGAGATCCTCCTTTTTCCCACAATCCACTTACTCGAGAATTATTTCTCTTGTAACCAAACATGGCATAATCTATTCCCTGGAAGTTGCCAAATATTATGACCAACACACTGAAACGACAGTGGATAAGGTACATGTGCATCCCCATATATGACACCAACATTCTACCTTGTAGTAAATTGATGGTGTCAAATCAACAAGACCCCACAATCTAGTTTCAATGTAATTTTTTTTTTTTTTTTTTTTTTTTTTTTTTTTTTTTGTTTTGGGGGGCACCGGAACTTGAACTTACTCAAAGGGTTGAGTTTTCTTCCTGGATTTGTGTTCGAGAAGGATGTCGCCTATGTGGAGTTTCTGAATAGAGTTAAATCTGGAGAGGAAAAGCTTCAGTCACAAGGACAGTGGGATGTTCCTCATCCATGGCTGAATCTCTTTGTTCCGAAAAGTCGCGTCTCGGATTTTGATGCAGGTGTGCTTAAGGGCATTCTTCTTAAGCGAAACATTACCACCGCACCAGTCCTCCTTTACCCAATGAACCGGACCAAGTAAGATTATAAATTCCTATAATTTATACAAACATTATAATAAAAACTATTTCAGACTAACTACATGTCTTAACCCCGAGTCTTACTCATCGCCTCTAATAAAGATGAGACTCACTTATCTTTTATCAAAGAAGTGTCACCAAAATAACTAGTAAATAAAATATGGTACAAATAGCAAGTCGAGTTCTCTTTGTATTATTTTGGAACTCGAATTAATAACCTTTGGAAACTAAATGCAGATGGGATGATCGGATGTCAGCGGTTGTGCCCGAAGAAGAAGTTTTCTACACCGTGGGATTTTTGCATTCAAGTGGGTTTGATGAGTGGGAGGCACTTGAGGAGCAAAACAAAGAGATACTAAAATTTTGTGCTGGTGTTGGTATAGAGATTAAGCAGTATCTTCCCTACTACAAAACACAACAAGGTTGGATGAACCACTTTGGCTCAAAATGGAAAACCTTCCAGAAGAGGAAAGCTTTGTTCGACCCCAAGAAAATACTTTCACCAGGACAAAGAATTTTCAACAAATAACATATTATTTAGTAAGCTAGTATTAGTTTAAATTAATTAGAGTTCATATATAAGTTTACCAATAATTATGTGGAAGAAGAATTGTAAGGTACCCTTGGGCGTGAAGATTATTAGCATTGTAAAATATTATTTGGACTTTTAAATTAGTATATTTCAGATCATTTTGTTTTTTTCTTCTTTTGTTTTATTATACTGTCATCAAATCAAGGATATGAAGTTGGTGACTGCCCTTGTGCTCCCGGTACACTTCAGTAGTAGTACCATGTGAGATTCCTGCCACCGTGCCACGTATGCCATATAGAAAAAAGTTAAAAACAGGTTGGATTTGGAAACCCTCTTTTAACATCTTCTTGTAAATGGTATAGAGGTTAAAATAGAAGAGGATTATCGGCTTATGCAAATTAATGGCCGAGTAATGTAAAAAAGGACGGTGCTTAATTTCAACTTGCCAATCCAAATATGGGACCCCTCTTAGGATTTGTTATGAGGCGAAACATCTCTCACGTGCTACTCCGTATTATCATTTTAAGTTATTTTTAGTGATTATGAGAAAAACACATCTCATGTGCTTAGCCATAAAATCACTTAGAAATGATTCTCCATATAAGTGATTATTGGTCTATCTAGTATCACTCTCAAACGAGCCTTTGACCTCTCGATTAAAATCGATCTTCTCAATCAATTCCCTGCAAAATCAATTCATGGCCAACAACAACAAAATTCATCCTTAAAATTCTTAAATGTGACCAACCAACCTAAAGGAGTGATTTTACACAAGAATTTCTCCATCCAAAATTACACAAATGTTTGCTTAGAAATATATGAAGAAATAAATATTTAGTGTGTGTATATATGTTGGTGTTATTATCCCATTTATCATGCGAGGCCTAAAGACAGCTAAATTTTGTGAATAATTAAAGTGCAAATTGGAATGTTTCCAACTCTCATCGCAGCCTTGAGGCAAAGCAGGAGACATTGGAAAGTAATTAGAATGAGTATGTTTAGTTTTCCCACTTACTATTAAATTTCCCAAACAGAAGAAAAGCAAATGAGCCGAGGATATTATTAGATTCTGTCAGCATAAAGGCATGAAATAATATCCAATAAAAGTTCCCGTTTTCGGAAAGAAGACACCGTCCTTCACCTTTGCAGCTTGCACTCGTGCCCTCCAATTTGCGCTTTCTCACGTAAGACAAGCCTGGATAAGGCTTTAACTTTTCCCTTTTGGTTAAGCAAAACGCTTTGTTAGATGCCTGGTCGGTGATATAATAATAGAATAAGTGGATTTAATTATTCTAATTGAACGAGTTTAACATACGATATATATACAACCGACACATACAATAATTCTTTTACAACAATTGTTATTTTTACCTAGAATCAATTAAATGTGGGGTTTTAGAGAGTTTGAGATTCTTAAATGATAATTCGTTTAATTTCCGTTGTTATTTTTAATGGATATCATATATGCTTCATCTAAGAACATCTACAGTCACCTATTTTAAGAGGTGGACAGAGAACATAATTGGAGTACTACATTTTATTTAACGAAATGATTTAGGGAGGGAATACGAGTTTTAGAGTTTGAACTTCAAAATTTACGAACTAGGATACAAAGATAATATCCCATTTTCAAATAGCCACTAGTTGCTACCTTACTTTATATATATATATATATATGTGTGTGTGTGTGTGTCATTGTAGCAAAGTGACAAAAGCCCGACATAATTATCATGTTTACTAAAATTAAGGGGTAGTTTTTCTACTTTGTGGTGGCCTCAGAATGAGCTAAGTGCACGCACATAATATTAATTTATATTCTAGAACTTGGCACTGTACTAGGTCATGTCCGATTCAATTGCAGCTTGCAGGCGACTAGGAGACATGAAAAGGGCCTCCATCAACGTATGTGTTGTGTTCAACTGCTGTCTTCGTTGATTTTTGCTAGACAAGATCCAGACATTCACACTGTGTAAATTATTATGATCTTCAAAAAGTGAAGGAAAAAAAATAAAGCTTTTATTAATTTATATATACAGAAGACTTTAGTCACATGATGACTGCCCCCCCATGGCTTCGCAGCAGCTACACTAAAAATAATATAAAAAACCATCTCATCAAAATATGATAACACCAAAGGCTCCACTAATGAAACCAATCAACTATACTGCCTAAAGTGAGTTAGGCGTACTGTATCCATCCTCTTGCTCTCGAGTTCGAGTTTTATTTCCGCAAATTAGGGTAGTTAAGAGAAAACAAAAAGCTCCATACTAAATGTTGTTGAAATTTTGAATGGGCTCAGAAATAAGTTTGAGTTCAGTCCAAATTATTCTGGCCCATCAACAAATCTAATTTGAAATATGGAGCCTGGGCTTTTGCTTGAAACTCACCAACCATGGTTTTGAGCCCAAAGTCGTATCCTCGGTCTGGTCTGGTATATACAAGGCTAAGATGCTCAACTTCTCACTAACAATGGCGCTGCCACTGTTTTCAGCGAACCCATCTACTACCTGTTCCTCTACTTGCAGTTTCCATGCACCTCATCCTCCGTGCTTTCTTCTTCTACATCATCAAACCCATTCTTTCAAAAGTTGCAGAGCTCTCAGGTTCAGAGTTTCGTGTAAGACTGTTCAAGTTGATACCCAGGAGCAGCCCCAAAGAATCAAAGTAGCTTTTGAGGCCACAAGGAAGAAAAGGAAGCCCAAGCCAAGCTTCTTCGAGCAAATTCAGGACAAATGGTCAATGAAAGTCAATTCCCCAAGAGACAAATTTCCCTGGCAAAAACAGAATGAACTAGTACAAGAAGAAAAAGGGGAGGTGGAGGAGGAGGACGAAGAAGAAGAAGAAGAAGAAGAGGTGTTTGAGCCTAAAATAAGCAGACAAGAGGAAGGTCAGAAATGTTATGGGGTACGTGTGGCTGAACCAGTGAATCAGAAAGTGAGTTTTTCTTTGCCAAACCGTATTATTTATGCTCCTTGGGCTCATGGTAGCAAACGCATTACGCCCCAAGTTGATTCTGAGCCTGAAACCTCACAACACAGTGGTGCACAAGGAAAAAATCTTGATGGGTTTGCTGGGCATTCTGAGATTGATACTACAAGTGGTGCCGTTAAAAAAGAGAAAAGCTTTGAGCGACGATTTGATAGTAATAGAAAATTGGAGAGAGAAAGGGTTGGGGAAATTGGTATAATTTCGATTGGGGTTTCGAAAAAAGAGGAGAAAATGATCTCAAAAGGCTTAAATGGCGTTTCTTTGGATGAAACACTATCTGGGGATGGTGAAAATTATGAAAAGGTTGAAAACTTTGTGTATTCTGGCAGTGGTTCTATTCGGTTGCCTTGGAAGAGAGAAAGTGAATTGAGTTCTGAGGAAGGTGATAAGACAAGGAAAAGGAGGAGCAACACGGAATTGGCGGAGCGAATGCTTCCGGATCATGAGCTGCGGAGGCTGAGGAATGTTTCTCTGAGAATGCTGGAGAGGATAAAAGTTGGAGTTACTGGTATCACACAGGCATTGGTGAATACTATACATGAGAAGTGGAAGATAGATGAAGTGGTCAAGTTGAAGTTTGAAGAGCCATTCTCACTTAACATGAAAAGGACCCATGAAATTTTAGAGGTTAGTGTTGGTACATTGTTTGCTCTGTTTGTTATCTCTTTCCTCACATTGTGTAGAATTATTCAATCAATTTTGAGGTTTCGATGATTAAGTGATACTTAACTGACATGTATTATCAAAATTATGTTGAAATGGAGATGCATTTATGATATTTGTCATAGGTAGGCTATGCTCTCTCTTTGTATATTAAGATGTTTGCAAGAATTGAGGCTGCTAGCAACTTATTTGGGTTATCTTTTGTTCTCTGCCAGAGTAAAACTGGAGGTTTGGTTATATGGAGATCAGGCAGTTCAGTAGTGTTGTACAGGGGAATGACATATAATCTTCCGTGTGTACAAACATATGCCAAACAGAGTCAGACTAATTCACATACGTTGCAACACTCAGAAAATGCTACCAGTGATAGCATGCACAATGTAGGTGTGAAAGATGTGTCTAGGACTACAGATTTTCCAAGTCTTGAGTCCGCAGAGTATTTGAAGGATTTATCTCAACGAGAACTCATGGCCTTGAATGATCTAAACCATTTGTTAGATGAGTTGGGTCCACGGTTTAAGGATTGGATAGGCCGTGAGCCATTGCCTGTGGATGCTGACTTGCTTCCTCCCGTGGTTCCTGGATATAAAACTCCCTTCAGACTTCTCCCTTATGGGTTTAGACCTTGTCTAAGAGACAAGGACATGACAAAATACCGTAGGCTTGCTAGAACTGTGCCTCCACACTTTGCTCTAGGTATGTAAGACCTACTGCATATGATTGTATTAAATTACGAAATCTTGTTTTCTTCACATATTTCGTGTATGATAAATTGTCATAGGAAGGAATAGAGAACTGCAAGGTCTGGCTAATGCTATGATGAAGCTTTGGGAGAAGAGTGCTATTGCCAAGATAGCCATCAAACGTGGAGTACAGAACACATGTAATGAAAGGATGGCAGAAGAACTAAAGGTGAGACATAATGTCCATCTACTTCTTGAATATCAAGACGTTTGCATATTTACTTACACTACCATACATCTTGAATGTACATTTCATGCTTTGTTTCCAGCTTTTGGAGGCTGTTGACCTCACTTCATTTTCTAGCAGCTGCTCTAATTCCATCTACCCTCTGAGTTATGGATTCTGAATACCCATTTTTCTTATCATCTCTATTGCTGATGAGTGTTGCATTTTATATGTGCAGAGATTGACAGGGGGTACACTTCTCTCTAGAAACAAAGATTTTATCGTTTTTTACAGGGGTAATGACTACTTGCCATCTGTTGTCACGGGGGTATTAGAAGAGAGGAGAAAATTAAGAGATCTCCAACAAGATGAAGAAGAACAAGCACGACAAATGGCCTCAGAGTATGTTGTGTCAAACTCCAAAGCTTCTGAAGGCCAATTTGTTGCTGGAACCCTTGCAGAAACCATGGCAGCAACCACCCACTGGAGAAACCAACTGACCATTGATAAAGTCAAAAAAATGAGAAGAGATTCAACTTTTGCTAGACATGCATCTTTAGTCAGACACCTCGAGAAGAAACTGGCTCTTGTAAGTAAAAAATGCAGTATGTCTAAGTGTTGTACATCAAAAATCTGGTGCGCCAGAAAAACTCTCTTTTAGGAATTTCAAAATTGTGATATATTTCGAACGCTGGATGAACCTAGGCAAAAGGGAAGCTCAGAAAGGCTGAGAAGGCTTTAGCAAGGGTGCAGGAAAGTTTGGAACCATCAGATCTCCCAGATGATTTGGAAACCTTAACTGATGAGGATAGGTTCTTGTTCCGTAAGATTGGTCTCAGGATGAAACCCTTCCTGCTTCTAGGTAAGAACTACTTCTACTTTGGATTTAATGAAATCATAGGGGAGAGTTAAATGCTTGAGTTGTTTCTATTTCAGGGAGGCGAGAGGTTTACTCTGGTACCATAGAGAATATGCACTTGCACTGGAAGCATAAAGAGTTGGTGAAGATAATTGTGAGAGGAAAAAGTTTTGAGCAAGTCAAGCACATCGCGATTTCTTTGGAGGCAGAGAGTGGTGGGGTGCTAGTATCTCTAGATAAAACTACCAAAGGCTATGCTATTATTCTCTATCGTGGAAAGAACTATCAATGCCCTCTTCCATTAAGGCCTAGGAATTTATTGACAAGAAGGCAGGCATTGGCTCGGTCAGTTGAACTACAGAGACGCGAGGTGACATTATAATTAATGGTGTTTGACATTTTGTATATATTAATGATGGCTATTATTTCATTTGTAATAGATTTCCTATCTTTTGCAGGCATTGAAGCATCATATTTCAGACTTACAGGAGAAAGTTGGGCTGTTGAAATCTGAACTAGTATGATATCCATTGCTTTGTAGTAATTTTGATGTGGTGGTGACTTCATTTGCTTTTCAGTAATGTATATTCTTCTGCTGTTAATTTCAGGAGGAAATGGGGAATGGGAGAATGGTTGACGATGGAAGAACCTTGCATTCAACAGGAGATGATCCTCTTATCCCCAGTGATTACAGCGAAGAGGTAAATAATGACCCACTATCTCACTTTGAGTGAGTACAACGTGCCTCTTATTATGTCAAAGTGACACTTTAGGTTGCCAAGAACTGAGATGCTTCAAATTTTTCTTGAACCAGGATGAAGGGGAAGAGGCATATCTTGAAGTATATGATAGTGGCAATGAGGATAACAATAACGAACACGAGATTGTTGGATCTGTTTAGTTAATTCCATAAGCTGATTGTTACTTCAGAGTTGAAGATTGATCTGCAAAGGAGATGTATGCTGAGGGTATCAGTGGCTTCTCATACTCAGAATCTCCTATAAGATATCTGCAGAGATCTAAACATTAGTTGGGATGAACCAGAGGGTACAGCCGGATCTAAATGTTGGTTAGGTTAAACTGGAAACCCCTCCTGTGGGTTTCATTTATGATCCCTGTAGACCAGTACATGCAAGCTAGGGAAGTGGTTCAACTTCAAACCAGTTTAGCAATTCAAGCAGCTGATTGATACTTCAGGGGTGAAGATTGCAGATGTCTGAGAAGATAGCTCCGATCAGCATTGTCTAAGTAATCTTCGTAGTTTTAACGGCGTGTAAATGTGTATTGAGTTTATTGTATATACGTGATTTGTTAAAGTTTCATTTATCAATTATACGTTCGTCCCTTTATAAGTACCAAAACTTTACCATGATGTTTCCTGGTTACTTTTGTTTTGAAGCAAATAATTTTACGGTTTTGATGTTACTATCATCCTACGTCTGTCAACTTAGTTACCAAACTTGTGGCAGATATGTATTCTGCTGGATAATAGGCTTCCATCAAACAATACATTTGCACATAAAGTCTGGTTTAATCATATTGATATTACAAGTAGATAAGACATTTCTACACCTTCCTTAGCCACCTTATTTCAGGAGTTTACTTCGTGACAACATCATACTCGTTACATTCAATCATGTTCTTGTATAAATCATCGTCATTAAAGTGGTTTGTACGACAAATGCATCATATTTGAGTAAATGCCAGGAAACAACTCAGTTGGAAGTAGCCTTGTCCTGCTGCAGAGCTGCCTTTATGAAGTCCAAAACAACTGATACTAACTCAGCCTGATGTGAGGTGTAAAAATGATCAGCCCCTTCTATAACATGTAATTTGTGGTTTGGTATTATCTTAGAAAACTCTAATGCATCTTCAACAGGGATGATCTCATCAGCAGAACCATGGACTGTCAAGACCCTGTATGTACAGAATTGCCCATAAACTTGGTTATGCAGAATATTCAAGGAAAAAGCCAGAAAGATGAATATACAAAAATCAACCATAAAACAATGAAGACAAAATTAACTAAAGTTTGCTTACCGGCCTTCTTTGTCAATCTGAAGGCATGCTTCATGCATATCAGTACTCAGGCGATCCATCAAACTTTCCTCGGTCACACGATAACTAACATCTCCTACAAGCATGGCATCCCTTAACTGTGTCAAAGGCCAGCATACACATTGTTTTTGTGTGTTTCTTTGTGTTGTGTGTGAGTGCGCATGTCACTGAAAGCATCCAATCTTCTGGCATCTATTCAAAATTTGACCACAACTAATTACTATAAAAATCAATATCATCTCTAAATTTCTTAGTTGCAGATAATTTTTAAAAAATTCAAAGAAAAAGGAAGGGAGAAAACAGGTAAGTTGGTCCTTCATCATTCATCGACACTAGAACCACAGTAATTTATGCTCAAGAACAGGTTCAGCAAGAACTCACAAATGAATTTTGTAATTCACCACACATGATAAGAATTAGAAATTACCTGTCTTATTCTTGACATCAAGATATCCTTCCTTCTTGATAAACTTGGCCACATAATAACTATTAATTAATCAACTACCTTTTCTTTTTTAATTTTGCACGATGTATGCTGGTGCCAATAGTTAATTGTTGCGAACGCCATGATCAGCTACTGCAATAATGTGAAAATGTGAATCACATGCAAACGATAGTTGATATTAAAAAACTGAAAGCAGAGCTGTCTTAAGAAGAACATATAATATGATATGAGGTTAAATTACAAATTTCTTTTGGGTTAACAATTGGTGGTGTTGCCATCCGTTTCCTAACGAGTTGTATCAAAACGTCAGAATTCTTTCATGTAGATGAAGACACAGCGTGGGAGCTATCTATTCTGCTGGATAATAAAGCTTCAACATCAAATGAGTCTGGTTTGATGTTATAAGTAGATGAAGAGATTTCCACAAATTTTGGTGAAACTGATGATAAATTTCATACTTTGCAGTAAAACTGCAGTCTGCAGCCAGAGATGAATTTAGTGCAAGTAATTAGAGGCTTTTGCGAATTCTCATTTCTAGCTACACAAAATTCATATAAATGCGAACAAGTACAACATTGGTTTTATTTTGAACATACAACAAATGAAATCAGCAGAGACTAAAACAACAATTCCAATTCACACAGGACATGATCATGTGTCTAGGAACATTACAATGACATTGACGAAAGTGCAAATAATCTTGCCTGACTAGTAGTAAGTCAGAAGGGAATACAAGGTTTGCAAGAAGGTAAAACCTAGGATCAAGAGCGCGGCAGCAAGCGAAAAGATTGACCATGGATTGCTGAAATAATCACGTCTGAGAATTGTTTGCCATCTGTGCCAGCGGTCCTGATAATATGCATTCACATTCTTGGTGAGTTCCACGTAACAGAAATAGCCAACTACAGTGTCACTGTAAAGCCTATTGAAGAGACAGGCTATGTCCTCCTTGCTCAATTGTGTAACTATGATTTCTTTCTGAATGAGAAAGTCCGCATCTGTGCTAGTGTTAATAAGGTTATCCAAGATGACAGCGTACGAGGTAATGTTACAATTCGTGATGCTTGGATCACACTGTTCATAGGCGATGAGGTTTCTGAAGAGAGACTCTGCATTTTCTCCAATTTCTATTGGTGGGATTTCCATAACTCCATTTTCGAAGGTTATGTCGAGCATGTTGTCCCAAGTATCACTTCTAACTTTAAATTCGACACCAGCTTGTAGAAGTTCTGTGACAGAAGGAATCGGTTCCCAATAACTATGAGTTTCTGCTTGCGGGTACGAGGCAAGTAAAGAGTTTCTTATGCCATCAAGTAAATGCTCAGTTTCCAATGGTCTGTCGGCGTGTGGATCCTGGTCGAATGCAAACAGCTCAAAGAATTTCAGAGCAAGCAGGAGTAGAGCTTTGGATTCTGGTTTATCTTTTTCCTTTGTGTGGTGGAATAAACAGTCAACGACTTTCCAAGGAAGTTGGTTTTCAAGTAGAAGCAAGTCTTTTGTAAGTGCCGACCGCATCCATGCCGTATAGAACACAGGATCATCCTTGTTTCTGGGCACCTCTTTTGCCCACTTGCGGAAGAGTTCAATGATAAAGCAACCGTCAACCACCATCATTTCCACAAATTTTTCACTACTCATATCAATTCTTTCTTCATAACAATCTCGACAGTGTTGCTCCATACTTTTAATGGCTTCGACCAAGTTCTCCAAACTGGTCTCTGAAGTTGGATTTCGATCAAGGAGGCAATGCAAATACCATAGCTTAATCTCTTCCATGACTTGCAGGTCCTTTTCTCCGTGGTGAAATGGCCCTATTGAAATTAAATCTGGAAGAAAGGCTTTTTCATTATGCCTGCGTAGTACAGTAGGGATTCTAAATATACAACTACAAGCAGGACGTGGAGGCTGCTGCTGAATCCTTCCTCGAATTGAGGACACTACTAATTCCACATAATTTCTATCTTCAGTCAAGGTTGCCATATTCCCATCATTTTCTGCAATCACATCATCTTTGTCCTCCTCCTTAATTTGCATCACGGAGTGGTCACTGACATTGTTGACTGCCATCTTGAACTCTTAACTCCTATCAGTTAAAATCTGTTTTTAATAGAAGAGAAATGGATATTGTTACAACCAAATATGTCAATAAAAGTACAAATATTGGAACAATATTTTTAGATGGAAATATCGAAAACAAAATCTAGTCTGCTTTATGCATGCATGTACCACTTGTTTCACACAACTCTGAGGGATTGTTATTTAGAGATAAATTTCATGTTTGTAGTATATACGTTACCAGTAAAATCATGCTTATGTCACCGCTGCGTTGTAAAATTTATGCAGGGTTTGTAGGAGACACTTGCAGGGAGGATTGAATTTGATGCAGCTCTCCATTGCAGGCTCTCTCTTTTGCTTGGAAGAAACTTGAGGAACGAGGGATTCGTCGGCCCTCTTCTTATAGCGACTTCTTCTTCTAGGCATCCTTACTGCAATAATGTGAAAATGAATTGAATTACAATATGCATTCCCGTTTACTAGGACTAGTCTAAGTCTTTAAATACGAGTATATATCATATCACTAGCTGTTCAACAATTGTTAAATACAAGTAGTTGATATTAGAATTTGGTGGTTGGGATGCTTGCCGGTTACCTAACAAGTTGTATAAGAGTCGGAAGTTTACTGGAACGCATCCAAACCTATGATTCTTTCTTAATTTTGGTTGACCCAATCAAAACCTTGTCTACTTATCACACATCCATTCTTCCAATACAAAATTTCCATGAGTCATCTCATCCATGAGTCCCCAACGAAATCAACTTCCTATTCATACCCAAGAAATTGTGGTTTGGCTCATGCTGTGAAAATTTTACGTTCCATGATGTTTCCTGGTTACTTTTGTTTTGAAGCAAATAATTTTACAGTTTTGATGTTACTATCATCCTACGTCTGTCAACTTAGTTACCAAACTGTGGCAGATATGTATTCTGCTGGATAATAGGCTTCCATCAAACAATACATTTGCACATAAAGTCTGGTTTAATCATATTGATATTACAAGTAGATAAGACATTTCCACACCTTCCTTAGCCACCTATTTCAGGAGTTTACTTCGTGACAACATCATACTCGTTACATTCAATCATGTTCTGTATAAATCATCGTCATTAAAGTGGTTTGTACGACAAATGCCTCATATTTGAGTAAATGCCAGGAAACAACTCAGTTGGAAGTAGCCTTGTCCTGCTGCAGAGCTGCCTTTATGAAGTCCAAAACAACTGATACTAACTCAGCCTGATGTGAGGTGTAACAATGATCAGCCCCTTCTATAACATGTAATTTTGTGGTTTGGTATTATCTTTGAAAACTCTAATGCATCTTCAACAGGGATGGTCTCATCAGCAGAACCATGGACTGTCAAGACCCTGTATATACAGAATTGCCCATAACTGGTTATGCAGAAAATTCAAGGAAAAAGCCAGAAAGATGAATATACAAAAATCAACCATAAAACAATGAAGACAAAATTAATTAAAGTTTGCTTACTGGCATTCTTTGTCAATCTGAAGGCATGCTTCATGCATATCAGTACTCAGGCGATCCATCAAACTTTCCTCAGTCACACGATAACTAACATCTCCTACAAGCATGGCATCCCTTTAACTGTGTTAAAGGCCAGCATACACATTGTTTTGTGTGTTTCTTTGTGTTGTGTGTGAGTGCGCATGTCACTGAAAGCATCCAATCTTCTGGCATCTATTTCAAAATTTGACCACAGACTAATTACTATAAAAATCAATATCATCTCTAAATTTCTTAGTTGCAGATAATTTTTAAAAAATTCAAAGAAAAGGAAGGGAGAAAACAGGTAAGTTGGTCCTTCATCATTCATCGACACTAGAACCACAGTAATTTATGCTCAAGAACAGGTTCAGCAAGAACTCACAAATGAATTTGTAATTCACCACACATGATAAGAATTAGAAATTACCTGTCTTATTCTTGACATCAAGATATCCTTCCTTCTTGATTGTTTCCAGAAAGTCTTTCCCTAAGCGTTCTTCAATACCTCTCTGGAGATCATAACGTCCAGAAACATTGACAACCGTGCGAATGCCATGATACTTAGAAGGATACAGGAGCACAACATCACCACCTGTAGTAACAATTTTCATCAATAATTTTGGTGCAAAATACAAAACTACTCTGTTTTCAATATGGTTTTGCCCAATATCAGCAGTTATAGATTTATCAACAATAACATGGCTAACAGCTAAGCTGCTAAGATCATGTTGACCTAAAGTTAACTTTGGCTCCAGACATTGCCTCATTCAAAACTTTCATCAATGACTAACACATGTAATAAGAGTAACATTAAAATAAGTCTCATTCAAAAGTTTCATGAATGATAATTTATAATAGCATTTTTTCCTCTATTTTATTAAAGTAAAATCTCACATATATGCAAAACAATCCAACGCACCTTTACTGTGCCCAAGAATTGTACTTGCTGCACGGTTTGCCCCAGAGAAGTGTTGGATCACAGCATGCAAGTCATCAGCCTCTCTCCAATAGTTACCATACTGAAAGGTGCCTTCACTCTCCCTGACAACCAAAATACCATCAATGTAATTTTTAGATCTCAAACTCCAGGACTTCCATAACATGACGGCGGTTACGAACAGCATGACAGAGACAGTGCCACACTCACGACCATGAAACTAAAGCACAACTGAACTCTTCACAAAACCATCAACTAAAAGAATTTCAAATCCTGTAATACCACAGCCTTACCCATTTCCAGCAAAGTCAAAACGGAAGGCACTAATTCCTTCATTTTCCAATGCAATGGCAAGGTTTGTAATGGTAGTGGTTTCCTGGAAATCAAGAGACATAGGCTGTAAAACTTTGGCCACAATGAAACCAACTGAGCATATAATTTTCCATAATGAAATGATACAGAAAATAACTTAAATTTAAAGCATCCTAATCAAGCTGGAATTTCAGACCAAAAATTAAATTAAATTAAAGCTGGAATTGAACTTTAAAAAGAAGGGAAAAAGAAAAAAGCGAAGTCAACACTACATATGTTACAAAAGCCAACCTTGGTGGATCGAAAACCATGACATAAGATTACAATCTCCTCAGAACCGGTTTCATGTAATAGGCCCACGAGTTTTTCACCATGTTTGTTGGGTACAATGATTTTCTGTTGCCGACCCACTGAAACAATGCAATTCACAAAGCAACCTAAATTTCTTAGAAAGTCGATACCTTGCTGAATGTTCTTGGCACGAAAATAAAAATTCTTACCTGGGTTGTATGCAGATTGTGCCATTTTCAAGATTCGTTTTGGGCTGCGATTTTGGTAAAGAGTAAATTTTGGTGAAGGGAAGCTTATGGGAGTGAAAGAACTTGAGAGCAGCATAGCATTAATGGAAACTATAAACAGAGTAACTATAAATCTTCAAAGCAATGGAAGTTACCTTCGGCCTTTGCTTGCTGCTCTTTTCGTCTGCAATGTAAATTTACAGAGCTCCTGTGAGTTTGGAATTGGAGCATCGGACCACTCAGACTCAGTCACTTTACTTGCCAACAAATAACGGGGAATGCTACCAATTTTCTCTATCTTTTTCTTTTGGACTTTCTCCTTTTACTTGACATGTGTCATTCTCCTTACACTTAAAATAATGTCATTAATATATTATACAAGCTAACTTTTACTTTCCAAGTTTACCTTATTAAAATGTGTTTCAATTATCCCAAAAATTTCACAACTTTCTCACCATCTTATTATTATTTTTTTTAACGTTTTTTTTTTTTAAGTCAGAAATGTGTCCGCTTTAAAAAAAAGAGGAAATGTCCCTTGTTTTTAACTTCAATTTAGGACTTGTTTTTTAAATTTTTAAAAAGCCGGGGTGTCCTTTCTTTTTCGTTAAAAAAAAACAAACTTTTCTGTTATAATTGTGACATTAATTTTTTGGGGAGTTGTCCTCCAACACACCCAAAAGGGTTTGAAACTAATAGAAAAAACCCACGCATATTTAAACATATAAACACAACACCCAAAACCCTATACACACCCTCAAAACACATTTATAAACCCACTCAAAATGTTGAACTTTTGGGTTGATGGTGGGTGGTTTCTAATTGTTCAATAGTGCTGGGGTTTTTTTATCAATACCTGTCAGAATTGGGTTATTTATTAAAAAATTTGTAATTAATTTTTATTCTAATAATGGGCAGAAAGTTGTAAAAAAAGATTTTTGAGGATAAATGAATACATTTAATAAGGGTAAATTGGAAAGCAAAAGTTAGATTGTAGATATATTAATGCCAATTGTTTTAGTATAAGGAGAATGACACATTCAAACAAAAAAAATAGAGAAGGTTAGAGAGAATGTTGCTAGCATTCCTCCAACAAATTCTGGTTTTGGTCTGCAACAATTGCTTTTTACGGTTGAATCTCTGATATTTATGGTAGTTGCAAAACGTCAACTTACACGGTTCGATGTCTTTTTGTTGGGGTGTGCGGTTGCGCTCATTTAAGACATTTTCCACACTTCCGTGGTAACCTTAATTCGATGAGTGAATTTATGAAAATCTTCCTCCCACATTTGAATCCATGTTCTTGCCTACTCTTCAACAAATTGGTGCTGAATAAACGCAGAATAAACTTAAGTTTTGAGTTCAACGCTAGAAAGTCACAATTACTGCTTCACATTTTGAGTTGAAAACCATGACTGAATTTTTGAGAAACACCTCAGATCACGAGGCAAATGTCACCATACATCACGGAGTGTGGTGATTGTGTCATGCCATTGAAACGGTTTTCTCCAGAATTTCACCTGGCAAAGCTATGAGTTTAATGTAATATGGTATCCAACTAAATCAGTTAAGGAACCACCCACACTGACACTCGGCCAACGGGTACAACACTTCAGAAAATTTATTAGGCTGATTGGCATGGCGGTCCTATTTGGAAGAAGCCCTTGTCCTGCTGCCGACGGCCTTTATGAAAGTCCAAAAACAAATGCACAGCTCCTTCTAATAACAGTAACTTGTGGTTAGGTAGTATCTTAAGCAAACTCGAATGCGTCTTCAACAGGGGAATGGGGCTCACACAGATCCATGGACGGGGACGGTCAAGACCCTGGTATATACAGACCGCTGATTACACTTGGACGAATAATAATAGTAAATACTCAACTAACCTTTACTTTTCGTTTTTAATTTTGCACGATGTGTGTGGTTGCCAATAGTTAATTGTTGTTTGCGAACGCCATGATCGCTACAGCAAGTACTGGGAAAAGGTGATACAAAACTGAAAGCAGAGCGGGCCTTAAGAAGGTATATATAATAGAATTAAATCGATCACTTGAGCTTTAAAAACCGAAAGAGAGCTTATAAAGAAACGATAATAAGGTTAGAAAGAATATTATAATATGATATGAGGTTAAATTAACAATTTCTTTTGGGTTAACAATTGGTGGTGTTGCCTCCGTTCCTAACGAGTTGTTCTCAACGTCAGAATTCTTATTCTCATGTAATGACGTCATAAGCGTAGGGAACTATCTGATTCTCGGCTGAGGATAATAAGATCTTCAACCTAATGAGGTCTGGTTATGATTTATCCGAGTGCGAGTTTTCCACCAATTTTGGGTGAACGTGTGCGAATTCATACTTGCAGTAAAACTAAAGCAGTCTGTGCGCCGAGATGAAATTTATGCAAGTTTAAGGCTTTCTTCGAATTCTCAATTGCTAGCTACACAAATTTCATAAAAAATGCACCATGTCCACATTGGTTTATTTGAACCTACAACAACTGAAATCATCAGAGACTAAAAACAACAATTAATTCCAATATCACACAGACATGATCCTTTGTCTAGAATATTCAAATACATGCCGAGTGCAAATATCCTTGCCGTTTTTTTTTTTTTTTTTTTTTTTTTTTTTTTTTTTTTTTTTTTTTTTTTTTTTTTTTTTTTTTTTTTTTTTTTTTTTTTTTTTTTTTTTTTTTTTTTTTTTTTTTTTTTTTTTTTTTTTTTTTTTTTTTTTTTTTTTTTTTTTTTTTTTTTTTTTTTTTTTTTTTTTTTTTTTTTTTTTTTTTTTTTTTTTTTTTTTTTTTTTTTTTTTTTTTTTTTTTTTTTTTTTTTTTTTTTTTTTTTTTTTTTTTTTTTTTTTTTTTTTTTTTTTTTTTTTTTTTTTTTTTTTTTTTTTTTTTTTTTTTTTTTTTTTTTTTTTTTTTTTTTTTTTTTTTTTTTTTTTTTTTTTTTTTTTTTTTTTTTTTTTTTTTTTTTTTTTTTTTTTTTTTTTTTCTTTCGGCTTTTGCTTGCTGCTCTTGTTCGGTATGACAATGTAAATGTTTACAGAAGCTCCTGGAGTTTGGAATGGAGCATCGGAACCACTCAGACTCAGTCACTTTACTTGCCAACAAATAACGGGGAATGCTCCCAATTTTTATCTCTATCTTTTTCTTTTTGGACTTTCTCAATTTTACGTGACATGTGTCATTCTCCTTACACTTAAAATAAGCATTAAATATATTATACAAGCAACTTTTACTTTCCAATTTACCCATATTAAATGTGTCACTTTATCCAAAAAATTTCACAACTTTCACCATTTATTATTATTTTTTTAACGTTTTTTTAATTTCAGAAAATGTCCGCTTTAAAAAAAAAGAGGAAATGTCCCTTGTTTTTAACTTCAAGTTTAGAATAAATTTTTCCCACATTTTTTTTTTAAAAAAGGACAATGTCCTTTCTTTTTCTTTAAAAACATTTTCTTTATATTGACATTAAATTTTTGGGAGTTTCACTAAAACACCCAAAATGGGTGTTGAAATTATAAAACAACCCAAGCACTATTTAAACATATAAACACACCCAAAACCCATCATTACACACACTCAAAACCCATTTATAAACACACCCAAAAAGTTGACTTTGGAGTTGATTTTGGGGTGTGTGTCTATGTTTAAATAGTGCTTGGGTTTTTTTATAAATACAGGTCTAGGATTGGGTTTATTTATAAATTTGTTATAAATTTTTTTAATAAGATGGGAGAAAGTTTATTTTTTTGATATGATACATTTAATAAGGGTAAACTTGGAACAATTAGCTGTATCTTAAGTAATGACATTGGTTTTAGTTAAGGAAATGACACATGTCAAACAAAAAATAGAGAAGTATAGAGAGAATGTTGCTAGCATTCCTCCAACAAATTCTGGTTTGGTCTGCAACATTCTTTTTTATGTTGAAATCTCTGATATTTATGGGTTTTGCAAAACTGTCAACTCTACCTGTTCGATGTTTTTTTTTGTGGGTGTCGCGTGCGCATCATTTAAGACATTTTCCAACAACTTCCTTGGTACCTTATTCGAGAGTCGACTTTATGTAAATCTCCTTCCCAATTTATATCTGTTTTGCTATCTTCAACAAATTTGGAATGAATAAATGCAGAATAAACTTAAGCATTTTGAGTTCATTAAGCTAGAAAGCACAAATTACTGCGTCACATTTGAGTTGAAACCATGACGAATTTGAGATAAACACCTCAGAGACGAGGCAAATGTCACAATTACATCACGGAGTTGTTCATTGTGTCATGCCATTGAACGGTTTTCTCAGAATTCACCATGGCAAAGATATGAATTTATTAGATGTATCCAACTAAATCCAGTTAGGAACCACCCAACTGACCACGCCAACGGGTACAACACCAGAAATTTATTATGCTGATTGGCATGGAGGATCTATTTGGAAAGCAGCCTTGTCCTGCTGCAGAGCTGCCTTTATGAAGTCCAAAAACAATGATCAGCTCCTTCTATAACAAGTAACTTGTGGTTAGGTATTATCTTAGCAAACTCGAATGCGTCTTCAACAGGGATGGCCTCATCAGCAGATCCATGGACTGGACTGTCAAGACCCTGGATATACAGAACCGCTGATAAACTTGGCCACATAATAACTATTAAATAATCAACTACCTTTTCTTTTTTAATTTTGCACGATGTGTGCTGGTGCCAATAGTTAATTGTTGCGAACGCCATGATCAGCTACAGCAATAATGTGAAAATGTGAATAAAAAACTGAAAGCAGAGCTGTCTTAAGAAGAGTATAATAAGTTAATCAGATCACTTGAGCTGTCTAAAAACCGAAAGCAGAGCTGTCTTAAGAAGACTATAATAAGTTAAGAAGAATATATAATATGATATGAGGTTAAATTACAAATTTCTTTTGGGTTAACAATTGGTGGTGTTGCCATCCGTTACCTAACGAGTTGTATCAAAACGTCAGAATTCTTTCATGTAGATGAAGTCATAGCGTGGGAGCTATCTATTCTGCTGGATAATAAAGCTTCAACATCAAATGAGTCTGGTTTGATGTTATAAGTAGATGAAGAGTTTTCCACAAATTTGGTGAAACTGATGATGAATTTCATACTTTGCAGTAAAAACTGCAGTCTGCAGCCAGAGATGAATTTAGTGCAAGTAATTAGAGGCTTCTTCGAATTCTCATTGCTAGCTACACAAATTTCATATAAATGCGAACAAGTACAACATTGGTTTTATTTTGAACATACAACAAATAAAGACAAGAGGTTCACATAAGAGACTAAAACAACAATTCCAATTCACACAGGACATGATCATGTGTCTAGGAACATTACAATGACATTGACAAAGTGCAAATAATCTTGCCTGACTAGTAGTTAGTCAGAAGGGAATACAAGGTTTGCAAGAAGGTAAAACCTAGGATCAAGAGTGCGGCAGCAAGCGAAAAGATTGACCATGGATTGCTGAAATAATCACGTCTGAGAATTGTTTGCCATCTGTGCCAGCGGTCCTGATAATATGCATTCACATTCTTGGTGAGTTCCGCGTAACAGAAATTGCCAACTATAGTGTGACTGTAAAGCTTATTGAAGAGACAGGCTATGTCCTCCTTGCTCAATTTTGTAACTATGATTTCTTTCTGAATGAGAAAGTCCGCATCTTTGCTAGTGTTAATAAGGCTATCCAAGATGACAGCGTACGAGGTAATGCTACAAGTCATGATGCTTGGATCACACTGTTCATAGGCGATGAGGTTTCTGAAGAGAGACTCTGCATTGTATTCGATCTCTATTGGTGGGATTTCCATAACTCCATTTTTGAAGGTTATGTCGAGCATGTTGTCCCAAGTATCGCTTCTAACTTTAAATTCGACACCAGCTTGTAGAAGTTCTGTGACAGAAGGAATCGGTTCCCAATAACTATGAGTTTCTGCTTGCGGGGTACAAGGCAAGTAAAGAGTTTCTTATGACATCAGGTAAATGCTTAGTTTCCAATGGTCTGTCGGCGTGTGGATCCTGGTCGAATTCAGGCCCCTCAAAGAATTCCACAGCAAGCAGGAGTAGAGCTTTGGATTCTGGTTTATCTTTTTCCTTTGTGTGGTGGAATAAACAGTCAACGACTTTCCAAGGAAGCTGGTTTTCAAGTAGAAAAACAAGTCTTTTCTAAGTGCCAACATCATCCATGCCGTATAGAACAGAGGATCATCCTTGTTTCTGGGCACCTCTTTTGCATACTTGCGGAAGACTTCAATGATAAAGCAACCGTCAACCACCATCATTTCCACAAATTTTTCACTACTCATATCAATTCTTTCTTCATAACAATCTCGACAGTGTTGCTCCATACTTCTCATGGCATCGACCAAGTATTCCAAACTGGTCTCTGAAGTTGGATTTCGACCAAGGAGGCAATGCAAATACCATAGCTTAATCTCTTCCATGACTTGCAGGTCCTTTTCTCCGTGGTGAAATGGCCCTATTGAAATTAAATCTGGAACAAAGGCTTTTTCATTATGCCTGCGTAGTATATTAGGGATTCTAAATATGCAACTACAAGCAGGAAGTGGAGGCTGCTGCTGAATCCTTCCTCGAATTGAGGACACTACTAATTCCACGGCATTTCTATTTTCACTCAAGGTTGCCATGTTCCCATTATTTTCTGCAATCACATCATCTTCTGTCCTCATCCCTAATTTGCATCATGGAGTGTCACAACATTGCTGCCTGCCATCTTGAACACTTACTCCTATCAGTTAAAATCTGTTTTTAATAGAAGAGAAATGGATATTGTTACAAACCAAATATGTCAATAGAAGTACAAATATTGGAACAATATTTTTAGCAGAAAATATCGAAAATTAAATCTAGTCTGCTTTATGCATGCATGCATGTACCACTTGTTTCACACAACTCTGATATATACGTTACCAGTAAAATCATGCTTATGTCACCGCTGCGTTGTAAAATTTGTGCAGGGTTTGTAGGAGACACTTACCGGGAGGATTGAATTTGATGCAGCTCTCCAATTGCAGGCTCTCTCTTTTGCTTGGAAGAAACTTGAGGAACGAGGGATTCGTCGGCCCTCTTCTTATAGCGACTTCTTCTTCTAGGCATCCTTACTGCAATAATGTGAAATTAATTGAATTACAATATGCATTCCCGTTACTGGGACTAGTCTAAGTCTTTAAATACGAGTATATATCATATCACCAGCTGTTCGACTGAGTACTTCATCTGGTACAAGGTTTAAATTACAATTGTTGTGTTGGGTTAACAATGGTGGTTGGTTGGGATGCTTGTCGGTTACCTAACAAGTTGTATAAGAGTCGGAAGTTTACTGGAACGCATCCGTATCCTGATTGGAATAAAAGAACCGAGTTAGAAATGGCTGGCCTCCTTGACCCGCATGCCTAGCCTTTGTGATGTCCAAAACAGCTCCGGCTATGGATACAAGCGCACCAAAACAACTGTAAGATTTGTATCAACCCCCATGCCATCTATAGCCTCACACATGAATTTTGGAATTCACCACACGTCAGCTAAGAATTAGAAAATTACGTACCTATCAGAATTCACCATGGTAAGATAAGATGAGGGTTATATTGCAAGTAGTGTTTCCACAAGCTGTGCTGAGATTAATGACGGATTTCATGCTTTGAATTAAAATTGTAACCAGAAATTAACTTAGTGCAAGTAATTAGAGGTTTCTAATCAATCATGAACAGTTTTCCACAAACTCAAACCGCCCTGCAAATTCTCATTTCTATAGCTAATAGCTATATAAAAAATTTATATACACCTAAGCAATTACAGCTTGGGTTTATAATTGAACATACAACATATACAAACAGCTTTCACAGCATGAGCCAAACCACAATTCCAACTCAAACGCACAGACATGACAATGTATTAATTAGTAATTAACTTTACAACGACAGCAAAAGCACAACTGCATACTGGAAGCCTAGTAGTACGCCAGAATGGCATATATGGTCTGAATGAAGGTCAAACCTAGGATCAAGAGTGCAGCAGCAAAATGAAGGTCTGCCACCGGCGCCAGCGATCCTTATAATATGCATTCACATTCTTGGTGAGCTCCACGTAGGAGAGATCGCGCGGGATGGTGTCATTGCAAAGCCTGGTGAAGAAACGGGCTATGTCCTCGCTCAACACGGTAGTTATAATTCCTCTCTGAATGAGAAAGTCTTCATCTTTGCTAGAGTTAATAAGGTTGTCCAAACCACAGCATAAGAGGTACTGTAAGAAATGGAGATGCTTGGATTGCATTGATCGTACGCTATGATGTTTCTGAAGAGAGACCCTCCGTTCTCTCGACTGTTTACAGGCGGAATTCCATCACTCCATTCTGGTTATGTCGAGCATGTTGTTGTTGAAAAATAAAATGTCAGATATAAAATATAACATATAATGAATGGTTAACCACTAATTATACCGAGTGTTTTTTTTATAAAACCTCATAACAATATCAGTATTGCTAGTAGTGTGCCAATGACCCATCTCTATGAAATTTAACAGTTATAAATGGTGTTTCAAAGCATCTAAGCTGGCATAAATTTGTGAGGGTAATTCGATATTATTATTCCGTCAACAAGAGATTCGATTACATCATACACGTGTTTTCCGGGCGGCAGTTCAATGTTTTAGCCGAACTGAACTCCTTCTTGTAGAGAAGTTCTTTATATACTATTTATTTATAAAAAGAGATTTAAAATGAGCCACGTAAAGCCGATCGGCTATACTATTAAAAAAAAAATTGGGAAAACCGAGTATTGCCGGGCGGCTATATTATTTCTTTAAACAAATTAAAAAAGGGTATAGCCGCGCGGCTATAGTATTCATTTTAAAAATTAAAAAAGGGAGCTGCGTACAGCCGCACGGCTATATTATTTTTTTGATTATAAAAACCAGTATAGCCGTGGTTGTAACTTGTACAGTTGGCTCAAGATTGTTAAGATTGGCACATCGTTAGCACGTGCTATGGTTAGCTCTGTTCTTATTCTCTATTTTCATCAATTCTTCTTCTGTTATCACAGCAAATTCTCATTGCTAGCTTGTAGCTACATAAATTTTATATAAATGCGAACAAGTACAAAGTTGGTTTTATTTTCAACATACAACAAATAAAGACAAGAGGTTCTACATAAGAGACTAAAACAACAATTCCAATTCACACAGGACATGATCATGTGTCTAGGAACATTACAATGACATTGACAAAAGTGCAAATAATCTTGCCTGACTAGTAGTTAGTCAGAAGGGAATACAAGGTTTGCAAGAAGGTAAAACCTAGGATCAAGAGTGCGGCAGCAAGCGAAAAGATTGACCATGGATTGCTGAAATAATCACGTCTGAGAATTGTTTGCCATCTGTGCCAGCGGTCCTGATAATATGCATTCACATTCTTGGTGAGTTCCGCGTAACAGAAATTGCCAACTATAGTGTGACTGTAAAGCTTATTGAAGAGACAGGCTATGTCCTCCTTGCTCAATTTTGTAACTATGATTTCTTTCTGAATGAGAAAGTCCGCATCTTTGCTAGTGTTAATAAGGCTATCCAAGATGACAGCGTACGAGGTAATGCTACAAGTCATGATGCTTGGATCACACTGTTCATAGGCGATGAGGTTTCTGAAGAGAGACTCTGCATTGTATTCGATCTCTATTGGTGGGATTTCCATAACTCCATTTTTGAAGGTTATGTCGAGCATGTTGTCCCAAGTATCGCTTCTAACTTTAAATTCGACACCAGCTTGTAGAAGTTCTGTGACAGAAGGAATCGGTTCCCAATAACTATGAGTTTCTGCTTGCGGGTACAAGGCAAGTAAAGAGTTTCTTATGACATCAGGTAAATGCTTAGTTTCCAATGGTCTGTCGGCGTGTGGATCCTGGTCGAATTCAGGCCCCTCAAAGAATTCCACAGCAAGCAGGAGTAGAGCTTTGGATTCTGGTTTATCTTTTTCCTTTGTGTGGTGGAATAAACAGTCAACGACTTTCCAAGGAAGCTGGTTTTCAAGTAGAAAAACAAGTCTTTTCTAAGTGCCAACATCATCCATGCCGTATAGAACAGAGGATCATCCTTGTTTCTGGGCACCTCTTTTGCATACTTGCGGAAGACTTCAATGATAAAGCAACCGTCAACCACCATCATTTCCACAAATTTTTCACTACTCATATCAATTCTTTCTTCATAACAATCTCGACAGTGTTGCTCCATACTTCTCATGGCATCGACCAAGTATTCCAAACTGGTCTCTGAAGTTGGATTTCGACCAAGGAGGCAATGCAAATACCATAGCTTAATCTCTTCCATGACTTGCAGGTCCTTTTCTCCGTGGTGAAATGGCCCTATTGAAATTAAATCTGGAACAAAGGCTTTTTCATTATGCCTGCGTAGTATATTAGGGATTCTAAATATGCAACTACAAGCGGGACGTGGAGGCTGCTGCTGAATCCTTCCTCGAATTGAGGACACTATTAATTCCACGGCATTTCTATTTTCACTCAAGGTTGCCATGTTCCCATTATTTTCTGCAATCACATCATATCTTCTGTCCTCATCCCTAATTTGCATCATGGAGTGCTCACTAACATTGCTGCCTGCCATCTGGAACAACTTACTCCTATCAGGTAATATATGTTTTTAATAGAAGAAAAATGGTTATTCTATCTATAGGCTTAATTAATGTCGTCCCCTTCTAACGGACATTCAGTCTCACTTTAACTCATATGGAACTGAAATGTTCTCACTTAACCCCACAATCTCAAAAATTGCTTAAATTTTTCTCACTTTACCATCTTCATCCACAAAACTATTAAGTGTGCTGACCTGACATGAACATTTTAGTATTTTTAGCTATTATAAAATTTGAAGTAATCATTTTTTTAAGAGAAACAGAGAAGGTGGTTTGGGTGTCATCATAAGTTGTTATGTTTTTTTTTTTTTTTTTTGTTTTTTTTATTTTTAATTTTTTTTTTTTTTTGTTTTGTACGTGGCAGACTTTTTAACAAAATACTGGATCCCTTTCATGCCACATTATCAATTTTGACAGTTTTTTAAACGTAATTGATGGTGGAGGGCAAATTGATACAGGTAATGACTTTGTGGAGGGTTAAGTGAGAAAATTTTAATTCAGGGTAAAGTGAGATTGAGTGTCTGTTACAAGAGGGAAACAATAATTAATCTCATTCTTTAAACCAAATATGTCGTCAATGCCTAGTGGAAAAGGGCCTTAACTTGCAGACTAAATGGTCTCAAGTTCGAACCTCCATGGCACCTTGGTAGTGTGTGTGTGTGAGAAACTTTTCCCCTTGTAGTTAGACTATCGCTTATCAATTACTTGTATTCAAATGAGAAAATATATATATATATATATATATTGGAACAATATATTAAGATGGAATGCCTCTAAATCTAATCTGCTTAGCAGAAACTAAAATAAAATGTAATCTGCTTTATGCATGCATGCGTGTAACACTTGTTTCATCACACAACTCTTTTTAGAGATAAATTTCATATTTGTAGTATCCGTTAGTAGCGACCAGTAAAAACATGCTTATGTTTGTCAATTACCTGTTGTCTAGAGGGAGATCGAGGCCTCACACACCACTGATTCACACATTATAGTATTATACATATATATATATATATGTATAACAGGTAATTGACAAAGGTAAAGAGGAAAGTGTTTGTTACCTGGGGTGTGGGTGGCTCTTCAATTGCAGACTCTCTCTCTTTTTTTTTGCTTGGAAGAAACTCAAGGGAAGGAGGGATCCTCGGCCCCTCTTATAGCTAGCGACTTCTAAGCATCCAACGTTGAAAATTCTAATGCTCATTTTGTGATAAAAGTATCTAAAAAATTCTACTAGAATCAGGAATATAAGTAACTTGGTGGAAGAGGCAATGTCGGCGCCTAAAGATTAGTGGCTGGAATAACAGCAAAGAATAAGCCAAGTCAGCGGTGTCGAATTTTCTAGATTATTTCACCATGATAACTTCAGATGAGGATTCTATTAAGACAAAGAATGATTATTTACGTACCTGTCAGAATTCACCATGCTAAGATGAGGGTTGTATTGCAAGTAGATGAAGAAATTTCCACAAGTTGTGGTGAATCTAGTGCAAGTAATTAGAGGTTTCTGAATCAAGTATATATAACAAGTTTTCCACAAACGTAAACCGCTCTGCAAATTCTCAATTGCTATATCTATACATAAATATTTATATACATGTAAGCAATACAGCCTTGGTTTCATATTGAACATACAACATACACAAACAGCTTTCAAAGCATTATTGGCTAAAAATTCAGAGAGACAAGCCATGACAGTGTATTAAGTAAATTTACAAAGACATTGGCCAAAACACAATTGCATACTGGAAGCCTAGTAGTAAGTCAGAATGGTATATATGGTCTGAATGAATGTCAAACCTAGGATCATGAGTGCAGCAGCAAATGACAAGATTGACCATGGATTGTTGAAATAATCACGTCTGAGAATCGTCTGCCATCGGTGCCAGCGATCTTTATAATACGCATTCACATTCTTGGTGAGCTCTGCATAAGAGAAGTAGCCCGGGATGGTGTCATTGTAAAGCCTAGTGAAGAAACGAGCTATGTCCTCCTTGCTCAAGACCGTAGTTATAATTCCTCTCTGAATGAGAAGGTGTACATCTTTGCTAGACTTAATAAGGTTGTCCAACACCACAGCATAAGAGGTAATGTTAGAAATGGAGATGCTTGGATTGCACTGCTCATATGCGATGAGGTTTCTGAAGAGAGACTCTGCGTTCTCTCGAATGTTTACTGGCGGAATTTCCATCACTCCATTCTCGAAGGTTATGTCGAGCATGTTGTCACCAGTGTTTCGAAGCTTAAACTGAACTCCAGCTTGTAGAAGCTCTGACACAGATGGAATTGGTTCCCAGTAACTTTTGAACGTTAACTGTAACTGTGTATACGAGCCAAGCAAAGAGTTTCTTATGATGCCAAGTAAATGTTTGTTTTCCACTTCTTCATTGAGATGTGAAGACTGTGAGAAGGTGGAGTTCCTAAAGAAGTTGAGAGCAAGCTGGAACAGAGAATTGGTTGCTGGTTTATCATTGTTTTCCCTTGTGTTGTGGAACAAACACTCAAGAACTCTCCAAGGAAGCTGGTTTTCGAGTAGAAACAAGTCGTTTATAAGCGCAGTGTGCATCCATAACGTGTAGAACACTGGATCATCCTTGTTACTAGGCACCACTCTTGCATACTTGCGGAAAAGTTCAATAATAAAGCAACCATCAACCACCATCATTTCTACAAATTTTTCACTGCTCATATCAATTTTTTCACCGTAGCAATCTCGACACTGTTGTTCTATACTTCTAATGAGCTCGATAAGGTACTCCAGCCTCGTCTCTGAAGTTGGTTTTCGGTCAAGGAGGCAATGCATATACCATAGCTTAATCTCTTCCATGACTTGCAGGTTCCTTTGCCCATGGTGAAATGGCCCTATTGAAACTAAATTCGGAAGAAAAGCTTTTTCGTTATGCCTGCGTAGCACGTTAGGGATTCTAAAGATGCAACTACACGCTGGCAATGGAGGCTGCTGGTTAAGCTTTCCTCGAATCGAGGATGCTATTAATTCTACATCATGTCTGCTTTCACTCAAGGTTCGCCTCATATTTTTTTCTGCAATCGCATCTCAGTTCTGATGACTACTTAGCACCGTGTAGAGGTCATTAAGGTTGTTCTCTACCATCATGAACTCCTTTCTAGCTCGTTAGCGAAAATCTGGTTTTGACAGAGGAAAATGGAAATTGTTACAACCAAATGTCATACAAAGATAGGAGCAATTAATGAATATATATTAACAAAAGATGTGCATTGAACCTCTAAATGGAAATTGTTACAACCAAATGTCCATTTAACAACTGCTATTCTTGCAATCCTGCAGGGTGAAACTGAGATCTAATTATCCCATTCCACCGAAAATTCGAAGATATAAATAATAATAAAAAGCATTTAATTAAGAAAAGTTGAGGGGTTTTAATAATATGGGTTGACGTTCATTAACAATCTAACAATTTGTAGTGATTTCTGTGGTGTTTTTGACCTACATTGTAAAGGGGGATACATATGCATGCATTATGGATAAAGAGGAAGATTTGAGGCGTTACAGTTAACAGATTGTATATATGAATTTAACAGGTAATTATTGATCAAAAGGTAAAGAGGAGAAACATGTTTCTTTCTTACCCGGGCATGCAAATTGCAATGCAAGTTCTAAAATGCGTGCACCATGTTCATCGAATTTGATGCAATTCTCCAATTGCAGGTTTTTCCTTGAGAGAATATTTTAATAGAGAGAAAAATTACGACAGAAAAAGACCAATAAGGGCATGTTTGACAGTATTAGGACAGGATTGGGCTATTTAGCACCAATCCTGTCTTGAACCAAACGCTTATATAGCAACTGGACTATACAGAAGCATGGGCTTAACTAACACGAGCCCATAATAACACACGGACTCGAGCCGAAACACCAGCCCTAAACCCTAAACCCTCTTCATCTTCTCTCGCCTTCAACAGCGAAGCCAAAATCTTCGCTGGTCTTCAACAAGGCAAATCTTCGATCGTAGTTAAATCTTCGTTCGTCTTCAAAGATTTGTCTTCGCTGTCGACAAACATGTAAGAGCCTTTTTCAAATTGTGTTTTGACATGGACAGTGAACTATCAATTGTGCTTACCCAGTACCAATTGGTTGTTAACTAGCATTTCTTTATTGGGAATTTGGACTCTGATCATTGAATCTCAAATGTGTTTCGTCTGTTTTGTGTATTTAGGGTCACTTTTCCGATTGGGTTTGGGTCATCTACTCCTTTTTCAAGCTGAGAAATAATGTGCATAACTATAGTCAAATTTGTGATTCACTAATCATTTCAGATTCATCTAATGCTTTGGAATTCAAAGCACTTTTGAAATTCAGATTCCTCACTTGTGAAAAATTTGCATGTTCTCACTTTAAGATTGGTGCAAAACCATGTTTAAAAGCAAGTTGAAATAGGAAAAATCGGTTTTATCAAACAAGAACAAGAAGTATACATGTTAAATCATGGATTTTTTTCACATTTGGTACTCATTGCAAAATGCTAGGTGAAACCTAAAAAAGGCCAGTTGCAATAATTTCCCCATCTGTTCAAGAGGGAAATCTTATTTCCACCTTAGAGAAATGCATGAAGTCCTACACCAATATTGCAAACGATATTTTGCCTTTAATGAGACCTGTAGTTTATTTTTCTTTGTATGACTATCTGTCTCAACTCTCTCTCTATCTCTACCAAAAAAGAAGCATGTCTTTTGCTGTTTATTTATTTATTGGTGATTTCATGTCCTTATTGGCAATCAAATTGATAATTCATTTTGCGAATGTGTTCTTTGTGCTGATTTGCATTGCTTAATTTAATACTTCTTTGTAGATTGTTAGTCGTTAGGAGCTGTCCTAAGGCATACCATCCATCGTGCATCAAGCGGGACGAGAAGGCCAAGTGGAATTGTGGTATGCTACAATACATTAAAAGCTTGTTCATTTTTCACCAAATTTTTTTTAGTTTCTGTAGGCAATCTGGAAATGACTCATGTGTTTTAAGTTTTTCTCATGACTCCTCCTTGAAGAGGCACTCCTTTTTTCTTATTTTCCTGCCATTTTCTATTTCCAGTTGTGTTCTTATCACCATTCTCTATAACCATATAGGAAACATAACCCTTTTCTAATAAAGACATGATTTACATCCACATCTCTGAATAGCATCTTTACACTTTAATGGGGGATTTGTACAAGGTATGGTTGCAAAACTTTTGTGAAATTGTCTGTTCCCTTTTCACATGACGTTTCAATTTGGGGTCAGTTCTATTTTTCTAAGGCTTAGCTTTGTTATGAAATAAACCAGTTGCAACTTGCACGCCAAGACCATTAGTCTAGTGCTGCTACCTAGGCAAGAACAAAATTTACGTTTCATCTGATTGTTTGTTTAAGCTGCATGTCTTAATTTATACCCCATGCGTTTTTTAGTGTGATTCCATAAAAGAACTGATTGTTGAAAATGTCTCTAAAAACTAGTGAGTTGTAGCATGCATTTTTAACGGATAATCTGTAACAATAAGTGCAATAAACTGACCTTCTTGTTATGGTTTTTCTTAATTAGGTAGCGTTATCTGCATCTAGAGAACGTTAGCATATTGTGCACCAATATATCCAGTTGGATATTCTTATATGTTACAAATTTATATGAGTAAGTTGTAGTTAAAATCTTGGTTTTCCTCTAGTGTTCTGTGATGGTATTTATCAGATCCTTGTATGTCCTGCTGTCTATATATTGATATATATTGGTAATCTTTAGTTTTAGTTTCAATTTTATTGTATGACAATTGATTAATCTATGATGAATGGATTGCATTGGTGCACTTCAAATTAATTATATGTTTTTTTTAATGATAGCATAACCAATTGCAAAAGAATGGAGGAACAAGGCTTATCCAAGTGCACAGCACGTGCCTAGAGGTTTTAGATCGTCTTCCTCTTCCACCCCAAAACACTTTCCCCTAAACTTTAACCTAACTCTCATCCTATCCACCATGAGACTCATATCTCCAAGAACCCTCTACTGCTTGTCTTCCTCTTCGCTATCTCCTCCTTTTTTTCAGATTTCCCACTTTTCAACCTCTTCACCAGCTCACCATTTTCACAGTAACTATTCTTTCAGACGCCATGATGAGGGTGTTCGGAATGTGAGGATTTCGGTTTGGTGGGACTTTGAAAACTGCCATTTGCCGGCCGGCGTCAACGTGTTCAAGGTAGCACATGCGATCACTGCTGCTATCAGGACCAATGGGATAAAGGGCCCCATTCAGATCACGGCTTTCGGCGACATGTTGCAGTTGTCAAGGGCTAACCAGGAGGCCTTGTCCTCTACTGGGGTCAATCTTACTCATGTTCCTCACGGTTAGTCTGATTCTTCAACTTAACCGCTTATCGTTTCTTTTTGTGTGGTGAGGTTTGTTGCAATGGCTGGAAAGGTGTATGAGTGCAGACTATGAGATGAATGATTTAATTGCATAGATATAGTTATTTGTATGTATGCCCATAAATTTCTATAATAAATATGTATAAAAAGTACTTTTATATTAAGGAAGATAAATTCTGAAACAACTTTGTTTTCTTTTGTGAATTATTTAATTCAATTTACAAGTTGCTGCAAATGAATTGAAGTTGGGAATTATGTGGTGCAATGCTGAAATAAAGTAGCCTATAGTATACTCATACATGTATATTTGTAATTGTATCCTATGAGTGCAAGTGGTGTGACAGGGGTTGATTAAGTGGAAGATTGTGTGAAAAAATTGTATATAAAGTATCTGGGGGAATGCAGTTGTATATCTGATCTTTTGAGGTTCTAAAAGTGAACGTATGAGACCTCCAAACATTCTGACCCTCTTGAGCTCTAGCACAGCAGAATGCTAAAGGTAGCACAATGGTACACACAAGATATGTTGTTACTGAGTGCAATGATATACTGTTTAAGTTTTTTAAGAAATGTTTATTTTTTAAAGTGATCTAAACAAACACGTCTAGGATATGGTTGACTTAGATTTTGTTGCTGTTTCTCTTGATAAAATTGAGGGTTGTTTTTACCAATACTCAAAGTTATGAGGTGAAAATAAGTAAATCAAACCCAAAAAAATAAAAAACTTAAGGAGGATTGCTTTCAGCAACTTAGATAAATATAAAGACATTACATTTTTTGAAATCTCAAATTTTCATGGATGATATAAGGTTGTGAAAACAGTATTACAACAAAAAAGAAAAAAGAAAAAGAAGAAGCATGTTATGGCTGCACATAGTGACCAATAATAGCACTAAAGGAGAACACAGTTAAGCAGTTAAAGGTGTAATTCTTTGAGGGTCTAGTGGCTGTCTAACATGGTATTAGGCCTCTAGTTGTCACCAAATGATTATGAGTCACTAAAATTTATGAAATAAAAAAATAATTAAAGGAAAGGAGAAACAAAGATCTAGATATGGCTATCAGTGTAACAATGCATAAATGTAGCTTTGACCTGGCCTTGCTGCACAATCGGAGCAGTAACTTGCTTTGTTCTTCGATGCTCACAATTTGTAACAAAGTAAATAGATGTTCAAATTTAATCTCCCCTTTGTATGCATAAAGTGTCCAAGGCTTGTTTTCTCAAGGGCTCTCTCTCAATTCCTCAAATGGGGACATGGGTATTTGTACTTCCCAGTATGAAGAATAGATATATTTTTAACAGTTGCAGATCTCGGAGTCGACTGTCTCTAATCATGGTAAACTTCATCCATTTATAGTTGACTATAACATTCCAATAGTCAAGTATCGCAGATATGGTTAATTATGAGATTGTCAACTAATACTAGTATTCTATTGAACATGAATTTGGTTAGGGGTCTGAAGGGGCTGCATATGACCTCTTTTAAGTGTTGCTATTTGAACTATCGCCTTTGATCCATATGTAATTCTTTTGGACAGTAGGCTGTACTTTAATATGCTGAATATAAATCTAGGATCCTTGTACATGACAGTTTATTTAATCTTGACTGTGCTTTTATGTTTGGGCTCGTTTGTATTCAAAGTTAGTCATTGCTGGTTTATTAGAGAAAGCATTTAAGATTTATGACTTGCAATCTAAGTCAGGATGCACATTTCTCTTCATGTTGTTGTTCTTGGTAAAGAAGGTATTTTTATTTGTTAATATTTTTATGCAGAATATATAAATTTTTCACCAATGTTATTTGATATGCATGTCATCATTTTATGCAAGATGCCGTACTGGTGGTAAATGCTTAATGTACCTTCTGAAGTAAATTTCACTACTGATTATTCTGTTTGAAATAAAATTTCAACTTGAAATGGGTTTAACATGTGCATTCCCATCTGTGTATACACACAGACATACATTCAGTTCTTGTATCCTAACCATATTATATTGCAAATATTTTCGTTATTGCAGGTGGAAAGAACAGTGCTGATAGGTCTCTTCTTGTTGATCTTATGTATTGGGTTTCTCAGAATCCCCCACCAGCACATCTTTTCTTAATTTCTGGTGACAGGGATTTTGCTACCATTTTACACCGGTTAAGAATGAACAATTACAATATATTGCTAGCAAGTCCTGAAAATGCTCCTGGTGTCCTCTGCAGTGCTGCAAGTATCATGTGGCCATGGCATGCTTTGCTTACAGGTGAAAACCTCACTGGAAAGTATTTTAACCAACCACCTGATGGTCCCTATGGTTCTTGGTATGGCCATTACAAGGTACCTCTTGAAGACCCATACTCAGTGGTTGAGCCTCCAGCACAGTCACAAACTGAGAAGTTGTCTGAACCTGGTTCAGATTCTAAGCCTCGTCCAATTCCTACTGCAGTCATGAAGCAAATTCGTCAGATATTGAAGTCACACCCTAAAGGAATCTCCATTACAGACCTTCGCATGGAGCTTGGGAAATGTAAGTTGAGTATAGATAGAAACTTCTATGGGTATAAAAAGTTTTCGAGCTTTCTTTTATCAATTCCACATATTTTAAATCTCCAACCGTTAGGTGGTGGAAAATTTCTTGTACGTGATGGAAGTGAAAAATCATCTGAACCATGTCAGTCCAATCTAGGTATGTCCACAGAATCTATTGCTGATAATGGAGGCCAGGATCTGAGTTTAGCCTCACAGTTAGATTGTGAGGACAAGTCTATTAATGTAAGTGCAAATAGAAAGTTGTCATCACCTGCATCCCATGAATCAAATGTGGAAGACCCTAATAGAGAATTGCAACAACCCTTTTCACCTAAATCGGATGGCAAGTCAATATTGCCTCCTTCCCTTGAGAATGTGAAGTCTTCGGCAAAACCACAACTTTCTGCACTTGATGAGAAGTCACCATCCACTCCTTGCACTGAGAATGTGAAGACTTCAGTGCCCATTGATGGAAAGGTTGTCGAATTGGCTAAAGAACAAGATAATGAGCTTCATTTTCCCCCAGCAGTTGCACAAGGTTCTTCATCTGAGGTGGGTTATTTTAAGTGGATTTGGAGACAATGGTTTGGCTATAAAGGTAATGTTTCAGGGACTAGAAGTCATGACGGTCAAGAAGATCATTACACTTCCGGTAATGTCACTGAGAAGGAAGGCCATGACACTCCAGTGAAACAGTGTACTTCTGTTGGTAACTCTGGACAAAGAAAAGATAAGGAAAAGTTAGTGGGATCAACGAGTCAGGTCGTTGATCAAGCACCTCACGTTTCATCTTCTTCATCCTACAATGAATCAGATAAGGACAACGAAACTGCGACAAGTTATGAAGTATATGCTCATAAATCTAAAACAAGTCAAGGGTTTTTTGATCAGATAGTAAACTGGTGTAAATTCTGGAGAAGTAGCCCGTGCTCTGATAAATTGAGTGATCAATCCTGTGACAGACCGAACCTGATGAACACTCACTCTCAAGAGCACATGCTCTTTTCGACGGATTCATTTTGGCATGACTTGGAATCTTTCATGGGCACACCTAAAGGATCAGTTCTTGTTTCCGAATCAAGGACCAGGTATCATTTACTCCTTTATTCTTTTTTGTGAATTATACACACACATACACACACTCAGTTCTAATCTTCACGTTTGTGTTACCTTGTGTAGTGGAATTCTTTTTTTGATTAAAAAACAATGATCCCAACTTCCTTTTATTTCGTCACAGGGATAATTCTGTCCAACTTTAGAACTAGGAATTTGCTAACATGTTTCTTGATTTTTTGTCTGATTCTTTAGGTCCTTAGATTTTGTAATAGAATACATATTATGTATGTACGTAGGGTAATGTTCTCTTGCAAAATATCCGGCACGTATGTTGTAGTACTCTGAATTCAAATTTCTGATTGTAAGTTTGGCAAGAGAGAATTTCCTTATATATGTGTATATGTATGAAATTTAAACCCTTAAGAAGTCTTGGATATAAAAGGATCCATATTCTTCATCTGAATTTCAGAATTTGTCCATGAGGCAGAAAATTTTGATGTTAGAGTTGAATGAATTGCATCAAGGCGGTGCAATAGAGTTTAATTATGGGTGTAGGAACTCTTTCATTGAGGATACAAGATTGATCAGTCCATTTCGAGATTGCAAAAAGTACAAGAAACCTGAAGATAGGCTTTTTTTAAGCCTCGGATTGTATTCAACATACTTTCATAGTCCTTAAGTTTTAAATAGTTCTCAATGATCCTTGCTCATACTGGAGTTGATATTCAAATATCCGGTCAATGGAACAGTTGAACCCAAATTGATTCTTTTGCTGATTTTCTTTGACAGTATTGTTTGAACTTGGTTGCATCAGAAGTTGCTATTAAACTTGTATCTTAATGCTATCCTTGTGCCTTCAATTGTTACAGGGAACAGATGGCACTGAATCTTCAGAAGGAAGGACCTTTGTTTCTTAGATCTCTCCGCAAAGGCGATCTCGTTCACTTGGTAGATTTGTTAATATCAGAAAAAAAATGGGTGGAAGAAAGCCCCTCCCCGACGTCACCATTCAAACTTACCTATCACAATGGAAAGAGTTCTCTAGATCATTCTAATGATACAAATAGGTTGACATCCATCTTTTTGAATAAACCATCACAACATGACATACAAAGATCACGAGAACATGATGGAGATGAAAAATGTCGGATATTCCTCATAGTGGAGTTTCACTACCTGCCATTAAAAAGAAACCCTCCAACAGGTGTAGAATTGAGATAATAGCCGATTGCCAAAAGCTTGTAAATGAGATATTGAAAGAGTACCCAGAAGGATATAACATGGCCTTATTCAGAAAGTTGTTTCTTGATAGGTATGGCTACCACCTTGATTTGCATATGCTTGGTTATCAAAAGTTGGCATCCCTGTTACAAATGATGCCGGGGGTTAAACTAGAGTCCTCTTACATCATACCTGCTTGTAAGACTCCAAAAATGTCTGATATGGACAGTTATGTCCGTAATATCCGAAAACAGACTGTCAGTCATACAGTGGCTAATTCAGATAGTGAATTATCTGATGCGTCAACCAAGGATGATGTTAGCGACTCACCATGGGAAGAGCTGGGCCCTGTCGCCAACACATCGGAAAAAAATGAAGTGGAAGTAGCATCAAGGAGGAAGGCAATAGGATCAACATGTTTTGATTATGAACCGTCCCTTTCAGATGGCTTGTCAGATTCAGAAGGAGAGACTTCGCCCTTAACTGAATTAGAAGGAGAAGGTGCGGCCAGAGTGAACAAGGAAGATAGCTCCCTTTTGCAGATCCTTGACTCGTGGTACAGCGGTAAGGATGGCGGAAGTAGCAAGGACAGGTCAGAGAATTTTGAGGGGTTGGTTGATTTCACAAATGTTTCTAAGCTATCTGTTTCATCTGGAGTTGGCCCCATGAGTGGTACTTATTCGGGGAAACGAAGCCCGCAAGCAAAGACGTCAAAAGAACTACTGTTTTGTTGCAGATTCTGGTGATAACAAGGACAAGCTATTTGATGGCATAGTAGGTAGCTTGAAGAAATCAAGTGAGCCAAGGATGAAGAGCTAGAGGGTTTAAATAATTAAGAGTGAGAGCAAGTCAATGAAGCATATATATTCTACATTCGGAATAGATACTAGGAAATGTAGAACTTGAGTAATTAAGTGATGTAATACATGGTCACGGATCATTTTTTTTAAATTAGGTTTCGTTTACAGATTTTATTTTTGTAAAAGGCGGAGCCATGATTCAGGATGTTGATATAGATTTTCCTATCCTGATTAATTTATAAAAATGTCTTTTCAAAATAATTCATTATTGATTGGCTTCCAATGTGTATATATGTGTTCCAGGATTCGCTTTCAGGAATAGTCTTCCCAATGTATAGTTAGTTGCAAGAAATGGACCTACAGATACTGGCATCAAGCAGTATACAGAGGCAGTTTTATCAGGTAAAATTACTGCTACTGATCATAAATATAATTTTAAAAATAAATTACAACATTTTACATGCAGAAAACATAGTCTATGTGCAAGAAATCGCTAATACTTGATTTCTCTATCTGTTTGTAACAGGAAGCAAGGATTAAGGTGTGTTTCTTGTTAATTCACAATTTTGGTCTAATTCCTGATTCATTAGCTTTATAATATAAATGCATCTGTTCCTTTCTCTTAATTATCACTCTCTCTAAATTACAGACTGCAGTTTTCATAGGGTGCTTTAGTACTAAAGTTTTTATATATAAATCTAGCAACCAAAAACATTGACCTAAGAAAAAACTTTAGGGTTTAGTATTGATCAATGTTAACTTTCATAACCAATAATTGATATTCAAATTTTTAAAGTTTTCTTTTGGTTGTTGTATATAGGAAATTAGAAAGAAACTGAGTAAATATTAACTCTTTCTTTTGTTGTTTATATATTTATTAGGGACATTTGCATAATTCTTTCTATTTTTACGTTCATCTTTTCTTTGTATTTGTGCTCATCTCTAATTTGACTCAAATGAGTGATAGTGGACTGAAATTGTACGTGAGTCTGAAGTCTGCAAAATGCCAAATAAAGGGACGTTTGATATCCTAGCTGCACGGCATCTGCATGCAACTCATTTTGGTAAGCAATGTGGACATTCATGGTCACACATCCAGCTTCACGCTTAATTGTTTGGGAAATAGCTTAAAATAGCACCCCATTTTATAATTTTTTGTCAAAATACCACCCCTCCTCAATATTTTTAAAACTACCACCTATAAATACATCTTTATTGTAAATTGATTGCACCCATATCACTTTTTCAGAAATTGGGTTCTCTCTCAACTCTCTTGGCTGTGTCTCTCTCTTCAGCCCTCTCTCTGTCGCTCAGCTCTCTTGCGCAACTCTCTCTGTCGTGTAACTCTCTCTCTCTCTCCGACACAGTCATCTTCTTCCCTCAGCCATCCAAGCTTAACTCCACGAGGTACTATTCACGTTCCTTTTCTTAGAAATTTGGGGTTTTTGTGAATTTGGTTTATGGTGTACGGATTTGTATGAATTGGTTTAGGGGTTTCTTCCAAATTAGTTTAGGGTTTTAGGGTTTAGAGGTTGCTCTGAAATTGGTTTAGGGTTTATGGGTTTGTATGAAATTGGTTTAGGGGTTTCTCTAGAGTCTAGGGTTTGGAATTGATGAGATATCTGATATAGGCTTCAAATTTCCCTAATTTATTTTTCTTTATTGTGATTGTGATTTTAGGTAAGGATTGGGTGATGGGTTTTTATTTTGGGTCATCTGATATGGTTTTGAGATTGGTTTCATATCTATGATTTTGGGTGGTGGTTTTAGTCGAAGAGTACCATGTGTATAGGAGGACAAGGAAAATGGCCAGCAGTGTGAAGGCCGAAGGTTGCAAAAAGGAGCTTTCATTTAGCTCTTGCAATAATTGCAAGGGATTTAGCATCTTCAGAGTTGGTACTATGAAACGAATGTGTTGTGTGTGTTTAAATAAAGGCAAAGATCATCCTAGTACTGTTGAAACCACCGACAAATTTGAGCTACATACAAATTTGTGTGTGAGCATTCTGAAAGTTTATGGACGGGTTAGTTTGTTTCAATTTGTTATCTTTGTTATCTTTGTTATCTTCTTCTTCTTCTTCTTCTTCTTCTAGGGATGAGTTAGTCCACACAAGTTCATGCACTTGGGCAGAAAACAAAAAAAATTAGATGCTTTTGAAAAGCATAGAGTGTTTGGCTTTTGACTTAAAAGAGTTCCGTTCCTCATTTGAGTTTCTATCTTGTACATTGGAAAATTCAAGGTAGAAATTTGTTTTCGTGTAGATCCAAAAGACTTTAAAATCAAAATCCAATCTAACATTCAAGTTTAATGGAATATACATCTTATCTAAGGATGACAGTCTAAATTCCTATAATTTATTTATTTATTTATTATTATCAAGGAACAATATAAAGAATCATTTTATATCTGAGGCTAAGCATGACTCAGAATTTCATGGTCTTATGCTTCCTTTGGGCTTCTGTTATGAAACTTGAGGTGACACTGCAGAAAGGCCTTCACAATCATAAATGGAAAGCAGGAATTCTCGAAAAACCTTGGCGCTGCCATAGCTACAAGAGGAGCTTTTCTGTGGATGACAAGGCCAGTACATTCTGTCATGCTTATATCCTCAGCTCTGGCTCCACCAGGCAATGTCCAGTCAAACTTGTGCACAAGATTTGCTAACACAATCTCATTAGTGATCATGGCAAACAAGGATCCTGGACTGATCCAAAACTTCTAGTCGATAGAACTAGGAATTCCTAATTTATAGGAATAAAGGAACGAGAGGAATTTTAAGACAATTAGATAAACAAAAGGAAGAAGCTAAGGAACTGCTTTGAGTTCTACTTTTAGAATTGCTTGTTTCATTTCAATGAATAACTTACGTATTTATACAAGGTTCGGTTGCTAAAATTAACTAAACTAAAATAGTAAATTATTTTAAGTCATAAAGAATGAATGGCCTAAAATCTTACTTAATTTGAAACCATTAACTTTTTATAGTTTATAACAATTCGTTATAAACCATTAGTTTTTATGGTTTTAAATAATTTAATAATATAATTAATTATAATTATATTATATTATATTATATTATGTTTATTTTTGTTGGTAGATCCTCCTGGATCATGGACAACCCCTTCTTCCAGATCCAAATGGGATTAATTGGAAGTCGTGCCCTTTGAAATCTACAGAATATTTCAAAAACCTCTCTGGTTTAAACTCCTCTGGTTCGTCCCACATTGAGGGGTCTCTTCCAATTGTCCAAGCATTGATCAGGACCATGGTTCTTGTTGCTGTGTCATAGCCCTTTATTTTAGCCTCTTGAGTTGATTCGCGAGGAACCAGTAACGGTATTAGAGGATACAACCGAAGCGTTTCTTTGATCACTCCTTTTAAGTAAGGAAATTTATCTAAATTGCCCTCGGTTAACTGAATTCTACTCATTTTTGTATCCATTGTTGACATTTAGTCTCTGTGGTTTTCTTTGCAATTTATGTGATATAGGTATATTTCATTTCCTGCACTGAGAATCTGTTAGTGGACTTAGTGAAGTATACAGCTTTCTTATGATTTCTCAAATTAGTTTTGACTTTGTTCCTTTTAAATAATTTCTACAGCAATTCTACTTTTCTGCTTAGCATTCTGTTGTTAATGGAATTTGAAACCTCATAATGTTTAGAAAGGGGTAAGATATACTTTACCCCCATGAACAGATGTGGAAAATCACTTAACACGCTTCCACAACAATATTAGAAAAATAAGTCCCTCGTTTGTTTAGAATTTTTCATTAATAGCTATTCTGTCAGTATATTTACCATTAGTACAGTTTTAGGGCCAAGTTCGTATGAGCAGATGACTAATTTAAAATATGTAATCAATCATTTTGCCCTCTGACTCAATCTTGGAAACATTGGTGTGGTGATTAATAGATGCGCAGAGTGCATGTACAAATAAATGTGCAGATTCGTTTGTTTACTTCCATGTGTTAGAAATCATGGTAATTTAACAGTTTTATCACAGAAGAATGAAGGTTTGGAATGCATAGAAGCCTACAATATACACCAAGTATAGAGATGGTTGCCAAATATCATGTTGAGCACTATGACCCGTGCAAAGTTAAATTGCATACATTAGTTTACTAGTTCTTTATCTTTTTGAAGATTCATTAGTTGTTCCAAAAATTAGTTATCCCTATTAGATCACATAATGTTTGATATGGACATCAACTCAATCCTGCCTTTGCTTTCTTGGAAAAGCTCTGCTGTTTACTTTTTTTTGTCAAAAGGTTTAATGGAAAGCTATCTATCCATTCCAAATTAAATTTATGTGTTCTTTGTTTTCCTTATAGGAAAATGGAGGTCAAACAATGGACATATGTCAAAAATGAAAAATAGAGGAAGTGCATAATTTGTTTATACCTAAAACACAATAAGCTGGTGATACGTTGGTGATACAGTGGCAATACAGACGCGATAAAAGGGTGCTAGAAATTGATGTTTTTGTTTATTTTGGGCTTCTTCTTTTGTTTCATTTCATTTACTTAGCTTTAATAATTGGATGATTACGAGATGAATTTGTGTCAAGTATTAATACAACAATTACATATATGAAGATTAAGACGAACAACATATCGTATCACCAAACATAATCAAACCACCAAATGTAATCATCCTTTTCTTCAACCCATCACAAAGCATTTGCATATTTATTAATACCTTCCTTTTTTTATAAATTATTTTTTAGTTGTTATTATTTTTTTAAATAATTTCTTACAATGTCTTACAGTGCAATTATAATGTACCTGACTGTCTGTTTTTGAAAGGCACATTGTTTCTTTCTCGTCGTTATATAATAGCAATATTAGGCCAATATACATACACTAGAGAGGCAATATTAGGGCAATATAACGGCAATACAATAGAAATAACATCACAATATAGATGCAATAGGGTGACAATATGCATGCAATATGTATGCAATACAAAGGCAATATTAGTACAATATACATGCAATAGGACAATAATATTAAGTCAATCTACATACAATACACACACATCCATTACAAACTACAATTTAGACATGCAAAATAAATCACCACCGAACCCTAACAATTCATACTACATTTTATTATCTTTAAATCTGTCGTCTAATACGTTCCCAAGCTGTTACATTTAGGTTTTTGTTTCCTATGATTCTATACAACGATTTTAACTAGAAAACCAATTATAATTCTTTATTAACGAATATATATGCTCAAAAATTATTTCTTTCATAAAACTTGAAAATTCAATTGTTATTACATAGTCAACCAATCTTTGCTCTATTACATACATACTTCCTACCTATAATTATAAATAATGGAAAGCTTACAAATTCTACTAATTTGATCTTAACTTCATCAATTTGTTCTTCGGTGTATGAGTTAGCTCTCTCTTCTTGCACATTTTCCAAGCTGTTCTATTCTCCTCCCGTATAGCAATATCAGCAACAACAAGTTATCTACGGATTTGAAATCATAACTGCAGATAATTCTCAATTAACAAAGAGGAAAACCATTTTCTTTTATAACTTTGGTTCTGAAATATATAACAAAATGCAAAGATCCTTGCTTCTGAAAATGAGCAAAAGTTTGTTAATCAATTCATAGTAAAAAAGAAGAAACTAGTGAATCTAACCAGAGAAATGCTAACCTGCAAAACCAACTCCAATACTTTAACCACAGCATTAATACTTGAGATTTTCTTCTCATGGATTATGATTAGAGGATTTTCCAATTCCTATCAGCACATACACAAGTTTGAAGATAATCAGCATCAAGCAAAAAGGGACTTGAGGTGCTACTAACTTTAACAAGCAGCCCTCTAACAATTTCAAGACATAGTTATCACTGAGTCAAACCAAAACTTACACATTTCTAATTGTTCTGGTTGGTGAAGGGTGCAAATCTGTTGACGCTTCACCAACTTTCTTACTACATGGTTGTTCTTCTTCACCTCCTCAACGACGGCAACAACAGCATCACCTTCCTATCAAACAATAACACAAAATGCCATCAAAGACGATGATTTGGATCTACACGAAAACAAATTTCTACCTTGAATTTTCCAATGTACAAGATAGAAACTCAAATGAGGACGGAACTCTTTTAAGTCAAAAGCCAAACACTCTATGCTTTCCAAAAGCATCTAATTTTTTTTGTTTTCTGCCCAAGTGCATGAACTTGTGTGGACTAACTCATCCCTAGAAGAAGAAGAAGAAGAAGAAGAAGAAGAAGAAGAAGAAGAAGAAGAAGAAGAAGAAGATAACAAAGATAACAAATTGAAACAAACTAACCCGTCCATAAACTTTTATGTGGCTCTCCTCTTACAAATGGACCATCAGAATGCTCACACACAAATTTGAATGTAGCTCAAATTTGTCGGTGGTTTCAACAGTACTAGGATGATCTTTGCCTTTATTTAAACACACACAACACATTCGTTTCATAGTACCAACTCTGAAGATGCTAAATCCCTTGCAATTATTGCAAGAGCTAAATGACAGCTCCTCCTTTTTGCAACCTTCGGCCTTCACACTGCTGGCCATTTTCCTTGTCCTCCTATACACATAAAATCCATCACCCAATCCTTACCTAAAATCACAATCACAATAAAGAAAAATAAATTAGGGAAATCTGAAGCCCATATCAGATATCTCATCAATTCCAAACCCTAGACTCTAGAGAAACCCCTAAGCCAATTTCATACAAACCCATAAACCCTAAACCAATTTCAGAGCAACCTCTAAACCCTAAAACCCTAAACTAATTTGGAAGAAACCCCTAAACCAATTTCATACAAATCCGTACACCATAAACCAAATTCACAAAAACCCCAAATTTCTAAGAAAAGGAATGTGAACAGTACCTCGTGGGGTTAAGCTTGCATGGCTGAGGGTTTAGGGTCATCTAAAAAATAAATTAGGGAAAAAGTGAACCCAATTTCTGAAAAAGTGATATTGGTGCAATCAATTTACAATAAAGATGTATTTATAGGTGGTAGTTTTAAAATGTTTAGGGAGGGGTGGTATTTTGACAAAAAATTATAAAATGGGTGCTATTTTAAGTTATTTCCCTAATTGTTTAAGGATCAAAGCTCTAATGTGATCATTGTGGAAGATGGTGATTTCATTTGGGTTAGAGGGCCAAGACATAAGCCCATTGTTGGACCACAAGTCCAGTGTAATTTTTCAGAAAACCTGACGATTGTCTTTTTTATTTTTTTATTTTTGGGTTTGGTAGATGGTTTTAGGATAAACTTCATATACCAATCACTCGCAAATCAACACGTGTATATGTAAACTCGGATATTTCGAGTTTGTAAGAGTTCGAACTTATAATATATGAGTTTATGGCTCGTATCATGCTCACCCTTCGTCATTGAGCCACTTGTTCGAGTTGACAATATTAAAATACATAAAACAGCCATTTCCATGGCATTTTGCGGGTGAGAAATTCTCATCTTCTTGTAATTTAGATAATCACTTTGCGTGTGAGAAACTCTCATCTTCTTGTAATTTAGATAATCGCCTCCTTTCAAACAAAAAAACACACAAAACAAGATTGAATCCTCCCACTCCATTCGATACAAATGTGAAAGGTCAAGAATAAATAATATTAAATCATTCATCATGAACGAATAAACCAACAAATGAAAGAAACCAATAAAATAATAATAATACTTATTACAAGGGCCATAGGATGAGAAGACTTGATTAAAGAACGCAGCGATGCAATTATAATAGTTGTTATATGATAGCATTTTTTTATATTTCTGGTCAATAATACAATGATATATAGGATAATTTTTTCACATATTATTATGTTATTAGCCGAAAATAACAAAGCATTATTATTCCCAAGTGAGTGTTTTTGCATAGGATGAGAATTAAACTTTGGCTGGTTTGGTTTGGGTTTCACTTCTTCATATAAACTGGTGGCTGTGGTTCTCTTAACAATCGCCATTCAAGGACTTTGTCACCAACGAAACAAGAACATGCGCCGGTCAAGCATTTGGCTTTCGAATCTAAGATGTCAGGAGGTGGAGCCAAGCCAACCAGACTTTCTATTTCTTCTTCATTAAACAATATATATTATAATTATTATTATTATTTTATCAATTTATGGAACTTTACTAAATCGATTATAGACCCAAAAAAAATAAAAATCATTTGATAATTATTTTAAAAAAATTAAAGAAATTTTATGTGCCACTTTAACACTCACTATGAATTTGAGTCCCGGTACGTTTTATTATCTTCATTCTCAGCTCTAAAATAATTTTATTCTTATAACATAAACCAAATGCAAAGTTAACTTGCAAAATGTTAAATAAAAAATAACTATGGACAATTATGTTTTAGTTAATATATAGGGATTAGATATTTTATACGAGCGATATTAGGAGAGGAAACCTCGGATGCTCTTAATTACCCTAATATATGTACTAAAAATGTGTAGATGAAATTAATGTAGTCAAACTCAACTGCCCTCGTGGACATGTGAACTCATGTATGTGGCACTCTAAGCTCTCTCTACCTGTGCCAACTCTAAAAGAAGCTTCGGCTGATTCTGTGTATAGATTCAACATTAGGTACGCGCCAGAAGATTTTATCAAACGCGGACTGTGCATGGTGATCTAGAAAGAAAACAAGGATATAAACAATTCGAGTAGATCAAATTGTAAACATATCCCTTATGTTTGACACAGCTTAGACAAACGTCACAAGGCTTTAGACAAAAATTTGCATCGATCGATCCCTTTAATAATTTCCAAATTGTGACAGATGAAGGTGTTGGGAAAATGCTTTCACACACACATGGCGAAATTCAGAAACCAATCTCATTGGTGGATCAAAAAAAATATTGTATATTTACCTTGTGAAGAGATGTGGGGATCAAGAAAAATATGGAAAATGGAAGAAAAGGACACTCTGCCTTCTCCCTTGACTCTTTTTAAATTCTTATGTACAACTAATTAAAGCATATAATCAGTCCATCCATCCTCCTTGAGTCATGGGTGGACTTTGACCACTACTTTTCTAACCAGCTCCCCTCCTTTTTCCCTTGCCCGGCTGCTTCTCTCTCTCTCTCTCTCTCTCTTGCTTCTGGTACTACTACTTTTCAAGTTGTCCTCCTTCCTACTTTTCAAGTTCTCACTAAACCAGAAGCAAATATTTCCCTCTCTCTCTCTCTCTCTCTCTCTCTCTTGCTTACTAGTACTACTACTTTTCAAGTTGTCCTCCTTCCTACTTTTCAATTTCCCACTAACCAGAAACAAATATTTCCCTCTCTCATCAAGTGCCCACCTCTTCTCTTATTGTTTCATCAGTTTCTGGGCTCACCAGTATGAATGGTTTCTTTTAATATTCTTGATATCCCTATTTTTCAAATCTCTCTCATCTCACTGCCAGCTTCTTTCATAGTTAAAGGTACCAACCCCACATCACCTTCTGTACATACATACCATTGCCATTCTGATTCTGATCACAGATCCTTAATTTCCCCATAGATATATATATGTGTTTCCAAAGCTACCACCTTTATAGTCAAGACCTTTCTCATTCCTTCTAGATCATCATGGTGTTCTGCATATTATTCAAAATGAAATAAGGAGGACAAATGTTGGGTAGGGCCAGAGACTCATAGCCAGCTAGTCTTCTCAAATGACATAAAGGTCGGCTGTTGCAGTGTTGCTAGGGAGATCCAGAGGGATTGGATCTCCTATAGCCTGCAGCAACAATTTTATCAAACACTTTGTACATGGACACTGCCTTCCAGCTCGATGAAGGCTCTCGCGCCAGTTTTCTTAGACTCATCATGCAGTCTTTTGGCTGCTTCTACATCTGCTTATGGTCTTATATGCCCCCCTCCTTCTAAGTATGCATCATCAAAACCTCTCTCTCTCTCTCTCTCTCTCTCTCTCTCTCTCTCTCTGTGTGTATAAATGCGGCCACTATAGCTCATACATATTTGATATATGCATGCAGCTGCTTATTCTTTCTTGATGGTGTCTATGATGAAGAAAATCAACCAAGCTCTTCTTCTGGGAATCAGGCTCGGAGGCTTTTTGATGAGTATCGGCAATCAATATTCAATGTTGTCGAAAATGAGTAAGACAGACAGTACTAGAACTACTTTGTAATTAAATTTTGCTAGCTAGATATATAGCAAGTCCAATTAAACCAGCGACATTAGCTTCCAATGTGTATGTATATTGCTCTCATAAGTATTTTTTTCTGCATGTATGTATATGATCAGATGTGTTCCAGGATTCGCTTTCAGGAATAGTCTTCCAAATCTAGAATTGCAAGAAATTGACCTACAAAGACTGGCATCAAGCAGTGTACAGAGGCAATTTTATCAGGTAAAATTGCTATTGTTGATGATAAATATAATTCAAAAATAAAATACATTTACATACATTTTACATGCTAATACTTGATTCCTTATCTGTTTGTAACAGGAAGCAAGGATTAAGGTATTTTTCTTGTTGAATCACAATTTTGGTCTAATTTTCTGATTCATGAGCCATAGTTGATGTTCCTTTCTCTTAATTATCAATTTTCCCTCTAAATTACAGACTGCAGTTTTCATGGGGTGCAAGAGTGGAGAGATTGAGCTTGGCCTCTCCAATGTGCCTCAAGTAAGAAAACCACAAACAATTCTCACCCTGCAAATCAGTAAACTAAGCTTGTATGCTAATAAACTAATCCAATTGTTTTTGTTTAATTTCCAGATAAACATAAAAAGGGAACTGATGAGAAACTGGTTGCCAGAAGCTTTCTCCAGACAATTATCTCCACATACAGCAGTTGCCAACAGGCCAAATAATCCTGATCAGCAAAACCCACTTTCATCCTCCTCCTCATCTTTTAGATCACTGTCCACCATGGATAGCCCTGAATATTCCTCCATCCTCTTCAACATTCCAACCACCACCACTACTTCTCACATTAATATCCCAGAAGTCTTTACACAACCAGCTCCTAATCCATTGCAACCTATTAATATTGTTACGTCATTAGAACCAATGCCACCTTTAAATATCATTAGTAGTTCCATTACTAGTCCTCATCAAAAAGCCTTGCAAGCATTTTCTCGAATACGAAACACCCAATTCCCTAACCCTGAGATCGAAGATGCCGCGATGACAAGAGCCATCCTTGCAGTTCTATCTGCTTCTCCTTCTTCTTCTTCTTCACATCAGCCACCACCACAAACTAATGTTCCACCTTCTTCTTCTACTGCTCACTTTCTCACTCCAAAGACAAGTGCTTTCAAGACTTACAATTCCTCACCTTTAGCCCCAAGATCGCCGAAGAGCTCTAATGTACGCAAGCAAATCATGCTCAAGAGATCCATTTCCTTCTTGAGAAGTTTGAATCTAATGAGACTTCGCGAAGGTATCCAAGCTACTCGCCCCACTAGCAGTCAGCTTCATCACATGATATCGGAGCGTAAAAGGCGTGAGAAACTGAACGAAAGCTTTCATACATTGAAATCACTACTTCCTCCAGGAACCAAGGTATATGTATGCATACACTTTTTTGTTTGAACACATATTAGGCGAGTTTAAGGCTTAGGGTTTCGCTCTCGGGTTTTAAGTATTAATGATTAGGCTTTTATTATAAATGTAGAAAGACAAAGCATCGGTGCTTACAACTGCAAGGGAGTACTTGACTAGTTTGAGAGCTCAAGTTGCTGAGCTTAGTAAAAGAAACCAACAGTTGGAGGCAAGGCTTCCTCCAGCTGCCAAAGAAGCTTATAATGAAGAAGCAGCAGCTGCAGCAGGCTCCTCAAATGAAAGAGTTAGTGTTACGCTTACACGAGTAGCATCCGAATCAACCCCAGATCAAGATCAGCAAATTTTTGACTTGCAAGTGGTTCTGAGATCAGTAGAATGCTGCACTGAAGATATGGTGATTCGAATATTGGAATTCTTGAAGCGGGTTAACAATGTAAGCTTGATGTCCATGGAAGCCAATACTTGGATGTCAGGATCTGATTCTAACGTCAACCGCGTAATCTTGAGATTAAGAGTTGATCAGGTATGTAATTAATACAACTACGTACTTACTGATTTTTTGAAATTTCTCAATTTCATACAACTATATTGTTCCCTTCTACTGAAGCATGTGTGAAGGTAATTGACCTAGCAATCACCATAGTATTGAAGTTTTAATATATAAATCTAGCAGCCAAAAACGATGACCTAACAAAAACTTTAGGGTTTGCCAGTGAGGTATGACTCGGTTGAGTTTGCCAGGAAATTAGAAAGAAACTGAGTAAATATTAATTATTTATTTTGTTGTTTATAATTTTGTAGGGGACCGAATGGGACGAGGCTGCCTTCCAGGAAGCAGTGAGAAGGGTGGTTGCTGACTTGGCATTGAATAATTGCCGCAATCAATGACTTCTCTCTGCAGGGTGGTTCCAATATATATAGCTAGGACTAGACTAGTCAAGATTTTGATATATGCATGGATGGATGCCCCTTCTACTTTTGGCCATGGATGCCTTCAAATTTTGACCCTATCACACATCATCACCATCCATTCCATTCATATTTTGTGCCTCATTTGTACAATTTTAATAACTGCTTCTTTGCGTGCATCCATTAGTGTAGGAGTCCATTAGTGTAGGAGTTTGGAGCAATTGCTTCCTTGCAAAGTATCCATTAATGTAGTAGTTTAGAGCAATTGCTTCTTCAGGAAGTTTCTAAGTTCGAGTCATGAGAAAAGTAACTAATGAAATAGAAGAATATATAGAAATTATTGTATTAATCTATTAGTTATATAAATATTTATGAGAAGGAAGAGCCATGAATGGATTTGTATTGGGACATCCATCCACCAAGGCAAGTTGGGGTGAGTCAAGCCCACCAAATAAAAGTCCTTGTTTTATCTTCTTCCTTTGTGGGGGTCTTATGTGGGTTCTTACGTCAATTTTGTTTCTTGTACGAAATGATGTGTTGCCCAAATTGACTGCAAATAGGAAGAAACCATGAAAGCAACCGCCATGAAAGAACAAACACCAACAACTGTTTAAAGAGTTGATTGATACAAAGTTAGAACAACACATGTATTCAAAATCTTGGTCCGACATCAAAAATTCACTTTTTCAATGTTTTTTCCAAAACCACAATAATAACATATGCCATGTCATGCTGGGTGTTTAAGGTTGAGGCTGAGATTGCGGTTGGGTTCATGTATCGCATAATATTAATCTAGCCTAGAGATTATATTAAAATCCCATTTGTCTTTGGTCCTTTAGTTGGGCAACAATATCATCTGTCTTGAAATTTCAAGGTCAGTCAATCACTTTTCTACACAGGAATCAGTAAAGCCCTTCGAGACGGCGGTTTTGACTTTTCTATATATATAAGCATATGAACCTTTCAAGGGTTGAACCGTTGAAGTGCTCCACCTAATGGGGTAAGCAAACTCATCCGCAGGTCACAAGTTGGTCAAATTCATTCATCTAACAGATTCTTGGCCAGGGCTCTAGCTGCCCATTTTGTATATTTCCGGTACCACTGCCACTTGGAAATTGGAAGTTGGAAGCTTTACTTTCCAAGATTCTGGATAGTGTCGGCAAGTTGGGAGGGATCGGAATTATGTCCGCTAAGATCTGCTTGACTTTTATTCTCTATATGCCGCCTCAATTAAATATAATGCGATGACTAAAAGTTCAACACCACAACACTTTACCAAAAAATAAAATAAACAAGCAAAACAAAGTAAATGTTTTCTGTTTGTTGATGGTATTTCTTCTTGGATCATCTGATGGGTAAATGCTATAGGGTGTATGATAAGCCTCCGTACGTCTTCATCATCAGCTCAACAATATATTAAATCTCTTTTGGTAAACAAAATTGATATATAACATTGACAACGCTGAAATACAAACCGTAGCTCAACATGTAATAACAAGCTAGGGTGAACCTGGAAATTTGAAAACCGACCCTGCATCCTCCCAAAATTGCCCCCTTCGAACCCGCAAAATTTCACTACACACATAGTGATTACTGATTAACAAATAATATTAATTTACAAGGACAGCAAGTGATTCTGAACGGCTTCCCCGACAGTTCCAACTTCCCAGCTGATGCGCTGGTGATGTCCCCGTAGAGCATTGAAGCCCGCAGGAAAAACAAGTAAAATTAAAACTCTGCAGTTTGAGGCCATCTGAACACTTACGTTCCGACTGCCGTAACTGCATCTTCATCAGTAGAATCAGGTGAAACAATTTCCTCCATGGGTTCTGTTTCTGCTTCATTGTCTGTCACAACATCTACTAGCTTCTCCCTAAGCTTTGTTGTAAGTTCTTCCATAGCAGTGTTATTCTCGGCCAAAAACCTTTTCAGAGCATCCTTGCCATGGAAATTTTGACCATTTAAATTATAATGTGAACCAGACTTTGTGACGAATTTGTTTTTCACTCCCAATTCTATGATCTCTGATTCGCGACATATACCCTTACCAAACTCCAGCTCTATTTGAACAGTTCTGAATGGAGGAGCAAGTTTGTTCTTCACTATCTTCACTTGAACTTGACTTCCTAAAGTCTGCATAGCAAATTAATTTCTTTCAAAAGGATGCATAACCATAGCATCTAATCCTCCAATCCAAAGGGGCCAAAAAACAAAGAACGGATAACAATGTAAGCCATATTACTCAGATTCAGGTTATTTTTCAGGGTCTCATTAAATGGTATTCAAGACCAATTCAAAGTTCTAATTCAGGGGTAATGGCTACCAGGGAAACTACTTCTGTCCACAAATAAAGTTCTAATTCGTGGGCACGATAGACAGATGGTTTTGTACCTACCTCTTCACCCTTCTTGATAAGCCCTATTCTCCTAATATTAAGTCGCACTGAAGCATAAAACTTCAAAGCATTGCCGCCACAAGGAACTTCAGTTGGCCCACCAAATCCTCCAAAAGTAGAAATCTTCGACCTCACCTGAAGATAAACACAATCAATTGCAGAAGTCTGACCTTTGAACAAATATCCACATATTTCAATGAGATTGAGAATATCAGATTATTATTTCAACAATACAAAAGCCACCAAATTCAGAAAGTAGTTCAGGATAGACTATGTACAAAAAGTTAAACCATACAAGTCAAAGTGAAACTACATAACAGAATTGTATTCAAATTGTATCAGAAATGAAACACACTAATACCTGATTTGTAAAGATTAATATTGTCTGCGATAGAGACAAGGAGTGACTCAATTTGCGAAGCGCCTGGCTCATTAATCTAGCCTGCATAGCCATATGAGCATCACCCATCTCACCATCAAGTTCACCTTTAGGCACAAGGGCAGCCACCTGTCATCATATGAAAACCATTCATCCACCCAGACAAGCTACTGTGCAATGTAAAAGACAAAAATCTGGCTGTAAAAGTACAATCTATAAAAGCCTCTTGAGATGATATGATGGGGAAAACATTCAATGAGAACCAAAACCAAAGAGGTTTTGTACGAACACACGAAGCATGCTTAATTTTCAATGGAAAAGTCGACATGGATAGTTTACCATGACAATATAATGTTACTGAAGAGCACCTTACTTACACTGTCAACAACTACAACATCAACCGAACCACTCCGGATTAGAGTGTCTACAAGACTAAGGGCTTGCTCACCGCAATCAGGTTGCGAGAGAAGTAGATTCTCAGTGTTTACCCCAATAGCCTGAGCCAGTGAAGGATCAAGGGCATGCTCAGCATCAACAAAAACACAGTACCCTGCATAAAGTTGCATAAAACAAGGAACTCAATATCATAACAGCAGCCAAAAGAAAACAATTTAGCATCAACAGGGTAACTCAAGATCATGAACAAATCTAAATTTTACCACACCAGCATTAGAACTTAATTGATATTTAGGTATCTCCTATATGGATCAAATAAAAACTTCTTACAGGGTACAACTGTTCTAACTCCAAGAAACTCAGGAGATGATCAGGAAACACAATTTAGATGTGTGCGTGGTAGTACCGTGTTCACATAGAATAAACAACTGAAAGAAAGAACGAAAAAGAAAGAGTATTTTTCACATACAATAGCCATACCATGTTCTATATATGATGTGCAAAATGTTAATGTACCACCAAATTATAGTAATAAATTCCATAGTCTAACCTCCTTGCTTCTGTGCTTGGGCTATTACATGTAGAGCAAGAGTAGTTTTCCCAGAAGCCTCAGGACCAAATATCTCCACAACACGTCCCTACAGAAATTCAAAGAATGAATATCACAAGCAGCTAATACATATTCAAAAGTGATGTATAAGGTCAAATCTGTGCATCTAGCAGCCTATGCACAAAAACACTCATGTGTGATCAAGACAACAAATGACCAGTAATAATGACCCTAAACATTCAACTGATTATGTTTTGCATAATACCTTCGGAAATCCACCAGTTCCCAGTGCTAAATCCAGAGCAAAAGAACCCGTGGATACCACGGGGACCTGTCGAGGAGAGGCGGACCGACCAAGCCACATTATAGATCCCTTTCCAAATGAGGATGTAATCTGATCCAAGGCTTGCTGCAGAGCTAAATCTTTCTTGGACATATTCTCTTCATTGGAGTCACTTCCATCTGACTTAGATTTCTTTCTGCCTACAGAGACCAATTCACGTTTTTTTAAATCATAAGGCGCACAAAGTGTCTCAGAAAAATAAACAAATAACATATACTAACATTTCCTAAACAAAGTTATCGAAGAAATCAAAAAAGGGAAAAAACTTGAAGCAATCACCTTTAGAAGAAAAATTGCAAAGCTGAGTAGATGGCCCCAATATTCCTCTCCGATGTACCTGCAAAACAAAGACAAAAAATTAGATGCACGAAGCTCTAAGGGTATAACTCTGTTTTAACTTTCTGTATCCGAATAAATAAACCATTTGCGATTCAGACACTGTTTTCCCAACTTTCACAGTGACCAAACAGACAACTAAAAATGCACAAAATGAAGAAATGGCAAACCTGTGGTGGGAATAGAAAACGTTTCATAGAAAGAGCGTTTCGGAGAAGCCTTGCCATAGGCAACAACCTCCAAGTTTCCAAGCCTCCACAGCCCAGCTTCTCCAGAATCAAATAAGAGAAGAGCAAAGCAAGGCAAAACCTAGCCTAAAAATCAATTTAGAAAAATTTGCTAGGCCATGCATATACGAAGGGGCAGAGGGAAAGAGAGAGGGAGAGGGAGAGTCTGGGTTTTAGGGTTTTGGGTTTGTTTTCCCTCCTTTTTGAATGCTGAGTATCGCAGAGTGAAGAGCTGACTGTTCGGGCTTTCGACTTTTCGTTCTATTAATTTAGGATTGGGAATTTACACGTCGGATATTACGAGGGAGATGAGAGCCCCCGTATTGTAAATAAATACGATGGGCTTTTTCCTACATTCTCACCCTATAACAAATTATTATCGTATATTTCTTTTTTTCTTTTTTCTTTTTTAATGAGTTATTTATACTAACATACCTGAGGTTTCTTCTGAGTTATTTATGTGTTATTTCTTTTTTTATTATTTGGAGAATTTTTTTGGTATAAAATCATTAATCTTTGGATGAAAAATCAATTAAAATGAGTTTTGTGAAAACAATTTAAAACCTCAAACACTGTTTGTATAAGAAATTTTGTGAAAAGGCTAAAACTTCAAGGCATGTTAGTTTAAATAACTCTTTTTTCACAAATATTATTCGTTACTTTAAAAACCACTCTTAGGTATTTTTCTTTTTCATCTTTCTCTTTGAATTTTATTTTTTCAAATAATTATTGAATAAATGTCAATTTAGGCTCTTTTTGGAGTAAATCAATTTATAGAATTTTTGGGGTACATAATCAATTGAGACTATTTGTAGGAGTTGAAAAGACTAAATTAGACACGTTATATGATACGTGTTCTTCGTTTCCATTAAAATGTCATTGCATTAAACTTGTAGCTTGCGGGCCAGCCACTAAACAATCAGGCTAAAAAGCCACGTCGTATAATTTACCAACTCAAGAAAAGAGGCTCCATATAAAAACAAAAAAACTCAAGAAAGAAGGAAAAAAATCAATTGAGATACAAGGACAAAAAAAAATTACACATACCATTAATAGGGTACTAAAAACGTTGTCCATCAAATACCAACAAATCACAATGCCATCCAAACCATATTTTTTATCACATCCCCTCTAGACCAACTTAAGGTAAAAATAAAAGGAGAAACACTCCCACTATCACTCATCATACAGAGGTAAAAATATATTGATCATACAAAAATGACCAGCCACCATTTTCTATCAAAACAGTCTGAAGGTCCAATGAGAACGCTCAGCTACTCAACCCGCCCTTCGGAAACAATCATATTTTACTGCTGTTTGCATTCTGGAGGCCGCTCGCCCTGCTGACCGTCCGCAAGTTGTGCTCTTCCACTCTTCTGCATTACATAACACGAGTGATCAGGACACGCATACAAAAAGTTGATTTTAGACAAAACAAGTTGAAGATGTTGGATCAATAAACAAATTTAAGGCAAGCCAGTATTTTCAACATTTGTTTCTTTTTGGAGGGGGCGCTGTAAATCTGGCGAAAATATATGAAAAAAAGGAAATACCTTGTGAGCAGCTGATGTCTGCAACAGAATTCCGTAAATTTGACAGAAAAACAAGCATCATTTCAGATTTTGAAATAATTAAAAAGGAAGAGATAGTTAATCCAAATTTGAAAAATACTACACCTTCTTTTTGGTTTTGCCTTCATCATCATCTTCATCATCTTCATCATCATCTTCGTCCTCATCTTCATCCTCATCATCCTCATCATCATCTTCATCTTCAATGTCATCGTCTTCATCATCTTCCAAGTCTCCAAAATCATCTCCCTGGATAGCTTCTCCCGTAAACCATGAAACAGCATGGGGGATGATCTTATCTCGAATGGTAGAACTACAAAATAATGATGCCAATAACAGAAGAAAAAAATTAAACAAAGTACTCAATTACAAAATTCCCAAAAACATCTAGCAGTAGCAGAGAGTTCAGAAATCTGTCAATGGATAGAAAAAAGTATGAACTCACCCAATGTCATAATCCTGTTCCATCTGGTTTTGGAGTTCCTCAGCCTGTTGATAAAAGGGAATGAATAAGACACCACAAAAGGCCAAAAGTCGTTAAGGAAACAAAAAGTAAAGAAGACCGTCTCTTACAGCATCTTCCTCAATATCTTCGTCATCCTCAGGAACTTGAGGTGGACTAAAAAAGTTGAAGAAGCTTTCGCAATTCTCAGTTCTAGTGATTGGCTTAGCATTCTTAGATCCCTTCTTAGGCTTCTTCTTAAGGAGCTTCTGTGTCAAACATTTTGCTGGATACCATTCAATCTCCGTCCTACAAAGCACCAAGTAACAACCAAATGTAAAATAAAGTCAAACTGCCATGCACATGACTTCTTGGTAACAGAAGTATAAAATAAGGAACTAAACTATTTAGCATAAAGGCAATGTAGGAACCAAACTTACCCTATTGCTTTCTCAAGAATGGGTTCGTCTTCATCTATCATGTGATATATCTTTGTCAAGACAGAGTTCTTAAAGAAGGGGTTGGTGTCAAAGTAGAACTCAAGTTTGAACCCCTTGGGATTGTCTATCCTAAACCACTTGATGTCCCTAAGATATTTAAGGGCCCCTTCATCACGCTCAGTAATCTGATATCGAAGGATAAGACGAAACAGTTTATTTGACATACAGCAACACAACTTCATAAATGAGAAACATTATGCACAAATGACTACCTCCTCAGCTAGCACTTCATTGTTTTTCATTGCATTGAGCCAGAAATCAGGCACTCCTTTCTCTGTAAAAATGCAAAAGCAAAGTCCAGAAACTAATAAGTTTCACACATTAAATAAAACCTAATATTGGTCCTGCAAAACTATCAAGAGTATACCCTCTGCAGCGTTATCCTCTTGATTTGCTGCTTCAGTAGTAGCTCCTTCAGCTTCCACAACACCATTTACGATCTCGTATCTCTGTCAAGTGATCAGTACAATATATTTTAAAACCAAGGACATGCAAAGAAATGACAATAAGCAAACAGCATCCATAATGCAATAAACGAGCACACACTAACACAGGCCTGGGGTGCCACCGCTACCTTGCTTAGGTAGACTAGTGGTAAGCCACTAAACCACCTAGCCTTATGTGCTATGTAAAACATACCTTGCTATACAAAGGCTGGTACAATTTCTGATACTTGGCTTCCAGGGCTGCTCTCTCCTCAAAAAACTTTGCTTCTAATTCATCATGTTGGGTCTGCAAGTTGAGAAAGGCTCAGCGTGTTTCACACATCCAAATAATATGCACACCTTTTTTCATTTTTCGTCAAATAATACTAAGAGAGCGATCAACAAGTTCCATTCAACAAATAACACCACCACTTGATGACAAATTGACTCCAATCATTTTGTCAATTACAATGAATATTTTGCAAATTCTAAGAGAACCCCCAACTCAAACTCAAAAAGTAAAATATACACCAGAAACCCGTCATATCAATCAGAAGTCAGAACTATTGTTACCAAATAAACTTATAAATGAAATAAGAGTGTAATATAATCAATCAATGAACCAAAAGACAAAAATCAAATATCAGCCAAACAAAGACTTAGACCAGCAAAGTACAGCACCAAACTACATGCTTCAGAGCGAGAGAGAATCATGCCTGGATTTCTCTAAGAACATCAACACGCTTTCTGACTACAGGAGAGAGACTCTCGAGGATATCAGAGTGCTGCCCGGCCAAACTCTGTATCTTATTCTGCGAAGACACAAAAAACCCAAACTCTATCAGCCAAACAAAGGCTTAAACCCCCAAAAAAAAATACACTCAAATAAAAAACAAATATCGATAGATAAAATTGAAAAATTAACGAGTCTAATGGTGACTGGGGATAAAGCACTGACCTTGAGAGCGTTAACGAGGCCTGCTCGATCCTCTTCGTTCAGAGCTGCAGAGACAAAAATGAAAAGCAGTATAAGATCACCGCATCAGATTACCAAGCATGAGAAACAAAGAGAAAGAGATAGAGAAAGAGTACCACCAGCGGCGAGATCAGACATGTTCATGCTATCCTTGTCGTTGCTCATTGTGATTGCAGAGGGAGAGAGGGGGAGATAGAAGAAGGCGGCAAAGCTAAAACCCTAGAAGCGGTGAGGGGGGAGGCAAAGTGTAAAGAGAGCTTTCAAAACGTGGCCTCCGTTTAATCCTTTGCTCCCTCTTTTTAAACCCTAACACCTCCTCTCTCTCTCTCTCTCTCTCTCTCTCTCTCTTTATTATTATGGATGGTAGTGGTACACTGTGTGATGCGCTGTCCCATATTTTTTTAAATTAATTTCTACATTTTTCATAATTGATTTTTTAAATATTTGGGCATGGTTGAAACTTGAGAAGGGCCGGTGTGATGAAGTGGCCTAGATCTCTAAACAAAATGGATACATTTGGCTGGTTTTTTGGTGGTCAAAAATAAATTTGCCCATGTGTTTTCTATTTATTCAAGGATTTTCGAGTAATAAATTTGATCTCGTGAGCTCCTTCAATAAGAATTATATCTCAAATTTGAGATTGTTGGAGAGCTTATGGATTTGCATGAGATGTAAGTTGAGGGTGGAGAGGGGAGAAATAGTCACTAATCATAATGGTTGGCGAATTTGATTTTCCAGTGGTTTGTGGAGGTGTTTAATTCGCGGGTAATGGTGGTTCGCGGGAAGAGATGATTCGCGGGAAAAAGGTGGTTGCGTGAAAGGGCCTTGAGAACAATAAATTATTTCATTTCCCATGTTTAGTAAGTCCATATTTGGAAAAAAGTTTCTTACCTCATGTGAAAATACGGGGGAAAATAAAACCCTCCATCCATTTTGTGTTTCATTTTTGTTTTCCATGGGAAATCATGGTAAGTTTTTTATGATCAATTTGCCCCCATTAAAAAATAAATAAATCAATGAAACATTTTTTTCTAATTTAAGGGTATAGTATAATGGAAAGCCTAAACAATTTTTATTTCCAATTGATAACCAAACCAAACATTGGTAATGATATATTACTTTCTAAGTGTTACCAAACATGGAAAATGAATCTCCAGTTTTTTTTCCACAAACCAAACACAACCTATGTTGACCACACAAAAAAACCTGTGTGTACACGTGTTTAGATTCATTTAAAAGTTATAAGTATTGATCTTTGAATTGTATTTTAGAGATATCTAGTTCGTGTGAAGAGGTGATTTGCATTAAAAGATGATTCGCATGGAAGGAAAATTATTTAATTTCTCATTTGTTTGTTAAGTCCATATTGGGGAAAAGGTTATGTAAGCTAATGTGAAAATGAGGAGGGAAATGAAACCGTCCATCCAACTTGTGTTTCATTTTCCCTTCCGATGGGAAATCAAGGACCAAGGTAAACATTAATTAAGTTTTATATGATCAATTTACCCTCATTAAAAATTGAATAAATAAAGGAAAACATTAATTATTTTTTTTTATAACTTAATGGTATAATTGAAAAACTAAATCAATTTTATTTCCAATTCACAACCAACATAATATAGGTAAGGAAACAAAAAGATATTTTTCAATCACTCTCTTTACTTTCCAAGTATTACTAAACATGGAAAATGAATCTCCATTTCTTATTATTTCGAAAAGACATAAAAACTGATTTTCATAAATTTTTTTCCATGAACCGAACACAACTTGTGTGTGCACGTGTTTGAAACTTTATGAGTATTGGTTTACCATAGATTTCCACAATAATTTGTTTTGTAACAGGAGGAAAAATTGATCACCCCATGCAATTTCGTCGGCAAAAATGAGTGTAAAAAAATGTAGACAACAGAGACCATTCAATTTCGAAATAGGGTGAGATATTTGGCTAGAAACCAGGCTGCACAATCTGCTCCACATAACTAAAACCAACACTACATACATATAATATAAAAAATGAAAAACTGAAAATGACAACGATGGTGATGATGTGAGGAAATATCAGAACAAGCTGAAATTCGTTCCATAAACTAAATAAAATCAGACATTCAATACAGTGGCTAGTAAATAGCACTTTCTTATAGCTACATGTGAGTTGATTCTTGTTATCTCTTCACAAGCTGTTCAGAATTGACCGACACCAAGCTGCTTATCCTGCAATCCGATATGTAAGATTGTTTCTTGCAAACCCCGTTGCCCTAAAACAGATACAAAAGATATTTAATTAAAAATGATCTTGTAAATTTTGGATGAAGAGTTTCATGGAGTTCTTGCACTGTCTTAACCATCATTTTCAGTGCTTTCCGCATCTTTCACTTGATCACCATTAGCTGGCTTCTCAGGACTCAAAATTCTTCCACTCAAAGGATCTACAGGCCGTGTGTCACGTGGCCCACCCTTACGTCCCATTGCCACCATTGGCGGTGGAGGTAGCAACCCTGCTCTGAAAAGAATGCGCTGCACAGGATCTGAGGGCTGAGCTCCAACAGATAGCCAATACCTGCAGAAAGCAGGAACAAAATTTGTGTGACACAATTGTTACTACTCTAGCAAAATAAAACCAATAAAAATCTGCTATATCAAATGTTGTCCGGAGATTATGAAGTCATGCGCATCCTGTTAGAAACTCCGAGGCATTAATTGTCTCAATAAGCACACAGAATAGAATAAAAATCTTCTGGGATAATTGTTTCAGCTTCCTCAAAATCTTAGAAGAGTTCCATTAACTAATTTCACCTTAAAGCATCCACATAATTAGAACAAGCAGAGAATCAAGTAAATCCATGATCCAGAAAACATGCAGTAATTTCCAAGAACAAAGTCACTTGATCAAAATATAATTTAATTTTCCGTGAGAACACATTATCCTCCTCTTACCTAACATCTGGAGATCTTTTTTTTTTTTGGATGTAATCTTGGATTTTCATTCAAAAGGGTACAAAGACACCTACAGCAATTAGAAGAAACATAACTAAAACCAACAAGAGGAAAATAAACTACAGCCAATTACAAAGCCTAGTACAGTATTTTCCTCCCACCATAGACAGACTAATTAAGGTGGACTGGGCAGTCCATCCGAAACCAAAACACGAACAAGGGACACAGACTAATTAACATCTGGAGATCAAGGGGTCACATTTACGCACAGCCACCTTCCAGTTCTAGCATGAACATGAAATATTATACCATAAATAACCCTAACACTGAAAGATACAAAATCTAAACTTAACCGACAAATTAGTACATCTAAAGGCAATTCATCAACAATGAAACATGCAAAATGAAGCATTGAAAGTCACTTACTTCACTCTTTCAAAGTTTAGACCCATTCGTTTACCACCATCTTGGCCTGTACAAAATCATACACATTGAAGACAATTTGCTTAGATATCAACTATTCATATTACCCAAATGAAAAAGAAAAAGAAAACTAATCCTTTTCTTTGGATATTCATACTCAAAACGCGTTATCCTTCTGAATTTTTACCCAGCTTCACAGAAATTGCAATTTTGTTCAAAATTCATCAAATTCAGCTCTACCGATATGAAATGCTACATTTCTTTAGCTATCATTAACAAAACCCTAAGAAACCAAAAAAAAATCCTAACCCATACACAGAGAGAGAAGCGAGAGAAGACCTGGCAAGGGATTGTAGTAACCCAAGACTTCGAGGTGCTTGCCGTCTCTAGGAGATCGGCTATCGGCCGCCATGACCCGATAGAACGGCCTGTTTTTGCATCCGAACCTTGCCAGTCGGATCCTCACCACCATTTTCTTAGCTTCACCAAAATGATCGCTCGGTCGGGAAAAACCAGTAACCTGAAACCAGTAACTCACTACACCATCTGCTTTCTAGGGTTTAAGGGACTAATCTGAATGTTATTTCGGGTCAAATTTAAAAACCTGTGCGGCCCAATATTTCTAATAAACAGGTTTAGTCCAAGATTTAGCCCGGCCCATGACCCGGCCCAGCGTCGTTCCAAGTGCATGTTGAAGGCGGTTAGCGCCTACACGGGGGAAATCCTGAAAGTTTTTTCAACAGAAAAATAAAATAAAATCTGAAAGTTTCAGACTTTCAAAACCCCTTTATAGGGTTTCTGATTGGAAGAGAAGGAATTTGAATTTCTTGGTATTTCTGGCAACAATGGAGGAAGCAAATATTGAAACCGAAAAACCCTCGCAAACTCTAATCGCTTTCCCTCCTCACTGTCGAAGACACCTCAAGAGCGGAACGTACCGTACCTTGGTTCGAATACTATCTCACTGCTACGAGGAGTCGCAGCATTCAGCTGCCGATCAAAATGTACCTCAAGAGCTTAATCAAGGTAGATTAAATTTCCACAACTCAGTTTTTAGTTTGTTTGGTTACTGAGAAACTCATTTTTTTTGTCATTAGGGTTGTTCAGTTGGCGATGGAAGTGAATTAGTAGCTTTCGAAAGTAAAAGTTTGATTTTTTTTTTGTTTACTAAGATTATTTTGCTTCCAAATTTTTAAAGCACGCAGTAGCTAGCCACTTGCACTTGGAAGAGGTGCTATTGGAATGTTTAGTTTTAGTTTTAAAGTTTTGGTTTTTCTTTTTAAGTTGACAAATTTTAGTTATAATTGTGTTGTTTTTCCTAATTTTGATCTTCTTTATCCTGTATTAAGATAATGGCAGCATCGAACCAGTGCAAGCAACTGAAAAAGAAGAGCTGGAGAATGTTGAATTGGTTGGTCCTGGCAGTATGGAGCCTAAGAATTCGGCAGCTGAAGAAGTCGGAGTGGCTGATGAGAGTTGTATTCCTAATGATTTTCAGGAACAATTAGAGCAGATAAAGAGTATACTGAACGTGGAAGAAAATGAGGATTTTTCCAAACTGAACGAAATGATGGACATTGAAAATAGCCTTGCAATTGATTTTCAAGATTTGGATTTCGATCCTGAGCAGATTCTGATGGATGAGCCAGAGCGGATGGAGAAAGGAAATGAAGACGACACTCATAGACCCTCAGCCACATCATTGGACCAGAACCAGAGTGGCAGTGATAGGGTTGCATTGTTGACTAACCAAGAAGAACATGATGCAACAGTGATATCTGAAAGTTCGGTTCAAATGGTTTCTGGAACACTTGATTCATCTTTACATACTGTTGCAATGGGTGAAAGTTCAAATCAAAGAGAATCTAATGAACAAAATTCCTTGTTGATGACTAACAGATTGGATGTAGAGCCTATAATGCAACAGAAAGCAATGGAACTGGAGACTTATGTATCTTCCGAAGGTGCAAAGGAATCTTTTATTCCCATTACTGAAGTTGGAGCGATTAAGGAGCCAGAAAACTTTAGTCAAAAGGTCCCTGACTCCTTTGATTTCTCTTTAAATAAGGATATGGTTGCTGAAGCTTCAAAGCCTGCTGAGTATAGCAAAGACAAAAGTTCTTCACGGGAAAATAATGATTTAGAAGTAGAACATGAAATGCAGCAAAAGGATAAGGAACTGGAGGAAATAGTTTGCACCAGAACGGCAATAAATTCTCCCAGCCATATGAGTGAAGATATTGAAGAGGGAGAAATTTCTAGTGACGATGGGATGGATGACAGATCGAATGATGTGCTTTTGCATGATACAGTAGTGTTGGAGGAAAAGAAAGTTCCGGAGGTGCAGATATTTAAAGATGTACTTGATAGAAAAGAGCACTCTTGTAAGGTAGCAAATGACAAAGATTTTGGCTCCAATTCCTTTCTGGTGGACATGGTTGACGAAGGCAAAATTGATAGAGGGGCGGAACTCAGAGAAAGTAGTAGAACTGAGATGATTTGTAGACCGGGGGTTGTTGAGGGTAAAAATGTGAAAGCCTTAAAGGTAGATGACTCTAATACTTTGCTAGAGGGTGGAAGAATTGAAATGCAAGATAATGGAGTCAGGATGGGTATTGGATGCCCAGCAGCCGGAAACCATGGAATCACATCTGAAGAAAAGGTATTGTTTTCACTTGCATACTCCTTTTTTTTTCTTTTTTTTTCTCTTGAAGTGCATGCAAGTTGGTATTTATTTTTTTATTGTTGTAAACTCATACCATTATAGCTGTTTGAATCGTCCATTCTGTGATTTATCAATATACCACCATTCTCTAGAGTTTGTCCTCAATTTTTTGGTAAAGGGGATAAACCCCGAAACCAACAGAAACTAAACAGAAGCAGGACAAACCAATCCAGCTTTCGAAAAGGGGATATCATCCAGAAGAAGATTTGTGATATTTTAATTATTTATTTGATCATCATGAAATTTTGATCATATGTTATGGTCTATTATTTATCATGTGCAGTGGGATGATGGTGCCTGTAATAAAAGAAAGCGTGGTCCTCCAACAAAGGAAAAGAAAGAAAAGAAAAAGGTATTAGTTTTTCCTAAAATTGCATTTCACTCCTACATTGTTCAGTTGGGTTTGTTGATGTTACTATCTCATTGTAAATTGTTTCGAAAGGTATCTTATTGTGATACTCTTTGGAATTCATCCTGACATATCTAAAAAGTAATTGAGAATTTTTTCATTGTCAAAGTGTTCAGTTCATAAGGGCAACATTTTCTGTCTGCTTATAGAAATATCTCCTTTTGTGAACAATGCATTGTGCAGGCTAAAGAACGAAAGAAACGAGCGGAAAAGAACAGGGAACTTGGTGTTAAAAGGCTGAAACTGCATCCAATACAGAAAGCAAAAACTGTAGCATATTGCCGCCATTTTGTGAGGGGAAGATGCCATGAGGTTTGTATTGTGTTCTCAGTTCTATTATTCTTGTTTCATCTCTATTGAATGTGTAACTTACCTAAATTTTCACTTTAGAAATCTCCTTGGGCAGGGTGCATTGATATTTCTTATTGCAAAGTTAATACTCTGAAGTTTTTTTCCTCAAAACTATCTCTGTAGGGTTGCCAAAGCAATCCTTGCTTTTATTTTCTAAATAATTTTGGGGTGCCAATCATCTGGCATCTTTTGATTTCCTTCCCATATCTATCTCCTTATTGTTATACACTTTATCTTTGTTTCACAGGGTGACAAGTGCAAATTTTCACATGATACGGTGCCTTTAACAAAATCCAAGGTATGCTCACTGGACTGTGTTCATAATACTTTTGTGATGCTAGTTGCTTCCTATTAATCAAAGGATATATTTAAGAGTGCTTTTTTACAGCTGCATTTGCTCGCCCAACCCCTTTTAATAAGATTTAAATTATAAATGCTATATAAGCTTTGTGATTGGTTTAATGCATTTTCGTTATTTTCTATTCTGGTGTTGCAGCCCTGCGTCCATTTTGCTCGTCAGTCATGCATGAAGGGTGATGACTGCCAATATGATCATGAGCTCTCCAAGTATCCCTGTAACAATTTTAAAGAAAATGGTTTCTGCAGCAGAGGTGATCGTTGTATGTTTTCACACAAGGTAAATTCTTGTCTGTATAAGATGCTAATTAGAGCCAGTTATAATGTAAAGCCTGCTTGGCAAGGTCTATCATTACATTACTTATGTTTAACTATCTGTCCTGAGTAGTTATCATTAGAGCTTACCTTGTTGATTTGCTATTAAAATAAGTTAAATCACTAATCAAGTTTACAATTTTCCTCAGATGCCATCCAATGAAGATAGTGCAACTGCTGCATGTAAACCTGAATTGAAGCCTCCTATGGTGCTGAATAATTCCAGATCTCAACAAGTAAACACTGGTGGTGCCTCCCAGCAGAATGTCCATGCTTTGGCCTACTCAACGGGGATCCATTCTCGCAATAATACTAAACAGAATGTGACACAGACTGTTTTGAAACAACCTGAACCAGCTAACAAAGGGATTAGCTTCCCCCCTATTCCGAAATCATCGTTGGTTCATTTCAGTATGTCTAAACAAGAAGGCTTAGCCCCAGATAGGAATAATTGTGCCAAAGCTGGGAACCAGATAGATCAAAGTCCATTAAGTTCTGTTCAAACTTCCACTGAGATTGTAAAGAGAATTCCACCAGTAACCACTCCTAAAGGAATAAATTTTTTATCATTTGGCAAGGCATCACCAGATGATGCAAGGGGTAAAAACCAAGTCTGCCGTCAGACAAGCCCAAGTGTGTCAGAGACTGTCAAAAACTTGAATGGGATGCTAAAGGCTAATCAATCGGCTGCACCACAGGGAACACACTTTAATCCTTTCGGGAAATCTTCGGTAGCTAGTTCTAGTAGTGAGAAACCAGTTAGCTTGCCTTCATTTTGGAATAATGGTAGCAATATTGATTCCTGTGAGAGTCAAACTACAGCTGATAAACCTCAAAATTCAAATGGAATCTCGTTGAGGCTGCCACCTTCTCCACTTACTTCAGGTCAATCTTCAGATCGCATAGCATCCAGGTTTTGTAAAGATACAGCAAATTCATTCCAGAGGGGACTCTTTTCTACCCTAGCATTTGCAGCAAAGTATAAAACCCAAAACATGAACCAGTCAATTGGCTCTACTGGTGCTCAAGTTGATAAGGAAACTAGGAATAGCAGTATCAGTGACAGGTTTGCAGAATGATTCAGCAAAAGCTTTTAGAATTTTAGATTTCTCGTCCCTTATTGGTAGAAACATCAAGCAGTTTGCATGGTGTTAAACAGTGAATTGTGCCTTGGGCAGAATTGAGTGACAAGAGGGGTCCCCTTGCAACCAGAATCAAGATTGTTATTTGTTCAGTTTGGTCAAATACACCAGAAAAAGTACAAAGCTATAGGTGGCATCTCGCGTGCCCTTTGCCTGCACATGTAGTAAGTCCCTCACTCGTATAATTTCAGTAGCTGTCAGCAAAGTACAGTTTGCAGTTTTCTTGTTTACACTATTGTAAGTAATATTTCCTTATATTTCTTTAAGAGGCAGTTGTGAGTCTAACAGGTAAAGGCTAACTTTAATTCTTTTGTTTTATTTTATTTTTCAAAAGGAATTTATAGGAGTTTGATGGCTTCAATATAATGGATTTTGGTGACTGAGGATCTTCTTCATTGAATGAATTTCAGGCTGGCTAAACTTTTGTAACTGTAAATCGATTATACTCGATGGATACCAATCTCATGTGACTGCCATCTTAACCTTGTTCTTGTTGCTTTCATGCTCCCGTTTAGGAAAAAACCTAACTTTTTTACTGCCTTGTTATATGGAGGACAGATGTTCTTGAATACAACATTTGCATCCTTGTTTCAGTGTGGAAATCCATCCACCTTCGTCCGCTGCCGGAATCAATCTTAGGTATTGGCTTTACTTACCAACTTGCGATGGATTACTTTAGGGCTACTCTGAACATGGTTAGCAGATTGCAGGTCACTTGTAATAGCAAGCTTGTTGAGTCATATGCCCATTTGTATCCTTTCTTGCTTCCTATTGAGAAGTTTGACAATTAGATTGAAAGCCAAAGATGTCACTACAACAAAAGCTGGGCTGTGATGCATTTCCATGTGCCAGAGAAAGCATTGGAATATTGTTGAAAAGCTTCAGACAATTACAGTATCAATGCACTAACTTATCTGCTCTCTGCTAATAATCCAAACTAGTCTTGGATCTGATGAAGGCTAGAAAGGATCTACATGTTGATGTTGTCTCCAATCCAGGAGTCAAATTTACATATTTGTGTTGTGCCACACAATGAAATTACATCTCATATCGTACAGGCATTTCTGCAGTCCATGTGAATGAAATGAGTTGTGGACAAGTGGAGCCATTTTTGCCATCACGTTCGGTTAAAAACATTAAAGTTCAAGTGAAATGTCTTTAAATTTGTTGTTCCTGGTGAAATCTAATGATGTTAAGGCATCTCCATTTTTCAAATCATCATGCTTCACTTTATTGACCCTAAACCCATAACCTAACACCATAAATTTGCAATAACATCTTTTGTTACTCCATCCATACCCCATGGCTACTGTTTCACTATAATGCCAATAAGTTAGCTGGCCCCACTTTTTACCTCTGTGGGTTCAAATCGGTGCCCCTTTTTAACTGGGGCCTAGAGGAGCTCGAGGACTCGTGTGAGTGGACCTCTTAACGTAATGAGCAAGAGAACGAACTTACTGTCCTAATTAAGTGGCATAATTAACGTCTACAATTACCATTAACTTTTAATCGGATAACTCTCGCAACCTATTGTTTAATCTACGAGATAATAATTGAAATTCGTACCTACGTGAAGTTCAATTAGATCACCCATCCTCTACAAACAGAAACAAATTATATCATCCACATGCAGAGTTTCGGTGCAAATAATTTAAGCCCAAAAAAACCAAAATAAATAAACAATGAAAAGAAATAACCACTAATAAAAAGCAGGTATAGAAATACATTTCGCTCCAAAATTATTTAAACCAACTTCAAAACCGATCGTCTACGTCATACTCTCCATACATTCAACACCCCATTAATCTTTTCTCTGTTTTTTCTCTTTCTTCCACTTTCCGACGATGACGACCTCTGCGAAAAGCAACTTCATGCCTGCGAGCTTGGTCTCCAATCTTCAACAAGTACTCGCCCTAAAAAACGACGGCGTCCAGCAGCAACGGTCCTCCAACGCCTCTGAACTAAACAAAGTGTCCTCATCATGCTGCTCGAGCAGCGAGGAAGCCATTCAAGGCAAGGAGTGCGTAAAGCCGGTGGTTTTGGTCACAAATGGGGAGGGAATCGAGTCTCCTGGTCTCACATTTCTCGTCCAAGCTCTCGCTCTCGATGATCGCCTTGACGTCTACGTCTGCGCTCCTCAATTGTTAGTTTCTCTCTCTAGGAACACACCTTCTCATGTATTTTCCTCCACTTTCTCACCAATCAAACAGACGGAGATCATTATAAAAAGCTTAATTTTTTGGGTGCTGCAGAGATAGATCAGTCGCCGGTCACTCTGTAACTGTTCGTGAGACAATTTCTGTGTCTTCTTCTCAAATCAACGGCGCCACCGCTTTTGAAGTCTCCGGTAATCTCTCTCTCTCTCTTTCACTGTACATATATGTATATAATCCGGAATTATATATTAATTATGTGATTATGGGCATAATCAATATCAGGAACGCCAGCAGATTGTGTGTCTTTAGCATTATCAGGGGCATTGTTCGCGTGGTCAAAACCTGCTTTGGTATTATCGATCTCTAACTGTTTGATTTGAGGTTTGTTCAGATTGCTCCATCAATCAATGATCTTTCTTGATTTTCAGGTCGTCAGTGGAATAAACAGAGGATCAAGCTCTGGAAATAACACGTCAGTACTTCTTTCTTGCATTTCAGATTCAGATCTTTACTGGCGAAACGTGATTCTTCTCTGTAAAATTGGCAGCTTCTGATAGCTTTTTCAGTGACAGCTTTTTCATTGTCGTTCTAATAAAACGACAAACTTTTGCTCTACTTCAGTCGGTATACTGTAGTCCAGTACTTCTCCGGCACAACCTTGGAAACTTCTCTACTGCTGGTTTCTTTTGTAAACGACAGAGTATTTGCTGTGGACCTGTGGTCCTCTCATTACCGTCGTTTTCGTTTCTGAAAGCTGTCTTTTACTGTTGTTTGTTGGCTCGGCACAAGCGTCAGACTTGTTGTTTTCTGAACTGATAGATCATAGTCTTATGGATTCTATACGAAAATGAGGACACTTTTCGGTTTAATCAGTAACAACTTCTTTTTCGTGTCGTTCTAACTAATGGATTTGTGACTTGATGATAACAGGTTCTACTCCGGTGCTGTGGCTGGAGCTAGAGAGGCATTAATATGTGGTGTATCATCTCTGTGCATATCATTGAATTGGTGATCACTACATTTTCTATCTCTAATAATCATAATATGTAAATGGTTTTGTCTCTTCTTTATACATTGGCATTGCAATAGGTTTAACTTTTTTTTTCCTCTTGTCTTTGATTTTTTTAGGAAGAAAGATGTAAGCTGTGAAAGTGATATGAAGGATGCAGTGGGTGTGTCCTTGCCATTAATATATGCAGCTGTAAAAAGCATCCAGGAGGGAGTTTTCCCCAAAAGTTGCTTACTGAACATTGAGATTCCTAGTTCTCCTTTGACAAATAAGGTTTGCTGTTTACAACTAGTTTAATTTCTACATGAAGTGTAGGCATTATAAAATTCTGTTATAAAAAGTGAACATAGTTTTAGACTTGATGATTGAAGGTCAAAATTTGAGTATTGTGCTTTTCATCAGGGCTTCAAAGTGACCAGGCAGAGCCTGTGGAGATCCTCCTTGAGCTGGAAAGCTGTGTCCACCAATAAACGCCCTTCTGCTCCCCATTTCATGTCCAATCAGCAAAGCCTTGGCATTCAGCTAGCACAGCTCAGCCGAGATGCTTCTGCAGCTGTAAGTAGCACCCTTTTCTGTTTTGGGGCTAAGAATTAAAAAACACTTATTTAATAACAGAAATGCTATAGTTTCTTCTATCAACCAAAAAGTTGTAGACAATGCTCTAGTGTTCATTCTTGAATGGCCTACCCCCTCCTTGGATTTTGTCAGGGCGCAGCACGCCGCTTGAACTCTCAGAAGCAGAATGTGGAGATTGAATCTGTTGGAGCTGCCAGAAAAAGCAACTCGGAAAAAACAGTAAAATGCTTTCGTTTAGAGGTATGAACAAGTGACATAAATTACTCAAAACTGCATGACAAAAACCATGTTAGAAAACAGAAATCGAGGATCTCAAGTTGAGCTATCCATTGCTTTCTTTTATGCAGTTCTTAGAGGAGGAGCAGGAAAATGTAGATGAAGATCTGGACATCAGAGCACTTGAAGATGGATTTGTGAGTTGGAAATTTTATTCCTTTAACATCACTTGATCAACTTCATTGCCCCAAATTGCTGATTTGGTGTTGCCTTTTGGCATATGGTAGGTTGCAATTACTCCTATTTCGATATCTCCTCCAACCATTGGATCAGAAATTCAAGCCTCAGTGTCGAATTGGATTGCCGGTGCACTGGCCAAGAATCCCTTGGCATTTCATTGATAATCTTTGAGCATTAGTGGATGACCTTAAAGTTTTAGTGCACTAATTCAAATATTTAATTTCATCTCTTGGCTGGATATTATTTAGTAGCAAGAGGAGTCTATGGTGAGCAAACTGTTGAGGCAAAATGGCCTGGCAAGCCTCGGTTTCCTGTTATTAATGGTGGAAAATATTGTGATGCAACTTTGGAATGAATTGGGTTTTCTGAGCAAACCTAACTTGTTAATCTTAATTATTACACTTGGCATTCTGTGATTGGATTTGGATAAGCTACACTTTAGAATGTCAAAAAGTCATTTTTGGTTACTGTGATTTGCCATTTTTACCATTTTGGTCTATGTAGTTTCAATTTGATCAACTCTATCCATGTAGTATCTAATTTCAAGCAATTCAAGGACACTGGTCAATTTCTATCAAATCTTTAACTAGTAACTTCCGTTACTTTTTGAACATGTGCCTCTCACATGGAAGGGCAATTCGGTCCAATTATGCCATATAAGAGAATAACCAAGTTGGTTCTTCTCCCATTCCAATTTAGGCTTGATTTTGGGGATTAGGGTTCTTAAATTTTTTTTACTCCTGAGTCTGAACTTGGTTCAATTGATAATCCTACCGAACTTATAAGCCTTAATTTGTTGTTGTAAAACTCATCGATCAATCCACATTCTATGTTTCGGTGTTAGTTTTGGTGGGAGAGACAAGAGTAAATGTATACCCCACCAGGGTGTCAAGAAATGTCAGTGTGTTGATCATGTTAGAAGGGGCCATGAGGAAGGCTGCCTGCCTCTATGCTTGGTTAGTATGAAATCAATCCCCCTTTTACTAATATTTATATACTCTTTCTTTTTCAACTGAATTTACTATCCATAAATATAATTATAGGCAATATATATTATTGTTTTCATATTTTCAATTAAACAAAATTCAAACCTATGAGTCAAAACTTTTAAGAACCCTAAGCCTCAAAATCAAGCCTAAATTGTAATGGAAGGAGAACCAACTTGGTTGTTCTCTTAGATGGCACAATTGGACCAAATTGCCCCTCCACGTAAAGGGCACACGTTCAAAAAATAACATAAGTTAGAGAGATTTGACAGAAATTGACGAGTGTGCATGAATTGCTCGAAATTAGAAACTAAATTAATCAAATTGAAACAACATTGACCAAAATAGTAACAGCGGCAAACTAGAAGGACCAAAACTTTTTGCCCTTTAGAATCTCCACGAAGGGGCATTGGAAAAAAAAATCAATGGGCCAACTTGATAAGTTTCCGATTCTTTAAGCTTAGCCAACATAAACCTTGGTTTATGGTTGGGCTTCGACCTGGCTTTACCTCAAGTGAGCTGAATTACTTGACACATGTATTTTTTCCTCTTGAGTTTATATTCTCAAACTGGGAACATGCACACTCACACAATCAACTAACAATCAATTTGATCAACGATCATGTTTACAAAACTGCAAGAAGATATGTCTATGGAGCATTTCCAAGCTATCTAATACCAATATTATACTTGTTTAGAAATAGTACTCAAGCACTTATCCGTATAACGGTATAAGCATGCTATGTTGCTAGTATAGTATGTGTATAATCATCCTATGTTGCCAGTATGTTTGGGAAAGGAACGTATGTGCTACTTTACAATGCCCTAAAGTCTCTGCTCTCTTTAACCGTTAGGGTTTTCATTTGATGATTTAGAACGCGATAAATATTTCTTAAAAATTTACTAAACTTGTGATACTACTATTCATATGACAAATAGAGTAGTAATAAACATCAAATCGTAAAAAAGTAAATAGCTAAATTTGTCATTTTCAACAATCATGTAACACTTGAGAACCACATGTCATGTTTTCAGAATTCATTTGTTGATTGTCCATTGAATGCGTTTAACTGACCAGACCATATGATGCGACTGGTTATAACATTTGGCTAGCATTCAAATGAGAAACCGATAAATTTGAACCGCATAATCATGACCGTTTAAACTACCAAGAAACAATCCGACTATCAAATAACTTGCCACACAACTCTAACTCGACCCAAAAAAAACAAGAAGAAGAATATTATTGTGTAGTTCGGAAGAGCTGGTGAAAACATATACCCGACTTAGTACCCATACTTCAACATCCTCGAAGGGTGTTTGAGCTTTAAGTTTTAACCTGTGTACTTAGATGCAGTGGGACTTGGATTGTGGGGTCCCCTCATAGACTCACACTTGGCACTTGGATTGTGGGGTTCCCTCATAGATTCACTCTGAGCTCTGCAATACCAGACCAGATCAACCCTACAAAATTATTTTAAATAGAGTTGGGGTCATTTGGAAGTTTCTAGAAAGTAGAGGGACTTTGGTTGTTAGGTGTGGGGACAAAAGAAGAGGGGGTCAATTTAGCAAACCCAAATGGAAAAAATGTCCCAGAAGTATGCAAACGTGTCACAGAAGTTGCAAACCCCAAATGGACACACACAGACACTGATGCAATCGTACTGTCCTCCTCACAAAACCAGGAGAGAGTGAAGAGGCAAATTAAATTAAAAAAACCCAAATAATAAAAGAAAAATTAAACAAAGGCATACACAGTAACACTCTGCTCCTGCCTCTGCCCTTAGGTACATGATATAAAGCTCTTCCATTTTCACTAAACTCCAGTATTTTATTTTTTTTCTCTGCAGACTGTTAGGTTCACTCGGCAACTTGTAAAAACCTTCGCTTCGAATTCAAAAGAAAAAAAATGGTGGTTCCTGAAGGTGGTGGTGGTTGTGGCGGTGGGGATGCTGGTGGTGGTGGTAGGTCTCGTCTGCCGCTGTCATCAGCAACCCAGTCGCCAAAACCCAGCAATGGTTTAGAAGAAGCAGAGAATGAATTGAATAAAGCCACAGAAGAAGTGGCTCCGGCCAAGGAAGAGCAAAAGGCAGTGACTTTCAAAGGTGGTAATTGTGATCGGTCGTCTTCTTCGTCTTCATCCCCTGCTTTGCCAAAACCAGCCAAGGAACTGTTCCGTATTAAAGAAGAAAACATAGATGTTGTAGTTGTGGATGATGATGTTGATGTTGATGGGGGAGATGATGGGCACTTTAATGGTGGTGATGGTGGTACATTTTCTTCATCTTCATCCATGGCGTTGCCTAAATCCATGGAGGGTTTGCACGAGGCAGGACCACCGCCCTTCTTGAACAAGACTTTTCAAGTGGTGGATGACCCAGAAACCAATTCGGTTGTTTCATGGAGTGCAGCTGGTCAGAGCTTCATTGTTTGGGACTCTTACGAGTTCTCCAGGACTCTCTTGCCCAAATACTTCAAGCACAACAATTTCTCAAGCTTCATCCGCCAACTCAACACTTATGTAAAAATTATATCTTTTCCTTGAAACCTTCCATCTCTCACATTTGATTTGTGTGTTGCATGTCCTTTTTTACTTCTTCTTTAATTTGTTTGAATGATTTATAGTTTTTTCTCATTTGAACATATGGTTTCTGCTTAGTTTGTTATGCTTAAATCTTCCTGGTCATTGAGTTCTTGATGGATCTTATTAGGGTTCTTGATGAACCTAACATATGGTTTCTGCTTAGTTTGTTATGCTTAAATCTTCCTGGCCATTCAGGGCTTCAAGAAGGTTGATCCGGACAGGTGGGAGTTTGCAAATGAAGGGTTTCAGGGAGGGAAGAAGCACTTGCTGAAGAACATCAAGAGAAGAATCAGATATAACAAGCAGCCAACTGTAGGCTGTGTTGATTCAACCAAAACTGGGTTAGAAGCCGAAATTGAAAGTCTAAAGAAAGACCAAGACTTTTTGAAATTGGAAATCATGAATCTCAGACAACAACAAAAGTACTCACAGCATCAACTGACTGCTATTGAACAACGAATTCGAAATTCAGAGTGTAAGAACCAAAGGATGCTCTTTTTCCTCACCAAAACAGCCACAAATTCCACCATCGTCCAGCAGCTAATGCAGAAGAGAGTGATAAAGAGAGAGCTGGATGGGAGTGATCTACGCAAGAGAAGGAGAATGCCTTCAGTCCAAGTCCTTGAAAGCTTGCGTGATGGGATTGATACCAGCCTCAGTGTGGATTGTGGAAGCCAACTTGAGGAAGAACTGGTGCCTATGCAGTCTCTGCTTGCTGAACAAGTGGCAGAGGCAAAGGTTGCCAAACAAAATGAAGCCCCATTGCCAGCTCCCATGATTGATAAATCAGGCAATGCAGTTCAAGATCTTAAGCCCCATGTGATGGCCGGAACCGGCACGGAAGACATGCCCACTGCTTATCATGGCATGTCTGAGAATTTCCTGGAGGAAAATGTAGTCTTTGATGATGATGAATTTGAAGTCGATTACTCTAATTTTTATCGAGAATTGGAGGATTTGATTGGCAAGCCACATGATTGGAGTGGTTATGTAAGTCACTGCCTGATGGAGCAAGCTGGGGTAATTGGGGCCATGCCTTGATTTCACAGGTATGTTTTATGTTCTCTTAAATATGAAGAATTGTGTTTGTGTTGTGAATATGGAGAAATATAATGTGTTCTTGGGGTTGTTGCTCCTGCAGTTGCAGAGACCTGAGAATCAAAATGCAACATCAGATGAATGAAGAACTCCTTAGCCTATCTTGTGTAGTTGTCCATATTACTTTCTGTACTTTTCTTCCCTAAACCCTTGTCTTTTTATACCTAAATTGTAAATATCTCTCCCTCTCCGCTGCTGAACTGATACTGCACAGCTTGGTTTAGCAGATAAACTCTGTATAATATAGAGTGCATGTTAAAAATCCCATCTTTCAGTTTTGCTTCAATTCATGGTGTCTTCTGTTGGAGTTTGGTTACAACTCAGCTATGTTAGAGTGTATAGCAATCCTGTTCATTTAGCTCATGTGCCTCCCTGGTACTTGAAAAAGTGGATGATCTACGGGTCCCACCCTATCCTAACCCTGAATTTTAAATTCTTAAAGAATAAATGTGTGTAGCTGAATGTAGATAGATCCTAACTAGAAAATTCGAACAAGCTCATTTGTGTCAGTCTTCCCACGTGTTTGAATGACACATAATGCTGCTGTATTTTATTGTTGATGAGTCTTTTGGGGAAGCTTAAGACGTTGCCAAATTGGGTTTTGGATGCAATCTTTGTGGTCTGAAAAAGCAAATACAAAATCAAGGTTTTTGGAATTAAGTTAAGTTGCGTTTTTACGGTAATCAAACATCTTGATTAAGCACCACTTGGTTTTTATGTTTTTTTTTAATATATAAAAAAATCAATTATATAGAAGGTCTTCTCTTACCAGCAAAGCAAAGGTGTGTTTGTTTACACATCGAAAATCTTTATTGAAAAAAAATCGTAACCTACTCATTTTTTGTTTTTATTTTTTTGTTTCTTAAATTTACTTGGCCTGGACATGGCTAAACGCACAGCCAGAGAATAAAAATTTTAACTTTTTAAAAAAACAAGAAATAAATAACCAGTGCAGAATTGACAATTGAGTGCAAATAGAACTATCCCTCCATCAAAGTTCATCCAATACTAACCAAGAAGATGATTCTTACATTAACCAAGAACATGAAGGAAATTTCACATTAGACTGAACACAGGCATGAAAACATCGCTATGAGACTAAGCAATGCGACTGAACTTCCTACAATCTATGTAATACATAATTATGATTTAAAAAGGAAAAAAAAAGAAAGAGAAGGTGAGAATGAACATAACAGAATGATGAAAATTATATTATTGATTGAGGGTGAGCTTTCCATTAGACCTCACTACTCCTATTGACGTTGAGGAAGAAGAAGAAGACACTGCAGACCGATCAAACTCCTCTTTGTCCTCGTTGAATGCCTTGCTTAGCACTTCTTGGAGCTCCATGTACCTTCGTTGCTTCGAGAGCCGTAACTCTGGAGTATCGTCCCCGGTGTATGCAAGCTGTGATATGTCATCACCATCCATGATTTTATTCAGTACTTCTGAGCAACGAGGAAAGAAGCGTTTCCCAAGTTCCACTGCTCACATAAACCACAGAACACAATGGCAGAGCAATCAGATGTTTCAATTGCTGAAACCGCAAAGCTAATGTATGGAATGTGGTTGTTCACGAAGAGAAATGCATATAATATTACCAGTTCGAGATAGAGCTTGTAGCCTGAGAAGGTGCTCGTCCTTGATTTTGAAGGGTGCCTCGTTTAAGTCCACAGCGGTTCTCTGGGAACTGGCCAGATCCTTGGAGCTGATGCCACCTACTGGAAACTCAGAAGCGCCATCAATTTGGGAAATATCCATTACAACCTTTGCTTCCATGGGGAACAGATATTTTGCGAGTCCAACTAAGACGAGATAATCAGTCAATAACTTAATCATAAGCTCGTTTAATAATAGGCAATGGATGCACCCAACAAGGGATAATAAACTACAATGTCAGACAAAACCAGAAGGAAAAAAAACCCATAAATGACATGAAGCAAAACTGCACATTTGTTCTGTTACGTGTTAAAGTCGTATTTCAGTCACTTTAACTGAGACAAAAATGGATGGGATTGCAACAATGGTTAAGTAGGAACTGATAAAAAGCCACAACTCACACAAAACATGTAAAACTTATATTGTCCCATCATGTTATCAATTGGATAATAGTAAACCGCAAACAAAAGGGTTATCTCAGAAAGATCAACCAGATGAAGAAGCACCGGTACAGCAAAAATGAATGGTAGATTACCTCTATTCTCAAGGTACAAGAGTTTCATACGCAGATCATCGCCAGCCATAGCAAGTGAAAGAGAAGCCTCTCCAAGCAACGGATCCCTTCTTTCAGCTTGCTCCAAAATCTCTATGCACAAGCGATCATTGGAAGAAGACTTGCCCTCATCATTAGACTTAAAAAAATCTGCAGCCCTTGTGAGGCGCTTAGTGATCTGAACAGCTTTTCTCCCATCCAACGTAAGATCTGATGGGCGAGCACCCTTTGTGAGAAGGGACACAATGATCTTAGGCTCCTTCCTCATCGCTGCAACGTGCAGCACAGTATACCCCCTCGGATTCCTGCAATTAACGTCAGCAAGTCCAAGATCAAGCAACTCTGTCGTGGTCTTTGCATCACAGTATGCCACAGCATAGTGCAGGGCATAGGCATCATCAAGATTGGCATGCGCCTCTTTCAACAGCATTCGTACCAATTCGAAATCATCTGAATCCAAAGCCCTGTGTATCCTCTTGGTGTGTTTATCTGGAAAATGACTAACACTGGTGTTGCATTGAGGCCTGTCCAAGCCAAGTGCCAACCGCGAATCGGTGATCAGCTTCACGGTGTGTTGGGGCAGGGATTTCTCAAGAGTTACAACATCAGCATCAGACTTAACTATTATCTCAACACACCTCCCCACCAATCTCCCACACGCTTCGCCGCACATGTTTGCAACATACAGAACCACCAGGATGTCATCTATGCAAACTTTCTCAAGAATATCTAGCAGATGCCTCTGGAAATTAATAATCAATATACAACAAGCTAACAACAAAATTTCGGAAACCTCACAATCAACAATTAAAACAACATCCATCTTCATACACATATAAACAAACACGGAAAGTAATCTTCTTTTGCCAAACTGTTCAACAAAATAAGATTGTGAATCTCCCCAATTAATCAAATTCAAATTTATCGACGGTAAATTTCAACCATTAAGCAAATTTATTAACTTTTAATGATGGGTTAATAGCAATTTAACTTACAAGCATTTGTTGGACAACATAAACTAACAAATACTGCTACATTAGCGTATACTGCAGTGGGTTTTTACCTGATAAAGAGAGACCAATTCAGAGATTTGAAAAGTTGCAGAAGCATAGAGAACCTCCACAATGAAATCAACGACGGGTCTACAAGAGACATGGGCACAAGCGTCATCCACACAGACACAAACGCCTTTAGGAAACGACCTGAGCTTGCCGCTATACAAATAACCCAAAACGGCGAGGAGGGAGTCCAATCCGACGTCGTATTCCTTGGCGAGTTCCTTCAATTCGAAGCGAACGGCTGAGCCTGATCCTATGTCTTTGGCAGAAAACACGTTCTTGAAAAACGAGCTCCTCGCCGATAAAATACAGCGGTGAACCGGAACTTCTCGGCCGGTATTGACGACGATTTTGGCGTCGGCGAAGAAGTCAAAATCGGCCGAGTCGAGGATTGATTCGAGGTTATCCGAGAGGAGGGTGAGGGCCGAGATATCGGGAGGCGAAGGGTAGTGGGATAATGCTATACAGGAGATGGTGCTGCTGTTGGAGTTGCTGTAGCAATTGCTGTTGCTAACGACGTCGTTTGAGTCGGATACTCCGGCTTTGAATTCCATCGAAACGAGAACAGAGCAGAAATGAGTTAATATGAGCTGTTGGGTTAATGGGGTTTATGAGTTTCGGAGTGAAAGCTGGGAACTTTGGATTTGAAGTCAGAGGAGAGAGAGAGACAGAGAGAGATCAACAACATCAGCATCAGCTGTGAACATGGGTGACGATGAGAGAAAACAAAAACCCAATTACGCAAACAAAAAAATTGCTGATCAAAATCTTTGTAATTTTTTGTTGTTGTTGTTGTTGGTAATAATAACAATAGATCCTTGTTTGTCCGTACATTAATTATTATCCAATCATAAAGCACAAGTACCAAGTTATAGGATAGGCAAAAAAAGTGGTGCTGTGTTGGGACTGTGACAGAGAACAGAGAAAGAGAAAGGGAGATGGAACTGAATTTTGAAGTCGGATTTGATGCCTGCACGAGTACATGGTAATCCGGATAAAATAGAAAATGGAAAAGACCAAAAAACAAGCCGTTTTGGGGTTTTGTTTATGTCAGTGATGGCCTCAGCTTCTGCATTCATAATCTTCCATGATCGTCATGAGCACCGATCTGCAGCTTTTTTTAGTTGCTCTCATTTGCTCTGCCTTCTCTGTTAAGGATCTGCGTCTTTGTTTTTAGTTTTACTTTAATGTGCAGAAGTGGTAAGCCTAGCAGTAAAATATATACAAATACTGCAGTAAAATTTGGAGGGAAGATCTGAAGTTTTGGTTGAAGATGAGGATGGTGTAATCTGAAAATGACTGTAGGGTTAAAAGTCATCTACTGGAATCAGTCTCAGGCAAGGAAGAACATGTCCATTTCAATTTAAATCTCTTTGGGTGGCTATGAACCATTGATTGCTAAGAGATTCACATCAACTAACGGTGATTGTCGCCTACAAGCGCATAGGTGATTGATGCTAGTTAAACCCAACATCTTATATCTATTTTGGGGATAAAAATAGTAGACCTACGAAGTGATAAGAAGGGACATATGTTGAATGCACACGATTTTCATATATAAACTGAGTCATGAAAAAGGGGTACATAATAATTTCTCATGCATAACCCGAGTTGTATTCGGGCAGAAAAGAATGAGGAAGAAATATCACAATTTGACCAGAATTCACAACCGATCTTTGTTCCCACGAGGAGAGCACACTTTCTCCAACCCTTTTGCTATAGACACTCACAGTCCACCTTCCTTCTTGGGTGAAGAAACTGGATTTTTCTCTTTTTTCTTGGGATGAATCGATTGGACAATAGCCTCAATTTCCTCCTTTGCTCTTTCAAAAACATTCGGAGCCTTAACATAATCGATTGGGATACTCGCATCTATGTCATCACTCGTTCCATGAGTTTCTTTAGTATGATGCTTTGGTGACTTGTCATGAGTTTCTTTATCATGATGCTTTGGTGACTTCTCATGGTGCATGATCGTTCCAATCTTCTCCTTCGCTTTCCCAATAAAATTAGTTGTCTTGGCATTATTTTCTGCAGACATGAAACCCGGTATTAAGAACTAAAAAGACTCGAGTTTTGGCTTATAAAGTTTAGGGAGCACAAACAACATTCAGTCAGCATGGATACGATGGAGAAGATTTCTCTCAAAATTTTTTAGTTTTCCATAACAGCACACAAATGATAATGAAGAAAGAAACAGAGGCAAAATATTATACAAACAGAACAGTATTGACCACAATCCATTGTTCTTATCTTCTAAAAACTGCTAGTGCTAGTCATGGAAACCAATGTAAAAGTTCCAAGAAACCATCTCATACAAGCAACATTATCATGAATTTTATACCTGATTGAGAGTCGGTTTTCTCCTGTTTTTTCGACTCCTTTTTTTCATCCCTGCAATCAAATTAAGAGAAGCAATAAAGTCAAAACCTAAGCACATCAAAAGGCCAGTTTCAGCCTGCTTTCAGCTTTTCAAATTGTTCAAAACTACAACAAAGTAAGCCAAAAAAAGGGAAACCTTTTGCCATGAGTGGGAGACTCTGTCTTGGGATGGATTGCTTCAACTATAGCCTCAAACTCCTCCTTCGCTCGTTCAAACATATTTGGAGCTTTGACATTGTCTAGTGGGGTCTTTTCATCAATATCCGTGCGCATGCCATGAGTTTCCTTGTGATCGTTATGTGATTTTTCAGTGTGCATTATTGCTCCAATCTCTTCCTTCGCTCTTTCAATCAAATTAGGTGCCTTTACTTCCTTATCTGTGAGAAATTTTAAATATTTAAAAATAAATTTACCCCCTTAATCAACAATTCGTTCTCTTTTCTACACAGACAAATTATAATCTACCAACTATTCATTCTCGAGCAGTTATAAATTTAATCACTTCAAATAAGCTCATGATTGATTGCTGCGGAAATGCAAGGAATCACAAGGAAATTCAGCACACTCAATCCAATCCCAGACTCTAATTAGATTCAAAATATTCATTTCCACTCCTAAAATCTCAAACACACCTCGAAAAAACCAATCTTTTCAATAATCCTTCAAGAAAAAATATGAAATTGAAAATTCTAGCAAAAGGGTATCAGAGACAAAACGAGAATGACAGATTAGTTCCAAAAACCATACCGGGTGAAGCTTGCGTTGGGCCGGGTTTGGATTCCGCCATCGGAGTTGCTTGGCAGACAGAGAGAGAGAGATTAGGATGAAGATGGCAAGAATATAAGTTGGCGTAACGAGAGATTGACAAAAGAAAATATAGACAGAATCAAAACGTGTATATCTATATGTATGCCAGTCTGGACGAGGCAACGGTTGGGTTGGGCTGGGTCTACCTGGACGGTGGCGGCTTTGGACCCGCTAACAAAGTAGCATGAGAAATGTGGTTCAAGAGGTGTTCCTCTCAAAAGCTTTTATTTATTTATTAAATAGTATAACCGCGCGGATTTTTTAAGAAATATTATAGCCGAACGGCTATACTAGTTTTAAAAAAAATATATATATATACTATAGACAGGTCTTTTTTTTAAGAAATAATGTATCTGTTGGTCAGGGCCCATCCTAGTTTCATTTTAAAATAGGTTATGAGTTGTTTTTTTTGGGTCGGAAGACATTTCATTTGTTGAAAAGAGAGCCCATGGAATTTGTTAAAATAAATGTGGGTCCATGGACTGTTGTTTTGGATCAAGAGGGTCCATGAACTTTGGGGAAAAAAGAAGTGAGAGCCCATGGATTTTGTTACTGCAGATTTTGTTGGCAAAAGATGGAGCGAACCCATTTCCTTCATGGAAAATATTTATTTTTTATATGTATTTTGATCGAGTCTTGATTCTTTCTGGATTGTATTTATATTTGGTGGCGTCAGTTTGACCACTCAAAACGGAATGCACGCACAGTCGAAGGCAGCAGACATCAACTTTGAAGCCTTGAATTGAAGTTGAAGAAAATTCTACGCACTTTGCAGCTGCAGGCTGCAACATTGCATACAAAAATCCATCAAAAACTATGTTTCTTACTTAAAACGCATAATTAGCCAAAACTCATTTAGTGATGTTTGAAAACTTTTTAGGTCGGGGGTTTTTGAGGCTGCTAATTTAAAAGGAAACAGCCAACCCAATTTTGATTTGAATTCTCTCCATCCACATTTTCCTCGAATTTCTTCGCACCTTCTTCTATGATAAAAACAAATAAAACTAGGGCTGTGTATGCTAGCTGTTGAATTTCTCATTTATATTTCATAAAATAAAAACTATATAAAAAACTTCATATTAAATGAGTCATATACAGCAGCTGAAGCAGTTGGAAATGCAAGTAGGTGAGGTATTTAATTGGCATAACAAATATATATATATATATATATATATATGATAATATGATATGAGGCATGTCTGCGTCGCCACCCGAAGTTTTTGTTTTTTTTGTTTTTAACATTTATGAGTCTTGAATTTGGATAGCTATGGACCTCCATTATTGTTAGAGGCCAAAACTGTTGAATAGTGGTAGGCTCTACACCTATATACGACTATTCGTTCAATACATGTACGGATAACGTATCTATATATATAATTGATTAGGTGTGATAATTCGTAGTTCGAATGATTAAGAGCAGTTATTCATATATCTGAAATTATGTGTAATATAATTAATTATGTATATATAACTACAAGAAACTCATATGTAAATTATATAGATAATGGGATTTGATTTGAATTTATTTCTTTTTCATTTCAGAAAGCCCTCAAATCCTTAGCATTTCCACACTTAAGACATGTCACCTATGTGCATAGATCGTTCATAATCGTTGAGGAATGTGAGATTTCAAAAACATTAACAACAATCATATGTTTATCTCACATACGTCAACGATGAAAATTCAACTATGCTCGAAAACCCTAGCAAAATCCTACCTTGCATGCACACATGGAAAACACGATATAGTTATAGATCGGCATCGACCATTTTGGCGGCTGGACAAATTGTAGGTACGAAAACGCGTTTGCAAAAAGCATGGTTTTGAGAAACGTTGACAGAAATAATTTAATTAAATTAGGAAAACCATGCAACAAGTAGCAAGAGAAAGAGATAAAAGCAGTACACGCCAGCACCCAGCAGGGTCAACTGGCGGGAACTAGGGACAATCCACAAAGAAATCAGGACTTTTTAGCGTCACCGTAATTTACATAAATACCCTTCCTCTCCCTTCTGGGAAATTTTGTGCCGGACTGACTGATTGACTTTCCCTTTGTGTACCCTCTTCTGCTCAACAATTTTGATTTATTGCACCTACAAAAACTAAAACATCATTTTCGCCAAAAAGAAAAAAAAACTAAAACATCATAATTTGATTTGGACCGTACCATCAATATGTCGTGTACATACGAGTTGATAAACTTTACGTGAATCATGCATCATGCATGTTGCATGTATATATATATATATATACACACACATTTATACAATGAAAACGTTGGTAATTAAGGTAGATAACTTTATAAACAAGCCCTATAAAATATATTGGGGATAGTGATTGGATGACTGGTGTGAGACATGCTGCGTGCATGTAAATTAATTATGAAGCTTAAAGTTAGATTGAAATGAAAGCGATAATTATTGTTTTTCATAAAGAAAACGACAATGGTTGGTTTGTTCTTATATATGAAGAGTAAAAATTGTTGATTTTGTCTGCCTAGTGTGAAAATCTTTATTTGATTTGACTTGCCCTCCGATCTTATTTAGGAAAACTTTAAGTCGATGTCAAGTGTTTTGTTTTCCTTGTTCTTATTTTATCAGTAAAGTTTCTCTCGTTTCATTGAGATTTCTCAAAACAAAACATAGTAAAAATTGCAAATAGTTTAAGATCGATTGGCTTGGCTGGATTGCATAACGTCCATTGGTAAACTGCACATTGGACGACTAAACATGATTATAAAAGAAAATTAAAAAAATTAACAAGTCGGCCAAGGTGAATTATTTTACACAATGCACACCACCACCTCGTGATTTCGCGAGGAAGAATATTTATATTTATATATGTATTGGTCCTTCGTGCCCTATTTTATTTTTAGTATTAAATTTCAGATGGAATTAGTGTCGTGACCTTTACGGTGCAACAACCATGCTAAAAGTCCACTCATTATTTGTTGGAATAAAAGGTCACCATGCAAGTTAATAGTCTAATTAAATATCAATTAAAAAAAACCTTTAAAGTTTAATGTTCCCTGCTTTGAAGTTTTAAATAATTATAAAATTATTTAAACTAACTTTCAATGGTAATTACTGGTCAGTTTTTAGATATTATGGAAGTTTTTGTTAGGATGGGCTATAAGATGTTCAAACGTAAAGCTCAGAAAGATTGCATTGCTTGACAATCACATATTGAATTATTATATATCCATTTCAATGTCTTGACTGTTGACTCTCTATGGTAATTTTGACTCACTGGTTGTGCATTGTTCAAGCACGTCTCTCCTGCATCCCAAGCATCATTTCAAAGGTAATTTTGCACTGTTGACTTGTTTTGCTCCAATTTCACAAATATTTATTCTTATCTATGCACTCAAGGTTATGCGTTTAAATTCATCCTACTCCAATATTGATTGTATAAACAAATAATGTATTGAACGTTTCTAATATTTCTTTTAGTGAAATACCATTGAAAGATTTCGAATCGGATTTTTCTTTTGGGGGTCTTGCTTCCCAACTCAACGTGAGAAAAAATGCTTTATGAAATGGTTAAAAAAAGCTTATAAATTATTCATCGTTTATAAAAACAATGAGTATACTCGAAACATTTCATTTAAATAATCTTTGAAGCCCTAAACGTTAACGATTAATCACAAGACAATAGGGGTGAGCACGGTCCGAATTGGTTCGGTTTTACTCTCAAACCACAGCTGAACCAATAAGAAAATAACAGTCTGATTTGGTTCGGATTACCCTAAAACCATAATGAAAACCGAACCAATCCAAACCACTTGTAATCGGTTTGGTTCAGATTGGTTCGGCCGGTTTGTGCCTAACACAAAACCATGCATTTTTCAACATACTCTTACATTATAAATTATAATGCTAACATGTTGTCATTATATCATTCCATTTCATCAAAGGCTAACACAACAACATTCCATTTAATCAAAAGCTGTCCAATTTTCAGCATGCATCTAAGTTCACAATTTCCATCAAAACATTCTAAAATTCATAAGAAATGAATACAAGATGAACTACGAAATGAAAGGCTACCCAAAATACAAGTTCATACTTTCCATTTAAACAAAAGCTGTCCAGTTTACAGCATGCATTTAAGTTCACAATTTCCATCAAAACAAAAATTTTAAAGTTCATAAGAAATGAATACAAGATGATAAAACTAAGAAATGAAAGTCTGCCCAAAATACAAGTTCATAATTTCCATTTAATTAAAGGCTGCCCATTTCCAGCATGTCCCCATACTACGCATAAAAGTAGTTTCAATCAACACAAATTTTAGGATACAAGATTATCAAAATAAGAAATGAATAAGAAAATTACCATGACTGTAAGGTTGTGCATCAATAGAGAATCAATTAGTGAAAATGTGCACAGGCGCATTAACATTTGATCTCCGCATTTCTATATAAGAAACATACATAATCATAAGTTTAGCTTCAACACAATAAAACTCACATTTTATAAGCAATTAATTGAGAAAAATAGATATACATGACTCAATAGTTTCATAAAACTCCATCTCCTCAATGGTGGGCTCAACTTGTAAAGAAATTGAAGTGGACTTCAACCAATTTTGTGTACAAATTAAAGCCTCAACCACAGCAGGATTCAAAGAACTACGAAATGAGTTTATTGTTCTCCCTCCCGTGCTAAAAGTAGATTCTGAAGCAACTGTAGAGACTGGAATTGCAAGCACATTTCTTGTAGTTGAGGGGCAATCCGTGGAATAACTATTTTTAACCTCTTAAACTACAAAACCCCAAACACAAATAGTGGAACCCAAGCAAGGGCACAAAGAGAAGGAATATTTATCATTGAAAATGACATAAATCGTTATTTAAGTAAAGATGAGACAGATTTTCAACAATGAAACCCCATGGAGATGATTAACTGATGGATGTCTCAGTCCACTCACATTCCAAATTTCCTGCTCAGAAAGGACCGTACGCTACAGCCAAAGACCAAAGGCATAAAACACCAACTTTCTCAATAAAATGGAAACAAATATACAAGTACTAAAGTGAAAAAGAAAAAGGTTTGCACAACATGTATAATCAGATTGGCAAAGCTAAGTATGGATTTGTTTTAATGGTAATCTTTACCAAGAACAAAACATTTCAAACAAACAAAATCACCTATAATCAAATTGGAAAAACTGGTTATCTAAACATAGAAATTAATTGAAAATAAGCTGAAAAGAAATTAGATAAATTAGAAGAACTCACCATCATTGGCATTGAGTTAGCTTCATCCATCGGGCTTGGTTTGAGACAGATGCTTACTTCCAACCACAGCACAGGTTCGAATTAGATGCTTCCTTGCAAGAACTCTGCTTGAGGGTTCGAATCAGATATGAGAGGAGCACGTTTGAATCAATGGAGGTGCGACGTCGACGATGGAGGTGCGATGCCGATGATAGGGATGCGACGCCGACGATGGAGGTGTGACACCAATGAGGTTTGTGCGATGTGAGAATGGGTTTGATTGAAGCCATGGAGGTTGTAGTAGTTCAAATCAATGGTGGCTTCTCTAGGGTTCAAGTGGGTTGAGTGAGGAAGAAGAGTTGAGATGGGGCTGCATATTCAACGAAGATGAGATGAGATGTGAGAGAGTTGTAAGTTGTTTGGAGTCCAATTTAGTGCGGCAGGGTATACACTAACACATCTAATTAGCCACTCAACCATTGACACATGTAAACTAATATATATATATATATAAATATATAATTAATTAATATTTAAACGGTTCGGTTCGGATTAGCACAATTTTCTAAAGCTTAAAACTGCAGCTGAACCAAACTACTCCGGTTTGGTTCGGATTTTAAAACTGTTGACTTTTTTAAAGCCAAAACCAAACCAAACCGAAAAATACGATTTGGTTCAGCTAGTTTGGTTGAATCGGCCAGATTGATGCCCACCCCTACAAGACAATATCACTATGACCACAAACACATCAAATTTGAAGGCTTGGCACCCAAAACAACTTGGAAAACTATCACATCCGGTGGAAATTTGAAGAGGGCATTATGGTAACTTGGCCAGTCCGTAAAGGGAGGACATAAAGAAAACAGACGCAGCGACAGCAACAGAGTAAGCAACAAATACTTATGACTCTACGCGTCTTCCATGACCAAAGCCATGAATGAGAGGCCCCTGACTTGTCGGGCTGTTGACTGGTGAGATTGAACAAGCAAACCAAACCGAAAAATACGATTTGGTTCGGCTGGTTTGGTCAGATCGGCCAGATTGATGCCCACCCCTACAAGACAATATCACTATGACCACAAACACATCAAATTTGAAGGCTTGGCACCCAAAACAACTTGGAAAACTATCACATCCGATGGAAATTTAAAGGGGGCATTATGGTAACTTGGCTAGTCCGTAAAGGAAGGACATAAAGAAAACAGACGCAGCGACAGCAACAGAGTAAGCAACAAATACTTATGACTCTGCGCGTCTTCCATGACCAAAGCCATGAATGAGAGGCCCCTGACTTGTAGGGCTGTTGACTGGTGAGATTGAACAAGCAAACAAAATCCCAGTTTTTATTTTTCTTTTCTTTTTGTCTGATGGACCCAATATCCCAGTTTAGTTTAGTTAAAAAGCAATTCTTAGTTTTTTCATGGAAACTGGCAAAGCTTACTTTTTTTGACCGCCTAATCTCTCTCTCTCTCTCTCTCTCTCTCTCTCTTCCCCCCCCAACCCCAATTTCCATGTTTTGTATGTCAGGAAACACACAACCTTTTATAAAGAGGCACTTTCACATTCACAAGACAGAGAGGGCAGTTTTTCAGTCTCTCAAGCTTTGAATCCATCAAATTCAAAGCACTCGTGGGATTTGAACCAAAGAAAACTCAAAACGTTGAATCACACACACCCACCATTCTGTCTTTCAATTCTAAAGCAACCATCATCCGTTGATTTCTCAAGAATTCAAAGACTTCATATTTTCCATCTTCCCATTTTCCTCTTCCATATTCTTGACACGTATACGAAGGACTAGTGGGATTAGTTTTTGGTTTTTTGAGGTATATATAAGTGAGGAGAGCTAAGCAGTCAAGACTCATAATCTCATTACTTGTGAGGATTTGCTCTCTGAATTCAAACACAACCCTTTTTAGGACATTCTGAACAATCCCATTTCAGGTAAGATATTGATTCATCTCCCAATTCTGTTACCCAATTTGTAGGTTTGTTTCAATCCAAGTGTTTTGGGATTTTGATGGTTAAGCAGCTTGCCTCTGTTTCAGTTCTTAGTTTTTTCAGAAAAGTTGTTCATTTGAAAGGGACCACCTTAAATTTACTGTGTCTTCAAATCAAAGAATCAGAACATTGGCATGTTCATGAGGGCTTGAGATTTTTTTTTCGAGTTCTTCTTACAATCTAATCTTTAGTATACTAATAATACCTATTTTGTGATCATATTGAGCAGGTAAAATTTGCCTCTTTAGACTTGAAGCCTTCTTCAGCAATTCTATGGGGCTATCCCTCTCATTACTTGCGTCAGCCTGGGAGGAGATTGTAAAGCATAGTTTCTTTGATTTGACATACAACATCCGTTTCAGTCCCAGAGATGGAGGTGCTCATGTGATATTGAGAACAACTAGCTTCAAGAAAACAGAACCAGAAACCACCATTGTTTCGAATAGTTCTAACAAATTGGGGACCAACAATTCAACTCGTTTGAGGGATTGCAAGCCTGAAAATGTAACACTCAGAAATCTTTCGTTCAAGGGTCTTGTTCAAGACAGGCAGGAAATGGCCACAGATGTTTGTAAAGGCAAAAATGATTTGAAGCATAAACCAATGCCTGCACTTGCTGTGCCTGAAAACCCAGTTTTCTTTTCACCAAGGCCCGTTAGTGAGCTTGATGCTGCCGCAGTTAAGCTTCAAAAGGTTTACAAGAGTTATCGAACTCGAAGAAACCTGGCAGATTGTGCTGTGGTGGTTGAGGAGCTATGGTGAGTCTCCTAGTAATTTCTTGCCAATGAAATTTTGTTTGATTTCAGTTTTTTTATTTTACATTAAATGGTTTGATTAATTTGGTTATTTCAAATACTTTAGGTGGAAGGCATTAGATTTTGCAGCTCTCAAGCGGAGTTCTGTGTCATTCTTCAATGTTGAGAAACCGGAAACTGCTGTTTCCCGGTGGGCAAGGGCTAGGACAAGAGCAGCCAAGGTTTGTTTTCTACTTCTTAAACTTTCTGTTTATCTCTTGTTCATTTTGCTAATTGGATATTCATTTGGATATTAATATTTACCATGTAATTATTGCAGGTCGGAAAGGGTTTGTCCAAGGATGAGAAGGCACAAAAGTTGGCTCTTCAACACTGGCTTGAAGCTGTAAGTTCTCCATCCCTATATTCATGTCCTTACTTTGGCCTCTGTTATAAGACTAGACATTTCATTGGAAACTTCATGTTCCTTGTAAACCATTGTTCACAAAACTAGTTCATGTAAAGCATTGGTCTAACATCAATCTATTTATTTCTTGATGTTTTCTGCAGATTGATCCACGACATCGGTATGGACACAATTTACACTTTTACTATGATATCTGGTTTGAAAGTGAGAGCAGTCAGCCTTTCTTCTACTGGTAAGTAGTTTGTTTTTTTAATAAATAAAATTGTTGATTGTCTTCAAACTTTCTTCTGATATGATTTCATTGCCACTTACTGATCAATTTGCATAATGCAGGCTGGATGTCGGAGACGGTAAAGAAATAACTGTGGAGAAATGTCCCAGGCCAGTTCTACACCGGCAATGCATCAAGTATCTCGGACCGGTAAGTTCTAAACCATATCCTAATTTAATTTACAGCTAACTTAAATTTTGTATTGGTTGTGGATAAAAAATAAGCAAATGGTTTTGATATCTGATTGTGTTACCTTTGTGTTGGCAAAATTTCAGATAGAGAGAGAAGCATATGAAGTAGTGGTGGAAAATGGGAAGCTTTTATACAGGCAAAGTGGGGTGCTTGTGAACACCATTGCAGGTTCCAAATGGATATTTGTGCTGAGCACAACAAGGTCCTTGTATGTGGGGCAGAAGAAGAAGGGCCAGTTTCAACACTCCAGTTTTCTAGCAGGAGGAGCCACCACAGCAGCTGGAAGATTGGTTGCCCATGATGGGATTCTTGAGGCTATTTGGCCATACAGCGGTCATTATCACCCAACAGAAGAAAACTTCATGGAATTCATCAGCTTCCTAGAAGAAAATCATGTAGATCTCTCCAATGTTAAGGTAATTAAATTACTATTTTTTATTTATTTGTTCATGTTTTACATGTCTAGCTAATCTCATATAACATTTTTGGGGTAAATTTTCTAATGATCTTTTATTGGTTTTCCACAGAGGTGTGCAATTGATGATGACTATCCTTCAATGAAGATCACTGATGGGGAACCAACAAAGCTTGAATCATTCAAATCAACAGAATCAGACGGTGGAAAGACAACTAGTTCAGATGATATCACAAAGAAAACCACAATCACAACCGTTAAAGAGGAAACTAAGAAGGTTTTGGTTGCCAATGCCAAACCACCAGTGTTTGACTCGGCCAAACGCTTGTCATGCAAATGGACTTCAGGAACTGGACCCAGAATTGGGTGTGTCCGGGACTACCCAGCAGAGCTACAATCCAGAGCATTGGAACAAGTCAACCTGTCGCCCCGGGTCACTCCTGCAACGTTGGGACATTATGGCCCAATTCCATCTCCAAGGCCCAGCCCGAAGGTCCGGCTCTCACCAAGACTTGCATATATGGGCCTCCCAAGCCCAAGAACCCAAATTCCCGCAGCCAGCTAAGGTGGTTGACGGACGTGTTTGGCTACCGGGCTTGGGTTAAGATAGTTGCAGTATAATAATGGGCCAAAAAAGCTTTACCTAGGGAGCACTTGTGCCCAAAATGACGGGTGACTTTGCTAGCCCAATGAGGAGGGGGTTAAGGGGACTAACCCAAATTTTTTTCTCCTTCCTTTGATTCTTTCATAAGTTTTACATCATTCTAGGTTATGATTTAATATTTTTTGTACATGCCCTAAGTCAGCCAAATGGTTTTTTTTTTCCTCAACCCGATTTTGGCCCATGTATTTTTGGGTCGGGTCGGGTTTAATTCATTCTTTATTTGTAGTATACCGGGAAGCTGACACAGCTGAATGAAATATCATAATTTCTATTTCTTGTTTGACACTGTCCTTCTTTTGTTGCTGATTTTGACTCCAAAAAATATCCAAATACTTGAATAAATACGTACCCACAAAATAATATTGTATTTGTTTATTGAAAAAAAAAGATGAACAGAGACTACCAGCAATATATAATGATTTTATAATTTTATATATTTATTATATGTTACACTTGTGTCTGAGTAGAGAGAGAGACAACACAAACCGAGTGATCAAGTCACTCAACTCAATCAAACATCATCGCTGACACACTCCAAAAACAGACACGAAGGAGGAAAGGAAACACATACAAATTGTCTATTATGATTTTCATCTGTTTTAGTTTGGTCAAAAAAACACTAACTTTGCTGTGTTTTAGTGAAAGCTAAACTTGCTCAAATTCTAGAGCCTCCTCCTCTTAGTCATAGACTAGCCCTGGATTGTGTACGGCCTCATTATAACACCATGTTACTTACCACTGCTAAGGGACAAATTTACAGACAAATTGTACATTTGTGCCAACTTGCAATGCAAGGAATGCAATCTGCAACCAATTTCATCACTACGTGTCATTATTTCATGCAGTCTCTACCTGCTGTAGGAGGGCAGTGGGGGCTCATGTAGAGTACAGCAGAGAGGCCCCTCCTGCCTGTGTGTTGGTTCTGTCTCATAACCAGAAAAAAAAAGTAGCATTTGAAACTTGAAACAGAAATGACAATGAGAAAATGCTTTTACCACCTTAAATTAATTACAAGTTTTCAGATTCAGTCAAATTTTAGTGACTAAAGTAAAAGCTCATTAACTGCAAAACATAACCAGAAATGATAAAAGAGATTATGATGTGAAGCAGCAAGCCCTTGCTTTATGAGAAACATTTGTGTGAGATGGGATAACATTATTTTGTTATTTTTGATCAATTACGACGTGTTATGCGTGATAATTTTTCCACATAACAATCTATGATTGATTGAAAATAACAAAGTAGTATTATCCCGTGTACATATAATCACAAGAACCAAGCATCAATCCCAACACGTAAGACAAGTCATCTGTTTGACTCAGACTTTTAGAGGGCACAGCCAGATTGACTGTGAGTTTGAAATTGACCCAAGAACTAATAATAAATACCTTTTTTTTTTTTGGTCAAAATAATAATTACCTTTTAGTCGGCCAATTAAATCAGTGAACATCTCATTGGTGCCTCAGGTCAGGTATTATTCACAAAAGCAGAAAGTTTTATTGGCATTTTTCATTCGGTACAAGCACAATTTGCCAATTGAATTCATGGCTCTAAAAAGCGTAGTTGGAGTAGGAAAATATCATTGAAGTGAAACTGTCCAAAAAAGACTTGACCTTTAATAAGTTTATCAAAGTGACTCAGAGAGTGAGAGGCTCTGCAGTCGAAGCTTTGATATAAGGGGCGGTTGCAGTTGATAGACCATGAACGTTCAAGTGGGAAAGTTCAGATAAATAAGACAGTTTTCACAGTTGTAAATTTTGCCTTGATTGATCAGACTTTAGGATTGATTGAGTTGTCAAAAAGGAAGAGCATTTCAAATTCCAATTCCAAACTCCCCATGTCATTTGGTTTGTTGGTACCAAATACGAATACAACCATTCTGTTTGACTGGAAGGCGGAATCACCTCTCCCTGGCAAAAAAGATTCCTCCTCAAAACAACAGGCACAGAAGAACCAGAGATATTAAGAAAATTGTATTCTGTTTCCAATAGGATAGGATGAGCTGAGCCTCCTCAGAGGCATTTGTGGTTTGGTTTGTTCTTCAGTGACTTTATCCACCAGTTTTCAAGTCTGCATCTCTCTCTCTCTCTCTCTCTCTCTCTTCTTTCATTGCAATTTGTCCCCCACAACAAAAGTTCATCTCCATCATCATCATCATCATCATCATTGCCATTTGGACTCTAACAAAATGAAGAAAAGGGCATGCCTTATTCTAGTGGCCAGTCTTCTGAGTTGGGTCTGTGTAACAAGCAGACCTTTTACATCCTCTGACTTTGCTCATCAACAAGGTTAGCTAAAACCTCATTTTTTTGACCTTTCATTCTTTTATTGTAATATTTACTTGAGTCCACATGTTTTTTCTTACATCCACCATACCATGTTGCTAATTAGTTTCTATACATAGCTGATCAAGACCAAAACCCACATCCCCAAGATGCAACCTTTGACCAAAAACAGGTACATCTCAGGCTCTCCCTATCTTGTTATTTCTTTTGCTATAATGCATAAGTGTGTTTTTTTTAGGGAGTTGAAGGCATTGAAGGACTTCCAGTAGATGATGAAAATGAAGGGAAGTATAGAGGGCTGAGCAGGCTTGGCTCCAGACCACCAAATTGTGAGCACAAATGTCAAGGCTGTGTGCCATGTTTTCCAGTTCAGATACCCACAACCACAGACCAAATTGGACTTCAATATGCAAATTATGAGCCTGAAGGATGGAAATGCAAGTGTGGCTCTACTTTCTTCAACCCATAAATGGTTCAGTTTTTTCAAGTTCAAACTTCAGAGACAACTTGATCATCAAGATAGGTTATAGCAGATAGCTTCCATCAGTTAGTTTCCAAACTCTAGCTAGGTGGCATGCCATTGCCGTGTATAAACTGATCCGATTCATTTTTAATTCTTTTGTTTGTTCCCCAAAAATGTGACTAGGTTATGTGTTGTGGGGCGCTTAAAGTTTTTGCAGCTAGAAGCCTAGATACAGTTTTTGACTTCTATCCACTGTTTCACATTCACACAGTGCAGAAGAAAAAAAAAGTTGCTAGAGTAATTGAGATCCAAAAAAAACCGTCGTTCTTTTTATTTTATTTTTTGAATCTTTTATATGGTAAATTGACACACACTAAACGGATGCTAATAGTCAAATTCAGGACATTTTATGAGAGAAACAATTGTTCTAAACCATTATACTAGTGAGTCCTTTGCCTTGTCCCTGCTTAAGCGTTTGCTATCCCAAAAAACATAGAAGGCAATCAAATTAAGTATCCTAAAAAGGCATTTAATTGGCAAACTTAAATTGCACAGAAAAATCAAGTTGGATATGGAGTTGGGAAATGAAGATATAAATGGCATTTAATAGGTGCTTGAATTGCACTTTTAAATCAACCCTGCTGTGCAAAGGACCTATTAGTGTAGTAATTTGGAGTATTTACTCCCTCAGGCAAGGTCCTGGATTTAAATCCTAACATCTGTGTATTGTGTGTGAATTTAGTATGCTATCGTCCCTTTCAATAGGAAAAGTCCTAATAAATAAACTCTGCTATGATTTCAGCAGGATTTCACTAATGACTTTGATTTCAATTGATTCTAGTGTTCAATGCCAACTCAACTACATCTAGTATAATAAACTCTGACCTAATTTAATTTCCATTTGAAATGTACTTGTTTAGGAAATTTGACAATTAAAATTCCTACTTTGCAAAAATAGGAATTTAATGTAGAATTCATTTAATTTCTATATAAAATGTACTTGTTTATATTTCTCTTGTATTTCAAAAATAGGAATTTAAAGTAGAAAATATACATGTTTAATTTCTTAGCAAAAATAAATATATTGTAAAAAAAGAAAAAGAAAAGGAAAAAGTATGTAAGAAGAGACCTACCACCAAGTCGGGTGGGGTGGAGTGGGTCTCACGTTTTTCATGGGTCACGCTCTTTGAAAATTAAAAAGATCCGACTCAAATCAAACCCAGTTGGACCACGTGTCAGGCACGCTCCGCCTCTGTAGAAAAAAAAGTCACGTGACATCAATCCCATCCGACAGCCTCCGTCACGCGCGAATACCAAGCGTGGGGGACAAAGCATGTCGACAGGCAAAAAATAAAAATAAAAATAAAAATAAAGAAAACGGAAAAGACATTTTCTATCTACCGAACTTTAGCTTCCAAGTGAATCAAAAGCAGGAAGGAGGAAGAGAGGGTAGGAAACCTGCTTTTGCTTTTGCCGTTCTCTATCTGTAATTTAATCCAAAAGCGCTTTTAAGTTTAACCCAAAAACACTTAAACAAAATAGAATTAAAAAAATAAACAAAAATAAAGAGGAAAAAGAAAAATCCTAACCCTAGATCTCCAACAAGAAAGAACCCACACAGGCCCCAGTGCATTGCTGTCCGTACAAATTTGTTTGCTTGCAATATTTTGCTTTTTATTGGATGACAATCCGATGTCGTTGCGGTTGAGTCGGCCAACTGTGTTCTGCTCATGCTTCACCACCTGGGTGCTGTTCGTCTTTTAGGATCTTCAATTTAATTTAATTTTTTTTTTCTTTTTCGATTTTTAGTTTTGTATTTCTAGGGTTAGGGTTTCGATTTATTTGGGCTGTGAAAAATGGAGCCTCGTGTTGGTAATAAGTTTCGGCTCGGCCGGAAGATCGGCAGCGGCTCCTTCGGAGAGATCTATCTCGGTTTGTGCCTTTTTCTTCATCTTATTGTCTGTATTTGTTTATTTCTATATGTGATTAGCTGCTTAATTGCGGATTTGTATTGTTTTGGTCGTTTAGTGTGTGATTGGTGATGGATTTGTATCTGCAGGTACAAATATTCAGACAAACGAAGAGGTTGCTATTAAGCTTGTGAGTTTTGTTCTTCCAATTCAGCTTCAAATTTTATTTTATTTTTGTATTTTTTTAATGCCCATTGGCTTTCTTTTAGTTATGTTTTAGATTAAGTTAAATCTATAATAATGGTTTTTAAGTTCATGCTCTGATAAAAATGCTTCAGCTTTCTCTTTGAGTTAGTAATGCCAATGAACCGAAGGTTTTTGGATCAACTAATCCTTAGATCAATTTCTGCTAATGTTGATCCTGATACTGCTAGAAGCATGCTCCTCTTGGTATTCCTTGTTCTAGGCCGAGTTACGGTGCGATATATATTGGTTTGATTGATAGATTAATATCTTGAAATTGTATTTACTTTTAATTGTGAGGTCTTGAAGTTTGGTGGTTGTGGTGAAGTTTGTTTTTAGAGTGTTATTAGCACTTTAGTGTGATGGATAGCTCTTGTGGGAGTATGAAGCTAATGGTTGTGCTGTTTATTATACATAGGAAAATGTCAAGACAAAACATCCGCAGTTGCTGTATGAATCCAAGTTATACAGGATACTACAAGGAGGAAGTAACGGAAATTCCTGACTTTCACACTTGATCAGTAGTTCAATTCTATAGGTTTTTGAATTTTTTGTAACAAGTTCTTACTGTTTTCTAAATTTGGTTCTTGCAGCTGGGATTCCAAATGTAAGGTGGTTTGGAGTTGAAGGAGATTATAACGTTTTGGTGATGGATTTGCTGGGCCCTAGTCTTGAAGATTTGTTTAACTTCTGTAGTAGGAAACTTTCGCTGAAGACAGTTCTTATGCTTGCAGATCAAATGGTAGGTGTGACTTTATGCATGTCATCGTATTGGTTTATATACTTGTTGGGAAATGTTGACTTTTGCCATGCTCGACATTTATTTCAGATCAGTCGTGTTGAATTTGTTCATGCTAAGTCATTTCTACATCGAGATATCAAGCCCGACAATTTTCTTATGGGCTTGGGAAGGCGTGCAAACCAGGTTTTTGCTCTAGTTTTTTTAACATGCTTGTGTAGGGTTTTGCATGCATGTGTTTTGGTGCGCTTATTTCATATGCTAAGGAGTTCATCTTGATATGGTAATTTTCCCTTATATGTAGGTATACATGATTGACTTTGGTCTGGCTAAGAAATACAGAGATAGTACAACCCGACAGCATATTCCTTACAGGTGAGGATGATGCTAGTTTGTGTTTCCTAATATGGTCTTCAAATATGATGCCAGATAATTTGGCATAACAAAAACAAGAATTTGATTGGAACTGCGAGATATGCAGTTAAATAGTAACTTCACCAGTCAAATTTCATTGGGCATGGTTTTGATTGCTGCAGAGAAAACAAGAATTTGACTGGAACTGCAAGATATGCAAGCATGAACACTCACCTTGGCATTGGTATGTTTTGGTCGTATTGTTTTTCCTTTGGTGTTCCTTCTAATGTATTGTTGTTGTTCCTATTAAGTGTATATCTGGTTTATAACATTGATTTAGAATCTCTTTTTATGCTATTTTGCACTTTATAGAGCAAAGCCGGAGGGATGATTTAGAATCTCTTGGTTATGTCCTTATGTACTTCCTTAGAGGAAGGTGATTATTTCTGAAGACCCTATATTTTACTGCAGTGCTATCAGTTGATGTTATGTTTAGTAATTCTATTTGCTTGTAGTCTTCCTTGGCAGGGACTAAAAGCCGGAACTAAGAAACAGAAGTATGAGAAAATTAGTGAAAAGAAGGTTTCTACTTCAATTGAGGTATGATGTTTGTGAATGTTGTGGTCGTATGCAATTTAGACCTCATGTCTCGCATCTCATGACTGGAGAGTTTAATGATTTCACAGGCATTGTGTCGTGGTTATCCAACAGAGTTTGCTTCATATTTCCATTATTGTCGCTCATTACGATTTGATGATAAGCCAGACTATGTTTATCTGAAAAAAATATTCCGCGATGTCTTTATTCGTGAAGGTTTGAATTCTACTTTCATTACAGTGAGCATTTCTGAGTGCATTTAAACATTAATATAATTTTCGTGTGTGCTTGTATCATATTTTTACACTTTGGATTTTGTTACAGGTTTCCAGTTTGATTATGTGTTTGACTGGACAATTTTGAAGTATCAGCAATCACAGCTGGCTACTCCTCCAACCCGTGCTCTTGTAATTTCTGTGTTATGTTTTACTTTGTCTTTTATCAGAATTTATGCATTTGTATTGACGTCTTGTTTGATATAGGGTCCTGGTGCTGGAACTAGTTCTGGGATTCCCCATGCTGCTGCTAATGTGGACAGGCAGACAGGTAGTTGTTTAGCATTATTGAATTTAAACACTATTCTTATAGATTGGCTCATTCATTCCATTGCATGTTTAAATTTTTTTTCTCCTGTATGCTTATTTTAAGAGGCAATCTTTCCTTGGCAAGTTCTTTTATAGATATATTGAGTTCCTTTATTCACTAGTGTAGTGCTAAACTTATTGCTGATGGTTTTCCAATATTTGGTGTGATTTCTTTTGAAAGTTATAAATAGAAGCTGACTCCTGCATAAGCTTTGGAGTAAATAACATTTGCTTTTGGACTTCCTTGCAGGAGAGGAAGATGGACGGCCAACGGGTTTAACTTCATTGGATTCTTCTCGGCGGAGAATACCTGGGCCAGCTCTCAATTCCATGAGCCTTTCGAAGCAGAAGAATCCAGTTGCTAATGATGCTCCGTTATCTAGAGAAACTCTTGTAAGTAGTTTGGAATGCATTTTTTTTAAAATTGAAGATTTCCCTCTCGTGCCCATATATATATCAATATCAAACTGGGACAGTTAAACAAACTTGCTTTAATGCCATCCGTCGAAAAGCTTATCTGCATGCTTGGGCCTTGCAGATGTCGAATAACAATATCTTGGGCCGGTCAGCTGGATCATCAAGGAGAGTTGCTGTTTCTAGCAGCCGTGATGCATTTGGTGGAAGTGAGTCTGATCCTTATCGCGCTCGTACAACCGATGCTAGTCCTGGAGCACACAGAATTTCGAGTGGGCGAAGAAGTTCACCGGTTGAGTCATCAGACCCCAGTAGGAGACATACCTCTCAAAGCAGGAACTATGAAACAACCCTTAAAGGCATTGAAGGTCTGCATATAGACAATGAGGAGAGGGTTCATTATTAGAGATGCTGACTTTGCAGGTTGCTGTAAATCGTAATTTGATTGTTTTGCTTTCATCAGATTAGGTGGTTTTAATATATATCAAAGGTGAGAGTCTGAGAGGCGATTTCGTTTGAACTCAGTTACCCCTGCAAGAGAGCTGAGTGTTTGTTGCTTCAACTTGTGCTTTAACACGCCCATCTATTTGCGTGATAAACAATGTAAATTTTCTTTTTCCAAAAGTAAAATAACAAATTTGTTAAAGAAAAATGTACCTTTGTTTGCATGTCGTAGCTTTTTTCGTATTTGTTGATTTTTTATTTTTTGACATCCGAGTTTATAATGTTCTTTTACTCTTCAAAAACTGCAACTAGGATGCGTGATATCTCAAATTAGCTGTTTCACATTTTGTTTCCCACAGCCAGCTATTGTATTAATATTTGCTTTGTAAACTGTAAATAAACTTATTTCTCGGGTAAGGTCCACGGCTCATCTTTGCTTAGGGAGTCAAGTTCTACGCTTCCATTCCAAGTTAGAATGTCTTTAGTCTAGTGGTCGTGGTTGTTGTTTCCACTTAGTTGAAGGAGATCTCAGATTCAACTTGCATGCGAGCGAGGACAATCAGTGGTTGCAAAGAAGTTCGATTCCAAGTTGTGGCTCACCCCACAGCTTTGTTGTTAGTGCATTATCACGTTGTAAAAATATTTTTGTTGATGTCATATTGTTGTTTATGTAATGATTTTTTATTTATTTTTTAAACAGCCTTGTTATCAAAATTGAAATGCAAAATACTCTGGCCCGTTTAATAATTATTCTAATTTTAGTTTTTAGTTGCTATATTATAGAGGAAAATGAGAGTGAGAATGAGAGTGAGGATGAGGATGAGATTGAGATGGGAGGATGAGAGATGAGTAACAAAAGTGAAAACAACTTCAAATAGATTTCATGTTTTTGTTTTTGTTTTCACTTCTATTACTCATTGCTCTCATCTTCCCTCTCAATCTCATCTTCACTCTCATTCTCACTTCCATTCTCCCTCTTTTTTCTCTATACTTGTTAGCACAAAAAATGAAAATTAAAATGAAAATTTAAAATGGTTATCAAACGGCACGCAGACAAGCCAAAGCCAGGCTTGTTGAAAAACCAGCATTCACTGTCCTCTTCCATTTCCCCCAAAACACACTCAAGGCGTGGGTACACAGACGAGAGAAGGATAAGCTAGCCTAACGAGGCAGCAAAGAAGAAAAGAAAACTGAAACAGCAAAACACAAGAAGGGAAAAAAATAAGCAAATGGCCACAAGACAGGACCCGAGGCCTAACACACACTCTCTCTCTCTAAAAGGAGACCTTTTTTTACAATCTCGCTCTAGAATAGCTTTAGTAAGAATCAGCCCCTTTCTTTTTCAATGTCGAAAATCCGGTTGAGGTCCTAAACTGTTCTAGATTCTGTAGCATCATGCAATTCATGTCCATACCAACTAAACCATAATCGGAGAAACCAAGATGTCATGAGAAAACATATCAAGAAAGCTACGCTAATTGCTTGTATTGTTGTATTTGTGCCATCCTCTTTTAGGGTTTTGGGTGAGTTTTTGTAATGAAATTTCATCCTTCGAATCGAAAAAAAAGAAAAAAAAAAAGCAATTTGCCCCTGTAATATTCCTTACAATTTAGATCCGAATTTTATAATTTTCATAATTTCCACCATAACCACATCAATATTTTCTTGGTTTGAGACAACTTATGTTCTTAGCAGAAAGCAGCAAACAAGGCTTTGAATAAAAATGGATAAAATTTCGGATACGAAACATCCAGAAATATACATATATTCATCGGCAAACATATTACCACCTCATTAAATTAACTTTATAGAATAAACCAACACGAATTAAACCACCAAATAATAATATATTCAGAAAAATCATTTACCGCCCATAGACCACTCTGTTGCAGGTTTCCTTGACCCACCTGAAGCTCTTCCTGAGAGAGCCTTTGAGCTTGCCTTCCACAGTATAAACCTTATAGCTAGCGACCCTCTTCTTCCTCTGCAGCTCCGGATCATTAAAGCTCCAGCTTTTCGAGGCAGACCCATTTGTGGACTTGCCCTTCTTGAACCTATCGCCATTGTTGCCCATCTGGGTTTGGGTCGGCGGCTGCACTGAAGACGCATAGGAGGCACTGTAACACCTGAGATCTTGCATTCCATTGATGCCGCCGGAGGAAGTGGGCCCCGAGCCATTGCCGCAGTAGCTCTCTATCTGCATCATTCCATGCCCGCATGATTTGGATCTGAAATCATCCATGGCTGCTTTCACTGAGAACTTACGGAAATCTGAGCTCACTGTCTCTGAAGCTCCAGTCAATTGGTCAAATGAGAGATTCTTGGGGGATCGTGGCATTTCGGCCGATCAATTGCTTATTTAATAATATTTATTGTTATTCTCATATGATTTATTTCATTCTTAATGTGGTTCGGCGCTGACTAGGATGCTGATCCGTCGGTGATATTTAGAAAAAAAGAAAAGAAAAAAGTTTTGAATTGGATGTGGAGGAGGTACCACTGGACTCTCTGCAGCGGAGTTTACCAGGTGTTTCTGTTCACGTGAGAATCTCGTGACTCGGGACAGCGACATTATGGGAGTTTGCTTGCAGTGTGTTTTTCTTTGCGCATTTCTGCAGTTTAGGATAATGCATATTTTTGTAATTGGGCCCACTGCATTTTTGCGATGCTGTCCGATAACATGTAGAAATACTGTGGCAAAATTATTAAATAGCATTATTCACAATATTAACTGAATTTTGATATTTATTACTTTATTTATCTTTACTATGGTATCTATCAACGTATATTTGTTTTTAAATACTACTATTACCATTACTATAACAAATTCATAATATCAACATTTTGTTGATAAATATGATGATAATATCAGTAGAATTCTATAATGAGAGTCTTATCTAAAGCGCTTAAAAGAAGTCATATCTCTTAATCATTGGATCAAATTGATTAGTTTGATTCAACAATTAAGAGATAGGGCCTCATCTAAGGACCTTATCATCCGACGACTAAGAGATATGACCTTATCAAAGGACATTAGATAAGGCCCTCACTATAGAATGACTAGCAACAACAACCTATCTAGATGATATTGATAGAATAAAGTTACTTGCTATTTGAGAACATTGTTACAGTAAGTGACATTAGCCTACTGAGATGGTATGTTATAATGAAGTCATTTGCTATTTGAGAACATTACTACAGTAAAAATGGCATTTAAGATGATAATCGTTATATACTTTTCTTTCTCCACAATCAGTTGTAACATCGAAACAAAAGCATACCTATATTTTATAGGAGATAAACAGGGAAGATGATAATGAAGGCGTAACCTGATCGAAACTGAAGCATTTACAAATTTCCCATCTAATTATATACCAAAAAAACTAAACCAGGTAATACAGTTGTGGCGCTACTCACTGTTTGATAACGATATTTCAAAAGTTTGTATAAAATCAACTGAATTAACCAAAAATATGCGTAACATGAAAAACGTATGGATCATGAAAACATCGCAAAGGAAGCTGCGACACTGACAAATGATCAATCACTGGGAGCAGCGAAAGTCGCTTCCGAACAACTCGATCCACACCTTGAGATTGAGGAGTCAAAATCTTATTCAGCTTTCCCTTTCCGATTCATCAAGTCGTGGTAATATAGAAGCAGACACATAGGCTGACCAAGGATGCAAAAGATGAACCAAAAGATCATATTTCCAACCTGGAAATAACATATCCAAAAAGAGATTAGAAGAAATATAATGATATGACAAATATTGAATCAATAAAAAGGCTAAACAGACATACCATCGAGTTTCTGAATTTATCTTGCAGGTAATTTGTGATCAAGACAAGCGGTACCTGTGACAAAAATGCAACAAAATAAAAACAATTTAAAATAATCATCTCATTCTTATTTTTGCAATGCAGAGTGCAAACAATACTCAAAGCAAGGAAATTAAAATGTTCTTACCTGCAACATAATTCCTATGAAAGCCCACAACTTGAACATGTGGCAAGGAACAGCAATGCACAGCTGTAGTTGAATTGAACAATAATTCATGACAGTATAAGTAATTCAGAGAACATATAGGGGATTTGAAGGTAGTAAACAAACACAAACATTATACAGATGAGCAAGACAGAAAACAGAAGGGGGAACGATTCCGATCGACCCTCAGATAATGTTTCAGTTGGAGTTTGCATTGTTGATAACCATGGGGAAGCTCTGGGTCTAGTATAACATACATTTTCACACTCGAATCGAATGTAGTTTTCTGCTCTTTGCCCCAAATCAAATATTTTGGTTCATACTGGAAGAATGTAGAGGTTTTCTACCCATGTCCTGACATCAGGATTTATTCTTTACTATGTATGCTCATTTTACTCTTATAACATACTCGGGACTCTTTTATCATCACTATCACCCAATAAAACAATGGGACTGGTCATTAAGATTGAGCTTGATCTGAACTACCATATAAAAGTAAATTACCAACTGTGCACATTCCTGGATGACGTATGTCTAAATAGCTAACTCTTGCTTGGCTTCTAAGATCGATGAGTTTTCTAAAGGAAGGGCTCAAAGCCATCCTTTCAGTTTCAAGTCCTACTATCCGCCATAAAATCATGATACTGAGTCAGTTTCCAGAACCCCAATCTCCACCAACACTCCCACTTCAAAAAGAGAGAATGCTAATTCTCATTCTAGACTGACTACAGATTCAATTAGGAGGGAGATAGAACTAAATAACAGCATAAACTCAGAAACAAAGCAATATACCTCATGAAATACAGCAGATACTAGGAAGGCGATTACAATGGCAACTCCCTGAAATGAAAGGAACAAAAAATAAACAAATAACAAATTAAATTTGAGCTTTCTTAAAAATGAAAGTTCAAATCAGATCCATCACACATCACTTAGATTAAAATAAAGAGAAACTTGTTACCTTTGGTACTCCATGCCGTAGGCATGGAAAATAGATATGGCGAACCATCCATTTATGAACAGGCTGAAATGAACCCAATCAGTATTACACTTTCACTAAGGCATATGATTAGCATAAATGACTAATGAGAACCACAAGGCCACCAGTAAATTCAATATATACACAACAAATGAAGTCTACGCTATATTCAACTACCTCATGGAGAGAAGGAGGTGAGTATAGAATCAGCAAACAAACTAAACAACAGAAAAGATTTTAAGATATTATTTAACTATCTTTACATGGCAACTTTGATGACAGTGCAATTGGGATGCATCAAGAACCAAATGGAAAACAGTCCCATGAGCAACCTAAATATCAAATAGAAGCCAAAATTTGGAACCTATTACCATCTTAGATCGGCAACCAGTAGATCAAAACAAATGATTTCTCGTAAGAATTATGTATATGGAAAAAAGTAAGGAAACAACTGAATTAGAGTTAACATACATACCATATTCCACATTCTCCAATACTGATGACAGCCACAAAACCAGAAGAGCCATGCAACAAAAGCGAATAGTCAAAATTTTCAATTAAGCAAAGAGCTGTAATAATGTAACCCAAGAATAAGTTTCATAGAACATAAAACGCACCTCCTCAACTGTCTTTGCATTCCACCAATCTTTATAGAACTCTCGATCACCAAAACAAAGCAGCTCAGCAAGAATATTTAACCTATATTTGCAACACTGTATGTAAGCATAAGCTAAACCATGAAATTATTTGAAAGTGTACATTTACCATAGCAACGGACGCACCAGAGGTGGAAAAAGCAATAGAACATGCATAGCCACACGTATAAATTGGGAACAGAAAGTTTCAAAACCCTCTCTATTGCATATAAGAGGTTCCCCTTCAAAGGATGTTGTGAATTCTTGACAATAGGATTAATGTACTGCAGAAATATACAAATGTCATAATTCTGCAATAATCATAGGAAAACAAAAGAGCACAGAAAGCTAGTTGAAACAAAAATTCAAACTTACTTGTTCTACTATAAATCCCATCAGTCCAGTAAAAATTATCAACTTGACAAGTTGACGAAACACCCAACCCTTTCGAACACATGCTGTACGAGGGTAACTAGTCTGAAATAACAATGAGCCATATGGAAATACATGAGTTGAAAATAAAATCAAAGCAAAGTTAGAGCTTGTATTTGGAAAAAAGCAAAGTTATGTTGGAGCAACCATGAAGCTTACACGTATGCATGACAGTTTATAAATCAAGAAAAACACTTGTTTAGTTTGTGTTACATGCCATAACTTTACTTTTTATCTTTATAACCAGAAAAATAAAAAGCAAACAAAATGACAAAAGCATCAGAACATGTATTATTCCACTTTCTGAATAGGGATTGACAAATACAAAAACCTAGTTTAACTCTGAAAGAGAAAAAAGTGTAATTACCTGATAACATAATGTCGGAGCAACCATGAAGTATGCCAAACTTTTTAAGCTAATATTGTGAGGGATATCTGTATTTGAAGAACTGGGCACGGCATCCCCCTAGCATCAGACAAGGACTTCGTGAATTAGAAAACAATCATTTATCACAAGAAAAATAAGTGTTGAAGAACATTAAAGATCTATTAAAGTGGGAAAATATCAAGGAAGAAAGAGAGAATCAGTGATTTTTTTTTAACTTTCTTCAATCCTTATATTAAGTTAAGGTAAAGGAAAAAACCGTTCATTAATTGAAAACCTTCTAAGGAAATTTTTTATAAGCTCATTGCTACCTTTTCAGTTGATTTGCCAAGCGCTCTCATGTCATAGTTTGTATGCACATAAGAAACGAGCTTTAACCACACGATGCAAGCAAAGAGCATCAACGTAACACCAGATAAAACAGCAGAATCGCACCTGAAGAAATTGAAATCACCTAATTAAATACAGCATCTTCACTACTATTCACATATTCCAGAACTAAAGACCCCATCAATAAAATCCAACAATAGCCTCTCCTATTGAAGCTCATTATACATTAAGAGACAATTTTTCAGACAGTACCACAATATCTTTTTCCATCTACAGAAAGTTCACTAATAGATTAATAGCACTAAAACATATATTATAGGCAACAATGAAATGATCATCTAATAGTGAGATTCTTTTATGAGCATGAGAAAAGTGAGCATGCAAAATGCTAAATGTCATTGTTTTTATTTAAAATCTTAACAATCCAACAGCTAAAAACATCCCTGCTTATGCGTGCTCACTTTTCCCGTGCTTATAAGAGAACCTCTCTTAATAGTGATAGAACAAACCCAAATCTTCCTATCAGCCATGGCCGAACAGTTTCAACTATAGATGCAAAAAGAAAAACTTATCAGTATGTTCAAACTAACCTGAGAATCACCAAAACCGGATACAAAATTGAAGTTGTGGTAATGATCATATGAAGAGAAACAACAGCCTGCAATGTCAGGCCAGAAATTAATATTGCAAATATACTTGTGAAAATGTACTATTTTGAAGTATTACCATATGAATTACTCACAGGTTCAGATATAGACTTTTGCAGGGCTAACTTCTCAACTACAAAGGCGGCAAGTGGGAAAATTGGAAGAGTGAGGCTGCAAGTGAGAGAAAAAAAAAAAAAAAAAAAAAAAAAAAAAAGAATAAAGGACACACAAACTAAATTTTAAATACTAATTTATTGAAATTAAAAAATGAGAACGAAAAGTTAATTAATTCTATAACCAAACAGGGTACCAATGCAAAGCGATAGAAAAATTACCAGCACATAAGAAGGGGCCAATCTCGCAATGATCTTGAACTAAACCAAAAACCAGTTTTAATTAACCAACCATACTGCAACAATAATTAAACCATAAGGCATCTAAAAAAAATTCCGCTAAACGGCATGAAGTTAATCAAAACAACAAGGATACAGGCATATGGCAAACCTTCATTAAATTCTCGATGATAAGCCTGCTGTTTACAGCAACAAGCACTACTATACACAGGTTGAAGAGACCTGCATGGCTCTGCTCAAAAAAGAAGTAAAACTAGGAATTAGCACCGCGCTCACACACAACTCAATGCTAACAGACCAGAACTTGTTTCCGAACAAAACACCTATTCATTACTAAGAATTTTCAATTGCATTTCACAATTTCAATCATGCGAAACGAAAGAAATTGTCTTTAACAATGAAGTGACATTAAGCTAAATAAGTCCTAAATACCTGTCTGAAGATGGCATCAGAGCTGAGAGGGCTCTCTTTGACTCTTCGATGAGCTGGAACCGAAGGCCGATACGCGAATTTCACAGCCGAACGATCGCCGCCTCGATCATTTTCGCCGAGTCCTTTATTGTCTTGGACAGCATTGACCGAATCCATAGAAGCTTCCGAGCCTCCAATACGAACGTTATCGCCGGGTTCGCAGATCTTGGCGGTCACCGAGTCGTCACTGCCGGAGTCTCTGACCAAATCGTTCAACGTACTGTCGTCTTCGCCGGTCTTGGAGCCGGAATCGGCTACATCTCTAGTTACGGTTGTGGCGGCGGCGGGCCTGCGTCGGAGGGTGTGGGTGAGATCCGAGTCGGTGAGAGGGCTCGTGCTGGTGCCTGTGATGCCTACGGTCTCAGGCGAATCTGAAATCGCCATGAAATGGAAGAACCGCAATATACGATAGCTTTGAATATATAACTATATATTATATATAAACGTGAGAGAGAGAGAGAGAGAGAGAGAGAGAGAGAGAGAGAGAGGTGAATTTGAGAGCTCGCTTAGGATGCTGGAGGGTCCAGAAAGTTCATGCAGAGAGGGAGAGAGATTTGAACCGCATAAAGAGAAAAGGAAGGGTGAGCAGAGCCCGGAGCAAGAAATTTCGAGAAATGGCGGTGAATGAGTGGGAAAGGCAAGCGGTTTTATAAAAAGCGACAAACAATTAAGAAAGAAACAGAGGGAAGAGAGAGAGAGAGAGAGAGTGCGAATTTTTTTTCTTCTGGTGTAATGGTAATGATGTCAGAGGAGGGAAGGGTGAGGTTGATGGCGGTAGGAGTGAATGAGCCAAAAAAACGACAACAGAAATTGAGGAAGCAGCCGCGCTTTGGTTATGGCGTTTCACAAAAAACAGTGTCGTCGTGTAAGGCTGTTACAGAGGAGAGAGGACGCTGCGGCAGACCTGGTCCGCTGGAGCTCTACACATCCAATCCAACCGCTTCCCGGTCCTTCCTTCCTTCCCTCTACCCCACATCCACAAATTAAGACATTATTAAATGTTAATTATTCTATATTTATTTTACTTACCCAATATAATTAGATCAGCAATCAAATAAGCTGCTGATTTTGAGGTACCCATATTATCTTACATGTCAACTCCTTATTAGTTTAATAAAAGAAAAACGTTGTTGTAAACAAGCAATGCTAGGTATACCATATTTATATACCATTTTATGTATGGTGTACCACTTCTTTAATAAATGTGAAGCTCACCAAAACAATGGAGCCCACCTCTATTAAAAAGATAGTGGTATGACTAGCATTTTATATTCTAAACTATCTAATCTATATCGAGACCTTCAACCGTTAATGATCAAATGACTTCGATTTGTTGTTGCATTACATTGCATTGCATTCCATCCGTTAGTGTATCAAGCACAGTAATTACACATTTAATAACGTGACGCTAAGAAAAGAATGATTATGATGGAAAGGGACAAAGGGTGGGTGAGGTACCGTACATGTGAAACGTTGTTTTAATATTTATTAAACGCGGTTGAAGTTGTTCTAATTTAAGAGGCCGACCCGGAGCAAATTGGATGTTGTTGACTCCACAATGTTAGTTATATAACCGTGACCACTGACCACGTGTCACATCTCACAAGAAGTTTCCATGTGTGTGGGAAAAGTTTGGTACCGACGAATCTTTGTTATAATAATAATTAACGGACTCCACCTGACCGACACACCAACAGTCTTGTTGCTTACTCAAACGAGTAAATAAAAAGATATCAAGCTTAAGAAAAGGCCTTTTTTCTCATGGAACGGGGGCACTTTTCTTCCTTCTATAAGAAATGAGAAGGCCGTGCCTCATCTTAGCATACTCTTCAAATCATGCCTAATTAAGGTAAAGTGAAAAAAGCTATGTACATAATAAAGGCAATAGCAACTTGTGTCTCTCTCTACAAGATATTTGGAGAAAGCTGCTTCGGTTGCCAACAATTCTACAAAACTGGCGTTTGACCATCCATTACAATCATCGAATCACAACAGCCATCAAAACCAAAATGAAAACATCAAAAAAACCAAAGTTCAACTCAAAAAATACATTACATATTAGTAGCTAGAAGATATGTTATGAAACAACAGTTGCTACCACAACCGATCAAGGCAATGATGGTTTTCACATTGCAAGTGTACTTGTACCACTTAAAATAGTATCCAACAACCATAAATTATAAAAGAACTAGACCTATAATAATGATAAGAAAATAATAATAATAATAGGAGAAGACACAAAATGGTGGATGTGGCGGCTGGAACGACAAAAAACAGAAAATAAACTTCAAACAAAACAACACTTACTACTAAGCAGAAACCAGCTTTTCCTTGGTAATTTTCTAAAGAGGACAAAATCTCATCAGAGGAGATCAGCAACATTCGATGGGAGCTCCTCCACAAGCACGTTATAGAACTTCTGGATGTCAAACAGCATCCTCTCATCATCCTTTGTTACAAAGTTGATGGCAACACCCTTCCTGCCAAATCGTCCACTACGCCCAATTCTGTGGAGGTAGTTCTCTGGCTGGGTAGGCAGGTCATAGTTTATAACAAGGGAGACTTGCTGAACGTCAATACCACGAGCCAGAAGATCAGTGGTGATCAAGACACGAGATGACCCAGAACGGAACTCCCGCATGATGATGTCTCTGGTGTTCTGGTCCATGTCTCCATGGGTGGCAGAAACTGTATGGTCTCGGCTCCGCATTTTGTCAGTCAACCAATCAACCTTGCGTCGAGTATTGACAAAAATGACACTCTGGGTAATGGCCAAAGTTTCATAAAGATCACAAAGAGTCTCAAGCTTCCATTCCTCCTTGTCAACATTGACATAAAATTGCTTTATACCCTCCAGGGTGAGTTCATCACGCTTCACAAGAATCCTCACAGGTTTGTTCATGAACTTCCTTGTGATCTCAAGGGCCTCAGGTGGCATTGTGGCAGAGAACACCCCAACCTGAATCTTTGATGGCAGAAGCTGAAATATATCATAGATCTGGAACCACCACAAAAATGCATTTTGCATCAGATAAAATTTTCATTACAAAATCACATTGATTTCAGCAAACCAAGGAAACTGAAATGAAAGCCATATAATGAAGTGATACAATGGTGGAGCAAAACTGCTACTGACTCAGCATATTTGTCATTCTGGAATGTCAATTAATTACTTCATGTATGTTTTAATGCATTACAGTTCTTATCCATATTAATAGATAACTATACTGCATACATGATTTATTCTTGCATATGAGAAATCCATTATTCACATACAACCTCATTATGCAGAACATGCATTCACTAGTCCTAAAGCGCATAAAAACAGACAGACACATCATTGGGTTGAAAAAATACCTGATCCTTGAAACCTCGGGAAAGCATCTCATCAGCCTCATCCAAAACGAACATTTTGATGTTATCAGGACGAAGCGACAGTCTCCTTAGCATGTCAAAAACACGACCAGGAGTGCCCACAACAACATGAACCCCATTTGACAGAATGCGCTGGTCTTCACGAACACTGGTTCCACCAACACAAGCATGGACCCTCACACCCAGATAGTCTCCCAGAGCCCTCATGACCTTCTCAATCTGTTGAGCAAGCTCTCGAGTTGGGGCAAGAACCAAGGCCTGGCATTCTGTCAACCCATAATCAAGCTGTTGAAGAATACCAGAACAGAAAGTCGCTGTCTTCCCAGTTCCAGACTGAGCCTGTTGAATAACATCAAGACCCTTGCAGAATGGAACAATTCCCCTTTGCTGAATAGCTGAGGGTTTTTCAAAACCTGCAAAAGGAATTACAGTGAATTCAATCATTCACCAGTCTAGAGAAAACACGGCTATAAGACAAATGGAAAACTCCATGAAGATAGTAGAGTACAAAATTTTTAGAATTTTTCCTCTTGTCATAAACAATATAACATACTAAAAAGAGGAAAAAAAATTATGGCTATATGTACCGTAAGCATAAATGCCCCTCAGAAGATTCTCTTGCAGACCCATAGAATCAAAACTATCATAAACTTCATCATATGATGTAAAGAATTCCTGCCCATCAGTTGCAAGTCTGTAGCCAATAGATACAGTTAGCAACCAGTTTTGAATCCTTACAAAAACTTTTTAACCACAGAATAAATACAAGAAAAGAGTAAAAGCTTCATAGGCACCTAAAATGCAGTTTTAAAGTAGAAAAATGAGAGTGCGAATCTTACAGCTCAGTCATTTTGGAATCATACTGACGAGTATCAAATTGTGATCCTTCTGGAGCTGCCATGACTGCAGAAGTAACAACAATAGTATAAGAGAAAAACATCACCAATCTTCTCAACCAGTACAAATTGTGTGAAAATTAAGCAAAAATAACAATGATGTCCATGCTAATGCTACTTCGAATTATACAGTAACTCAGATTTTCTCAGATTTCAATAATTCAATGATTTCTTCATGAAAAACATTAAACAGCATTTGTCACTCTCCTCTCTAGAAGGACTTAAGAACTTCAAACACAATTTTGCATAACTAACATCCGCGTATGACTAACTATTAACTACCACATAAACGTAATAACATATTAGCTGCAATAGTACGAAAATTTCAAAGATCAGAAGCATTATAGAACTTGTAGTAACAACTACTTAAGAAAACGTTACGATTCACATCAAATATATGGAGCACAGGAAACATATTGAAAACGAGAAAGAACTACAAGAGTTTTCTGAAATTAATTCTCAAATCTTAATAGCAAAACTTATTTTATCCTATACAACTGAAACAACAGAACTCAGACGACTATGCTCAATAGTGAAAAACAAATATTTCAACAACAACAAAACCAACAGAAGAAAATAAACAGCAAATCAACATCAACGAACACAAGCCAATTCAGAATCTAGAAATTTATGGAAAGAAAAAATCGTGAAAAAAAAATGGAGAGAACCGGATCGAACAACCGTGCGAGTAAAAAAGATGGATTTATAAGGAGAAAGGTATGCGAGGAAGACCTGCCGATGATCGGTGAGAAGGTGAAAGCGAAGAGAGAGCGACCGAAGAGAGCTTTGGTATGTTTTCTGAAAATTAGGGTTTCCCAAACTCCTCGGATCTAAGCCGCGGAGTTAAGGAACGAGCGAGAGAGAGACAGAAAGAGAGAGAGAGAGAGAGAGAGAGAGAGTTTTGTGTTTGACAAGTGAGTAAACTAATCGAGTGAGGGTTGATTATTGTATATGCGATTCGAGGGAAGTATGGTCTTCGCGTCCCTCCAGATTCGATTCGGGCACGTGGCGCTCACGGATTGGTGGGAGTGGAATAGGAGTATAAAACGGACTCTCTTTCCTCATAGAATTAGCGCACGAAAATATGGGGCTGGATTTGGAACGGGCTAAGGCCCAAACACAACCTCCTAGTAATTGTTTTTCCAATAACAACTTGAGTTACAAATTCATTACAACCTCTCGTATATGGGTATATATGGGTATAGAAATTTTCCCGGGCTTTCAAATGCACCAAAATATTTGATCACATCCGTCTTTAAAAAGAAATTTAAAAAAAAAAATGCCCTGAATATGCAAAAGAACAAAAACCAAAAAAAATAAAAAAAGGTAAAGCATGGTCATGTATTGCTGGCCCTTTAATTCATAGATTATATGTAAACTTGGAACATCAAAATCATGTACTTGCACCTTATTGTCTGAAAACTTTTTTCTTGTAGTGGTAAAAATGGGTCAATAACATTTACAACAAGGCTCGAACCAATTTTACAGTTTCAGCAAACTATGTGGAAACTCTCAGCACATCAGGCTCTACATGGTTCTTACAAGGTTACCCACCACAATTTTTCCAAGGACCATGCAATTGCAATTGGATTTTACCACCCATTAAGTTTGAAATGCTTTTGCAGCCTACTCTTCTTTAAAGAGCCCACTGTAAACGATATTTGAACTCTATCTAAACACATCGGCAGATGAATGTGCACAAGTGACTTCCGAAGTGCGAAATAATGTCAACAAGACCTCCGTAACCTCCTACTGCTGTAACCTGAACAAAACAATGGTTCAATGGGATGAGAAGTGAAAATAGAATTTGACAAGTGACGAAGTTAAAAACCTCTTTCAAGTTCTTTGTGTAATAACTTTAACCCATACCATGGTCCTCAGCATGCTCTTTCATTAATAATATTGTCATTAGCTTCTAAGTACATACATTTTCGTTTGCTCTAGCCACACGTATTGTTTATAGCAAGGATAGAAGCTACATATTCCTTTAAAAACATGATTTGGATCATTTGAGTTACTGGACCTACTTTGAAATACGTACTTTTCAAAATTTCAAATCAAAGGATAGTGCTGGTAACTTAGCACCTAGTGCTAAACCTAAAATATGAGCAAGTTGGTAAGACCAACATTCTTTAAAAGAAAAAAAAATCAAATATTATTGACAAAAAACAAAGGGAAAGAGAGATCAAGTTAAGCATACCCCAGATGCATGTAATGAGACGGAAAAGGCTGACTGAGGAGCACATTGCATTTGTGAAAGGATCGCCCCGTTTATGTCATAACGGCAAAGTAGAGGTTCTGCTCCAACTGCAAATACCTGGAAAGAGAACCAACAATAAACTTTAGGATATTGGTTTTCCTTTGTGCTTCCTTTCTACAAACTAGGTGTTTCTTTAGGAGTTAAACAGGCAACCCCATAGATATAATGTATTCTTCTACCAATTGCTCCCCATCAATAAAAACAAAAAATTTGACATACCAATTCCAGCCCCATTCCTCGGGATGAAGATTTAATAACAGTATCCTTATTTGCTGATATCTTAACAATGCATCTTATCCCGTTAAGAAGTTAGTTTACTAGTTTAATGAATTTAAAACAACCATAGTTATTGGTCCACACCCTTTTCTCTTGGAACTTAAAAGTTACTTCTTTTTTTAGTAACACTAGGTGCCTAACTAAGTTCAGTTACAGAGGGCGGTAAGGGGAGCTCACTTGATTTTCGTCGAATACTACATCCTGTACAGATGCACGAGTTGAAGTCCTTGAAATGCATTCAGAAGCAGGAAGATTCCAAACTGATAAACTCCGACCACTACCACAAGCCTACAGAAGAAAAACATTTAGTAAATCATAGCAGCAAGCAACTTCAACAGAGTGCAATGCAACGACATTCCCATCACATAAATGCTTACCAACCAGCTTTCACTTGCATCAAGAGCCATGCAACTTACGCAGGAAAAAAATCCTTTCAATTTAGTACCCTTTGCTGGCTCATACACTTGAACACACTTTCCACTTTTGCAATCTGGGTAAAACCATAAACACATGTTACTAAGAACAAGCCCAATGTGTCTGGACATTTAATACAATGAAGTGGTAGTCAAAGACAGGAACATACTAACTATGAAAGAAAACAATAACTTTGTTGATGGAAAATTATTCTTCTGAACTTTCTGCCACAATCCTTGAAAATTAAAAATGTTAGGTTTTTACCCCATATACGTGCTGTCCCATCCTCTGAACCTGTTATGATCTGATTGGTAGAGTTCCGGGCAACTATAGAATGCAAGTAGTCTGAGTGCCCCTTAAAAGTCATTTTGACTTGACCACTTTCCTGAAACATTTCCGATACAAATCATGCCGGGATCAGTGCGGCTAGGGAATTATGACAAGAACAATGTAACATAATGTACGGTAATACGTAAGTGCTTTTACACAAAAACTTCATTGCACAAGTGAAAGATTCACCTTGAACAAATACATACCACATCCCAGCAATAGACACAAGAATCACCAGCAGCAGAAAAAATGGATCCCCCCTATTGTGGTAAAAGAGATGTTAACACACTATTTTCCATGCTCATAAAAGAAGAAACTATATGACTAAAACAATAGCATACCTGATCATTAACGGCAAGAGCATTGTTTTCAGGGATTGGAGATAAAGCCCCCCAAGGACCTCTAAAAACACAGCAGTAAAATACAAGATATGTGAACTAAAGTAATGTCAGGGACTAATCATAGCCCGTGTTATAAGGCAGAAAGACAAATGTCCTTGTTTAGAAGATTCTTATTCAGGTTATGAAATTCAGGGGAATGAAATAGAGGACCCTGAGAGTCTTTTCTTTTCGGTGACTTACTTATGCTGCGGATTCACCAGGTCAAGTAGTGGCTTCACATGGTTTCCTACAAAAGCAGGAAGAAATAATGTGAATAATATAAATTTCCAGAATTAGAATCAAATTCAATTTTCATGAACCAAATCAACATACCAAATTAAAATAACAATGCAATGTTAGTGGACTAATTCTAATTCACATGGTATGGTAAGCTGTCAAAAACCTAAATCACCTTGCAAATGAATAGGCGCCTCTGCTTCTACACAATCCTTCCACTTCCATCCTCGAATCCGACCATCGTCACCACAACTAAGTGTAAAAATTCCGAGAAAATCAATTAGTGTAAATATGGCGAAATTAAGAAATAACTCAAAAAAGCTGATCAGAATAGTATAAGCGTATAATTGAACCTCAGCAAAACAGCATCCTCGCCATGGCCGTAAAACTTAACATCGTATGCAGGGCCTTCGTGAGCTTGAAGGAAGCAAGCGGGTTCAGCCATTAACGAGCTACAAATTAAATTAAAATTCCACCACATGTAAAACCAACATCAGCTGCTGTCAATAGTCAATACGACATCGTAGAGTTACACAAATACTTACTGTGGAGCTTTCGCATTGCTAAAACCCAGTGGCTGCAACAACCAAAAAAAGCCATAAATAAGTTTTAAACAAAATGAATATTGAAAATTGAGATTTGGAGGAAAATGAGGCACGTACGGGCTTGGATACGAGGGAGGGGATGGAGTATGAAGAAACCGATCCATCGCTGGAGGCGACGAGGATGGCTTCGGGGTTAGGGTTAAGGGATGGAGCCCAAACGGTTCGGAATACGGTTCGGGTTTGGATCTCCCTTTCCTTCAATATGGTTTCTCTGTATGATTCTTCGTCCCAGTTCCTTGCGTCCCCGCACATGGTGGTTTGGTTGTGGACGACTGGCCGTTGAGTTAAACTCTGTGAAATCTCTGAGCTTTCTCACTGACTCACTGAACGTTGGCTGCTGGAGCTGAAATCAAACATGGACTTGCCGGCTTGGCGCAAATAAAACACAATTGGGCTGGACAAGGAAGAATGCTTGTTAATGGGCCTTTCTCCTTGTAAATTTAGAGTGGGCCCTATGTGCTATAGGCCCGTGTCCTTCGGAAAGGTAGGCATTTATGCGTGACACCAAAGTTTCTCTTCTAATCTAAATTAAAGAGTATATTAATACGAGTTGAGAAATCTCAACCCAAACAATTTTAAAATTTCAAATGACTTATGTCTAATTCCTTCGCCAAAAAAAGAACTTGTAAAGTAAAACATTAAAATAATGTATAGCTCGCCTAATTCGCCCATATAAGATACATTATACGATAATGACTTATCGTATTTTTGTGTGTTTATATTGTTTTGCCTTCATGTTATATAAAATTATCGTACTTAAATATGTCTTGTTAACCTATGATGTTAAAACAAAAGTATAGAGATAAATGTGATTATCATGTTAAACATAAACTCATCCGTTAAAAACACATGTCATTATCATTTAAATTTGTTATCGACTCAACTCCAACCATATTGTGTTTTATTGTGTCGTATTAGTAGTGAAAACTTAAAGAAAACACAGGCATTATGATTCATGAAAGGGTTCTTGATATTCACCCAATAAAAAAGAATAAAAATTAAAATAATAAAATAAACAGAAGCAGAGGGCAGCAATTCGGGCGCATATGCTAAAAGTTCTCGTTGGTTAATACGCTCGGGAAGCCCATACAACACACGCACTCCTCGTATTCTCCCAACCCCAGCGGCATCTTCAAAGCCGCTTGCTTTTATCAAAAACCCTAGAGATTCTCATTCATCCCCGACAAACCCAAATCAAAATCAAGATCTATGAAGCTCTAATCAGAAGAATCTCAAGGTATCGCAAGCTCGTCTGCTTGGACTGTGAGTGTATTTCTAGCTCTCCGTCTTAAATTTCACAGATCTGTTAGCCTGCTGAATTGTGTTTTTATGATATTCAACACTTGTTCGTATGAAGTTTTATAATTATGGGTCGTTTTGAACCTAGGAAAAGGATTAGAAAAGAAAAAGCTTTGGGGTTTTCTGTGAAATTGTTGCATCAGGAAAAAAAAAAAAAAAAAAAAAAAAAAAAAAAAAACGGAGTGAACCGGTGTTGAACTTTGCTACTAAATTTCCCAGATTATCTAATGGGTTGTTTTTGTTTTGTTTTGCCTTAATTTGAATTGGTTGTTTTTGTGCTTCAGATAACAAATACTTTCATTTAGGAATCTGAGTCAATTAAGTAGTTGCAATGGGTGATAACAACAATTCTCCACCTGGGTCTCCTAAGGAGGCAGATCATGATTCTGATGCAAACCAACTTGTTAAGGATGATAGCTCACTGGAAACCATAGTCCGAAAGTTCCAAGATTCAATGTCAATTGGAAAAAGGCACGCATTTTGGGAAACTCAACCTGTTGGGCAATTTAAGGATCTTGGGGATGTCAGCTTGGCCGAGGGCCCGATTGAGCCCCCCACACCGTTGTCTGAGGTCAAACAAGAGCCTTACAATCTTCCGACTCAATATGAATGGACCACATGTGACCTGGACTCTGAAGGTACCTGCACTGAGGTCTACAATCTGTTGAAGAATAATTATGTTGAGGATGATGAGAACATGTTTCGATTCAATTACTCGAAGGAGTTTCTCAGGTGGGCTCTGCACCCTCCTGGTTATTTTAGGAGCTGGCATATTGGTGTTCGTGCAAAGACTAACAAAAAGCTGGTTGCTTTCATTACTGGTGTTCCTGCTAGAATCCGGGCCCGTAATGAGATAGTGAAAATGGCTGAGATTAATTTCTTATGTGTGCATAAGAAGCTTAGGTCGAAGAGACTTGCACCTGTTATGATCAAGGAGGTCACAAGGAGGGTTCATTTGGAGAATATATGGCAAGCAGCATACACAGCTGGAGTAGTTCTTCCAACTCCAATCACAACTTGCCAGTACTGGCATAGGTCTTTGAACCCAAAGAAGCTTATTGATGTTGGGTTTTCAAGGCTTGGTGCTAGGATGACTATGAGCCGAACAATAAAACTGTACAAGTTACCAGATTCACCAGCTACTCCTGGATTCAGGAAAATGGAACTTCGAGATGTCCCTGCTGTAACTCGGTTGCTTAGAAACTACTTGAGCCAGTTTGTGGTTGCACCAGATTTTGATGAAAATGATGTGGAGCATTGGCTTCTTCCTGAGGAGAACGTGGTGGACAGTTACTTGGTCGAGAGCCCAGAGACTCATGAGGTGACCGACTTCTGCAGCTTCTACACTCTTCCTTCGTCTATCCTCGGCAATCAGACCTACTCAATCTTGAAGGCTGCATACTCGTATTATAATGTATCCACAAAGACTCCACTGCTTCAGTTGATGAATGATGCTCTTATCGTAGCAAAACAGAAGGATTTTGACGTCTTCAATGCACTGGATGTCATGCAGAATGAGTCATTCTTGAAAGAGCTCAAGTTTGGACCTGGTGATGGGCAACTTCACTACTACCTCTATAATTATCGGATGAGGAATGCATTGAAACCCTCAGAGCTTGGGCTTGTACTGTTATAGTTTTTCCAGTCTTTGGTTTTGCACTGTGAACCGAGAAATTATTTCCGTTTCTGTTTTTCCCCCTATTTTGTGGCCAGCTAGCTGATGCTTTCATTTGTCTTGCTCCTTTGGATCAACAACAGAGAATGAGATGTTGGCAATTACATCTTAAACATTTTCCCTTATTTGATTCCTTTTGCCCCTTCAATTTCATAATCGTTTATGTTTCTGCAGTTCAGTTGCATAACGAAGCTGATGGCCTTAGGCTATTTTATTATTTTCACTTGGCGCTACAATGAGATGGAAGACCATATATAACCGATAACCAAATTCACTCATTTATGTTTAGCAAATTTTGGCAAACTCCTGGTCTGTTATCTCTGTCACGCAGGGGTAATTTGAAAATAAAAATAATTAACAAACAATTCCATCATTTAAAAACGAAATAAATTCGTCACTGTAAAGCTATAGTTTTATGATTAAATGAAAATATAAAATTACATAACTTAAAACCTGTATATAAACCGCGTGATCCTCAATAGACAGATAATTCAAAAACCATTCTCCATCAGCAGCCACCAGGTCCGGTCTGAAGAGGTGTAGTATAATAAACTATTATTATTAGGAAAATGAGCAAAAAAATTATTGGCTTGGTTGCACCTCAGGAGCGAATGGAAGTATAGCGAACTAAATTTACAAGTTCTAATCACAGGTGTCATCTTCCAATTGGATAAGACAGGGATTCATATCTCATGCCATCAGCAGAACTTCACCTTCTGAACCTGTCAAATTAGGAGGCATGTCAACATATAGTTAAAATGATGTGGAAAAGCAATGCAAAAGATAAGACAACAATTGGGAAGTTTGGGTGTTACATTTCTCAAGAATCTCTGCTGCCACCTGCAGCGTTGATTCTGCTTCTTCAGCCATCTCTGACAACCTTTCAAGCTCTTTCACTGCTTCTGCTGCCACAAACGATTTGTTTTCGGCATCAGCAATCTTGTAGGCAGCAGCCACTGCCGATTCCTCTATCGGATGGACGTCCTTTTGTTTCGGGGCTTTCGTCCTGTAGCAATTTTGAATCTGCATTTTGATGACATGGTAACTTAAATGAGTTGATATTCAATGTCGATTTCAGCTTGCAATGTAATCTGGCTAGCAACTAGCTACAATGTTAAGTTGCAATCAAGCATAAAAAAATAATTAAAAAAAGGTGCGCAGAAAAACATTGATTTAGCCATTTAAAATTGCTAGTTGCAAATAAACATACCATTGATAGAGCCAGATTAATACTGGGTTAGAAAACATACAATGATTAAATTTGGGCTGAAAAATATAAAACCAATCACCTTTTCAAGTTTCTCTTGGTGAACCAGCCTTCTCAACCTATTACTTAATGACCTTCTAAAATTTGGGGGGATTTCATTCCTTTGCTGCACAAATCATTTTCAATATCATGAAAATTGAGTAGTAATAAAAATTAAATTAATATTTACAAGGGTAATAAACATTCAATAACACCTCATGACAATGTAAAGGCAATAACAAGCAGGTAACATCATTAGAGACATCCAAAAACAATGTCAATAGGAAGCTTTTCTTTGTAAATTCTTTACAGAAAATCGCATTCTCACCATCAAAATAAGTAAAAGTAATCTATTTGAAGATCATTCTAATATAACGAGCTCGACTGGTATTGAAATACCAGCTTAGATTTAGGTATTATCAATCAAGTAGCTAATATGAGATAGAATAGATATGTTGGTCTTCTAACAAAATGCTATATTTTCAAGAAGTAAAATTAAGTCAAAGTTTTTTCAGCTCTAGCATATGGACACATGATGTACCATGATTAATTGAAACATGAATCTACAAGAGTTTATAAAGGATCAAAATATTATCATTTAACGACAATTTCTTTCCCTTCCAAGTACGAATATACAGCTTCCTCCATAGTAAACCCAGATATTTTTTGTTTCATTTTGTCAAGACAAGAAAGAAAGCATATATTTCAAGTGTACCTCAATAAAGCTAGCAATAGCACCAGAGTCCAATCCATTTGGCCCTGTTGAGGTAGAAAGTGCTTCAAAAATCATTGCATCATACCTAATAACAGAAGAAGATGATTGACCAAAATGAAATTGACTCGAAGAATAGGAGTAGCTATTGGAGTTACAGAAATTGATAAAATGAAATGGATAACAACTGTAGGCATATACGTAGAAATAAATCCTTCTATTCACTTTGTTACTTAATCCTAAGAGTTATATAATCTACAGATGTTATGTTTGCCGTGAGAGGCTTGAGAGTGTTAAAGCATAGGACTGTTGCTGTGCTGAAACTACAGCATCATAAAATATGATTCCAGGAAGAGAGCAAAGAAAGATCCGCCAACTAGGCTAATTGTTGCGTGTCACGCAACAATATTATAGTTCAGAATATAATAACACACTTCCATATCTTTCAATTAGTCGGGATATTTCTTCATGGGTGTTCTCGAAGAAACTATGCAATAGAACCATTCATTCTTATTGCAAGCAGGAGGAAGTATACGAGCTAAGAGGAAACAAAATATTTCTTTTATACCTGAAACTACTCCTTATTTTGTAGCATCTGCTTATATATGCATAGAGCAACACTATGTTTATAGAGATGAACTCAAATGATCGAATCCTTGTCAACTTAGTACGACTGTAATATTTACAAAGATGGCCACCTCACATCTAGTTATCAACTGAAGAGTCCTTAGCATCATCAACCATTCACTCCTTTCCTCTCCCCTTTATCCTGACTGACCTGACTGATTAGTCAGCTACCCCATCACCATTACTGTGCCAATTCATACAACTCTAAAGAGCTATTTCGTTCCACAATGTAACCATGTTTCTTCCACTCATCATTCCCCACACAGAAATTCAGCAAATTCCAGTCACAGTATAGTTCAGTGAAAATTTCATAGTGAAAGAGTACCATGTAACAACCTGCATATTTTTTTCTAATGTATTAATAAAAGACAACGGCAATGAGAAACAAATGTCATACGCTGGAGCAGTTTTTGCATCAGATAAGCCAGTTGAGGAATCATCTGCAACTGGAGCTGCTGGTGCATCGTGCCTGACTGGAGTTGCTGCTGGTGCATCGCGTCTGGCTGGAGTTGCTGCTGGTGCATCACGTCTGGCTGGAGTTACTGCTGGTGCATCGCGTCTGGCTGTAGCTGTAGCTGCTGCTGGTGCATCGCGTTTGGCTGAAGCAGCAGCAGAAGTTTGTGAAACGGACACTGAAGCAGCAGGAGCATCGGCGTTGGCTTTTCCTTTTGGCGCCCTTGACTTATCTCTGGGGTTCATGCCACTAACAGTCATATTCCTCCATTTGTCCTATACAAGGAAAACCCAAGTTGAACCACAGACCAGGCACACAGTAATTAACTGAAAAAATATATTGTTCCACTGTATTAGATGCAGTCTGCAAATAGTTCTGATATTAAGAAGCTTAATTCATTGAAATATAATTTAGGCTAGCGTGATTGCACACCATTCCAAACATGCTTTTCATACCCAAATACCATGTGAACAAAGATTGAAAATCAAGTGACTTAAGAGTGCCTCCCAACTTTGCAATAGGTGGGCTGTTTTGGAACCAAGTTGTAAATTAACAAACACTACGTTAGAAATAATCAAGTAGGCAGTAGCTCCAAAAATCTTTTGGTAGCTCTAAGTGATCCATGGGTTCACCATTTTAATCCAAAACTCCACAAGGGTAAGACTCAGCCACTCAAATTCATAGGTCTGATATGCCATCAGCATTGTAATCCACTTTAACATACCATAAAAACCAGACCATGTTTACATTCAATAACCTCTCATTTGACCCAAAAATAAAAATTAAAACAAACAAAAGTCATCATCACTTTTACAGCCTACAGCAACTTGCTTACCTCCCTTGAAAACAACCACCACAAAACACAGTAAACTCAAATTCCGGATTTTCCATGCGAACACGTGTATATATACACACAAATACAGATACATACGTATACGTATATAGATGAGGAGAGAAAAAGAGAGAGAGAGAGACCTTGAGATCAATATTGGAGCGAGAAGAGAGGAAGGGATTGAACTCAGGGTCTTTCTGGATGTCCTTCCACTTGCCAGTGCCATGCTTTTTCACGCCAGCTCTTAGAGCTTCTTCTTCCTCCGATGTCCATTTTTGCTTTGGATTTCCCATTTCTCTCTCTCCCTCCCTCCCTCTCTTTGCTTGTCTGTGTCTCTGTGTGTCACAGAATCTATGACTGCCGCGAAGAGACTTTGAGTGCTCTGCTTTTTCGTTCGGTTTGCTTACACAAAAACGAGGGTTCGTTTCGTGCCACTTTCTAACTGCATAATAATTTAACGATTTCAATGGCTGCCAAACGACGCCGTTGCATCCCTCTCCATTTTTTTAACTTTCGGCCCATGAAAATGGAGAGCCATGCCCACAAAACAAAAGTTTCAATAAGGCCACGTCCATGACTAAGGCAAAGGCTTTTAAATATACCATGAAATTTAAAAGCCCGCCCCACCCACTTTTTTATTTATTTATTTATTTTTAATTCTTCTTCTATTTACAAGAATTGATACATCAATATTAAATTTATGAATAATATAATATAATATATGAAAAAGGGGGACATGAACTAAAGAATTCTCAAGCGAGGCTAAACTCATATTCAAGCTCATCTCATTATGAGAGCTACCGCATAGGACAACTCTACGCAAGACTATCTCACATTAAAACCTATTGACTTTTAGGGACGACTTCTATTTTTTTATGTTTTAAGTATAATTTTTGAGATATTATGGAGTTTCAAACTAATGTTATCTTTTCAAAATGCAACATTGGTCCCATCAATTTAGCATAGTTATCAAATCTAATGGTGCGACATAGAAGTTTTGACCTTTTAAGTAGAAAATCAACTTAAGCACTTGAAAAACTCACTTCAACATTTGAGAGCACATATACCTATATAGATCATATGTGGTGTTTTTTTTGTCCCTTGTAATATGATTCGGATCTTTACTGCATTGCGCATGAGCTTGAACAAGATCGGAAAATGTTTACAATGTCGGAAGATGTTTGAAGATGTTAAGTTAATAAGTCATGATTAGATTAACATGAACAAATGGTTTACAATAAGTAGTTGAGAAATCATGATTAGACTTACAACAGTTTCATGAAAAGGGGAGCCATTCGTTTTACATGAGCAGTGTAGCCTACGCATACCCACACAAATTCAGACATTTCCAAAACGGCAGCGAAGAAAGGAACACAACTCGTCTTGATAAGGGAACTTTTTCCAAAGCGTGAGCTAATAGGAACTGCCCACGTGGCAGAATTCGGATGACTGTCTTAACGAGTAGCAAATTAAAAAGCACCATATAACTCCCTTCCCTATCTCTAACGTTCCAGAGAAACCCAGCGGTCAGTGACTCAGTGACAGGACTCGAAGCTCGCTCAGACTCAGAGAAGCTTTCGTTGATATTTGCACCCAGAAAAATCTACATTTCTGAAATACCATTTTGCTCTCTCTCTCAAAGACTCAAACTGTTTGAACCAAAATTGAGAATAAAACAGTCCCAATGCAAGGCTCTGAGGTGTGAACCGTTTGAGACGTAGAGGAAGAGAGAGAAGCCGGTCTCATGGACTGCGTTGCGGCAATGACGGTGTCGTTTTTCCCGACTTGGAGGTCGAAAAGAAGAGGGCTGACAAGTAAAAAGGCAGCTCCTTTCTTTGGCTACGGCTTGTACAAGAAGCATTCTCTGCAAGTGGAAGCAAGTGCCGGAAGTGGAGGGGGTGTGGGTGTGGCTGTCAAACAAGGCTTTGCGGATGAAGAAGATTATATAAAGGCTGGCGGGTCTGAGTTACTTTTCGTTCAAATGCAGCAGAACAAGGCCATGGAAGAGCAGTCCAAGCTCTCGGACAAGGTTAACTCTCTCTCTCTCTCTCTCTCTCTCTCTCTCTGCCTGTATGGTTTTTGTTAGTCTTTGTATTTGAGTATGCATGAACCCCAAAACCCAATTTCGTGATGCTGTTATTTATTAATTTGCAGCTACCGCCAATATCTGTAGGAGATAATATACTGGATTTGGTGGTGATTGGTTGTGGTCCAGCAGGTCTTGCTCTGGCTGCAGAGTCAGCCAAGTTAGGATTGAAAGTTGGGCTTATTGGCCCTGACCTCCCTTTTACAAATAACTATGGTGTTTGGGAGGATGAATTCAAAGGTATTTACTTTATTATCTGTCTTGTTAAGTGCATTATCAACTACCCAATTTAAAGCACTCCACCAAACTGTGATCACATTTTAAATTTGCTTCAATTTTTACATTTTCAGATCTTGGATTTGAAGGGTGTATTGAGCATGTTTGGCAGGACACCATTGTATATCTTGATGATGATTCTGACCCCATTCTGATTGGTCGTGCTTATGGACGCGTTTGTCGAACCAAACTACATGAGGAGCTTTTAAGAATGTAATTAGAACTCTATTCTACATTTGTAAATATTTTATGCTTGTATAATCGCACCTCAGAGATAGAGGGAAGATCCATGTCACACTGGTAATCAGCTGCCACTAACCAGTTACCTTGAAAACGGATGATTCTCTCGTCTTTGTCTAGTTCGTGAGCTGCTTTCTTAAGTGCTGACAAAACTGTAATTCTCTGTAGATTCATAATTCTATTAATTTTCTTAGGTGTGTGGAGTCAGGTGTTTCATACCTCAATTCAAGGGTGAAAAGTATTGTTGAAGCTAGCAATGGCCATAGTCTTGTAGCCTGTGACCGCGATATCATAGTTCCCTGCAGGTATGAGGGAATAATTCTTCAATGTAGATTATTGGTGATGATGTTCATGAAGACTATGTTTCTTTTTTTCTTTTTTCTTTTTGGATTCTACTTCTATCATACCTTGTTTCAAACTTCTAACATGGTATTATAGGCTTGCTACTGTTGCATCAGGAGCTGCCTCAGGGAAGCTTTTGCAATATGAGGTCGGTGGTCCAAAGGTGTCTGTTCAAACAGCTTATGGTGTGGAGGTTGAGGTAGGAACTATATTTGCAATCAGTAATAAATTAATGTTGTTGCTTAGGAAAAGAACAAAAAAGTAATATATAATACCCATTGTGGTTCTTTTGTATGCCAGAGTTTGTTGTTACTAGGTTTTGTTGCAATTCATATTTGCAATCAGTAATACATTAATGTTGTTGCTTAGGAAAAGAACTAAAAAGTAATATATAATACCCATTGTGGTTCTTTTGTATGCCAGAGTTTGTTGTTACTAGGTTTTGTTGCAATTCATAATATATCTTATATTGAATACACATCATCTTCCCCCCAACCCATAAAAAAATTTAAAAAAAATTGCTCTGTGCTCTGGGTTGACTAATTCCTGTTGGGCAGATAATTTGTGATGACTGACTACTGTGTCCATTCTGTCTTACAATTTCAGGTGGAAAACAATCCATACGATCCCAACCTAATGGTTTTCATGGACTACAGAGACTACACAAAGCAAAAAGTTTCATCTTTAGAAGCAGAATATCCAACATTTCTTTATGCCATGCCAATGTCTCCAACAAGATTGTTCTTTGAGGTTTGCTTGATGTACATCAGTTTGTCTGTTACAATACTTGATTCCTGTACAAAAAATTAAGAGAAAGTGATTTGCAGGAAACTTGCTTGGCTTCTAAAGAGGCCATGCCTTTTGATTTACTGAAGAAAAAGCTCTTGTCAAGGTTAAAGACAATGGGAATCCGTATTATAAAAACTTACGAAGAGGTAATTTTTATGACAGACTGCAATGCTTACCATTTTTTATATGTATTCTGAAAATATGTCCGAACAATGCTTCATGCCCATGCCATGTAGGGGAACAATCACTTGTTTATTTTGAAAGTTTCATCACAGTAATCAGGAGATTTTTCTAGCTTACTTTCATGTTTCAAGGCAAAATTTTGCTGCAATTTATGTAGGAATGGTCTTGGATTCCAGTTGGTGGGTCCTTACCAAATACTGAGCAAAAGAACCTAGCATTTGGTGCTGCCGCTTGTATGGTACATCCAGCCACAGGTAATATTTAAACCAAATAAATTAAGAAGAGCAGTTTCCCCAATTGTTCAGTCTACTGATGCCTATAATTTTACGGTCATCAAGCAGGGTATTCAGTTGTGAGGTCTTTGTCAGAGGCTCCAAAATATGCTTCCGTGATTGCAACTATTTTGAAGCCGGGTCATTATAAGGCCATTCCCGGCCGTCAAATAAATAATGAGAACATCTCGATGCAAGGTAAGTGTTGGTTTGGTTTGTTTAGAATAGCTACCTGCATCATACATTCCATAAGAATTAAAAACATAGATAATGAGTGTTTCAGACATTTCCATACTTTGAGAGATAACTATACTGTCATGAAATATTTTTTTCAAAAAGTTTGAAGGCTTGGTATCCTTTGGACCTCATTCTCGAAGTTTCAAGTTTAGCTTTTGAAAGATAATTAGCTTGAAGAGGAAGCTCGTCTCTCTCTTTCTACATGTTGTCACTTCTCTTACTGATTTTCTCCATAGTGTAGTTTACATAGTTTGTAAACTTGCAGTCACAGTCGGTGTTGTTTAGCTTATTTTCTATATTTTGTATGTATAAGAGGTAGATAAAATATTCCTCTAAGTCACATAAACAAAATAACTAAAATACTTTTTTGATAGGACTTGCAAGAATTATGCGTTGAGAGGTTTATATATGGTGTTGGCTCATTCCCCACTTAAAGTTTTATTTGCAAGGTGCAGGGTGGACTGGACCTGTGTGTTTCTCTCTGTGAACATCTATCTGTCTCTCCATTTTAAATTTATATAATTACAAATCATTTGAATAATTTCTTGCTTGCTTTAATGTTCCTGCTTAGCTAGCATACTACTCTTTAGTAAATTTCGTTCCAAAAACATTCATGTCGTTACTGGAATATGTCTTTAGAGTATCTTCTAATATTTAAGATCATTTGTAAAATGCATTACATTTGATTCAATATAACTTTTCCTTGCAGCATGGAACACCCTCTGGCCGCAAGAAAGGAAGCGCCAAAGAGCATTCTTTCTTTTTGGACTAGCACTTATTCTGCAACTGGACATTGAGGACATCAGGACATTCTTTCATACTTTCTTCCGCTTGCCCACCTGGTGTGATCAGTTTTCTATATCTTGTGCATAAGTTGAACTAAATCTTCAAATATATAGCTGTTTTAGTTCATGAACTAAGCTTGAACAGGTGCAACAAAAAAGATTGATGGTTGCGCTTCCATTTGCAGGATGTGGCAGGGTTTCCTTGGCTCCACTTTGTCCTCAGCTGATCTCATGCTTTTTGCCGTGTACATGTTTGTTATAGCACCAAATAATTTGAGAAAGGGCCTCATCAGACATCTACTTTCTGATCCTACTGGAGCCACTATGATAAGAACCTATCTCACCCTATAGCCCGTCTGTGCGCCCTTCAATTCCTTCTCTTAGCAGCCCTACATAAGAACATAGTTTAGAATTAATACACTAAGATCCCACCCCACTTTTGGAAGTCACTTGCCTTTTGTGTAAATAATACAAATACTCTTCCCTCTGCTACCATTTAGAAGATCAAAGATGTGATTAACAATTGTAGTAAATAAATGCGGTTTGATGTAGCATCATTCAATTATATGCTTGCCCACAAATTCAAGGACTTCACTCCTGTAATTATCAGTTTGTTTCTTGATTGTTTATATGCTAGCTCTTGTCCAACATCTTCCAATGACTAGAATTTCAAGAAACCAACGAGCAATTTCAATGCTAAAAGTGCTCTTTAGACTTTGGGTTGCCTTCGTCCAATTAATATGGTCAGGTTGTATTAAAATTAAGAGCATCAAATCTGGTAATTAACAATTGAAAGAATCAGCACTCAGGCCTTGAGGGTTAAAAAAGCATGACGTCGATCTCTCTACCCATGTTTTTGTAGTAATTTGTGGGCATCGAGCAATTTCAATGGTTCCTTGTAAAGTTAATTTTGTTTAACATAACACAACCATATACACTTTATGATGCTCCGTTGTGCGAAAAGTATTCCTTTCCGGTATCATATAATAATTTCTTGTATTTACAACTGGAAATATTAGCATCAAATTCTCTGTGTGTTCTAGATGAGGATTCGTAATTCGTAATTCGATAGATAAATTATAGAGTTGTCTCTGAATAGGGTTGCAAATCTTTGTTTAAATTAATCAAGCCCAGTAATTTGGAATATCTTTGGTAAATTTATTATGTAAGTTGATAACAATTATAGTCTACAGAACATGTAATTGGCAGACGTAGAACCTAAGGTAACTTTCAAGTAGTTGATCAAAGAATCCTTTGCATTTTTTGTCAAGCGATTGGCGGGGCACTTTCCAATGGACATGAATGGAACATTTTGAATACGATGGATTGATGCCCCAAATTAATCTTCTTATATAAATTAGCCCTTATGTTTTGCACATAACCATATTTTAGTCTGCAGCTTTCTTAAATTGCTTGCAGTAAGTTTGTAATTGAGCAAAAGTGAAGAAGCACACACATAGAAAGGTTTGCAAAGATTTGTAATTGAGCAAAAGTGAAGAAGCACACACATAGAAAGGTTTGCAAAGAAAGAAGGTGACAGAAGAAAGAGAGCACACATGGTTCTTTTCTTGCATGAACCGTCATGTTGGAAGCTATACGCGCTCTCTCTCTCTATCTGTCACCCTATCTCTCTCTTTCTCAACCGCATACATACAAGATAAATAGAACTATCTCAATTTAACTGTTTGCATCTTCTTCTTCTTCTTTGTACTGTTGCATGTTCTACTATTGTGGCAACATTATTGTTATTCCATAAAATGCATGTAAATTAACATCCAAATATTAATTGGACTTCGGATTGTACCACTAATCAGGCTCCTTTTGTCATCCAAAAAAAGGATATGTTAATCCCGATTATATGTGATCACTTATAAGTTATAACTATACATGTTAAGTAATTTAATGGTCAACGGGACATTGACTTGCAGATCAGTAGTCTCAGGTTTGAATCCTCATGCCATATTGACAATGTGCGCGTGAGACAACTCCCTCTCTAATATCGCTTATATCAATATAGTTTCTTAGCTGTGAAAATTAATTTGAACACGTAAAATTAAGTTTACAACTTGTTTGGTACTTCTATTTACCATTAGAGCATTTCCAGCAAGGGGCCTGGGGGGGGGGGGGGGGGGGGGGGGGGGGGGGGGGAAAATGGAAATGTGTTCCAGCAACACAAATCTGCCAGGGCAAGGTGTGGGCCCCAGCAAAAAAAATTTGCTTGGGCTAGCCCTTGGGGAGGTCCAGCCCGAGTAACAAAACTCGTTTTGGGCTGACGTCAACGCAGCTGTTTAAATTTTTTTAACGTTAGCGCGTGCAACGCACGCGCCAACCTTAAAAAAAAATTGACGCGCCCACTACAGTGACCCGCCAACGGGTCTATTTCACGTGGCGCCCACACGAGCTGTCCGATCAACTTTATTCCAAATCCAACGGCAGCCATTTTTCGCGAATAAAAAAATGAAAAAAAAAATCAAAACTCGCACCTCTCTTCCACATGGCGATGCTCTGGGCACTCCGATTAAGTTCTTCCAGCAATCCAACGGCAACTGTTAATTCTGCCCCAAAAAAAATGAAAAAAAATCGAAAAAAATTTGAAAAAATACCCAAAAAATACTGATTTTTTTTCCTATAAATACCAACAAATACTCTTCACTTTTAACACCAACTCTTCATACATTTTCTTCTCATTCTACCATTATTCACTTTGTAGTCAATATTTTTTTCACTTTGAAGTTGAATTTTTCTAGAAAAATTTATGGGTTCTTCTAGTGAAACCGAAGGGGCATGGAGTGTCATGGAAGACGTTAGCTTATGTGAGTCTTGGCTCCACATTAGTCATTGTCCCGTAACGGGTAATGAGATGAAATTATGTCATATGTGGAAAAAAATTCATCAGGATTTTTGTGAAAGGGTAATTGGTTCGACCCGGACAGATTAGGCACTATCTAGTAGGTGGAAAATTCTTAACAAAGAGTTGGCGAAATGGATGGATGCCTTGGCAAAGGCGATGGACAACCATAGAAGCGGGGAAAACCTTACCAGTGAGGTAAATTATTTGTAATTTTTGTTTTATTAATTTCTATGTCATATTAAAGTTTATTTAAATATTTCTTGTAATTTATATATTTTGTTAATATTTCTTGTATTTCCAATATTAATATGAATGTTTGTTGCAAAATTTAAATTTTTTTTTCATTTCTAATAAATTGTTAAGGTTTCTTGTATTTCCATTATTATTTTTTTATACTTGTTGCATTGCCAATAATTTTTAAAATTTCTTGCATTTTCATTTTTTTTTATAGACTATACAAGCACAAATGTTTTTTGGTGCTACTGGGCAAGGAAAAAAAAGCTTCAACCATACCCATTGTTGGGAGGTGGTGAAGAATTGTAAGAAATTCCAAATTATTCCAATGGGTCCGACGGTAGTCTTGAACGAGACGCCACTCTATGAGACACCGACATCGGATTCACCGATGGATTTCCCGATGAGTCAAGACTCACCTATCGAAAAGGAACCGAGGTCTATTGGGAGGAAGGCGGCGAAGGCGAAGAGAGAGAGTAATTCTACCCGTTCTGATACACGGTATTATTGACTTGATATGTGATATTTGGGCATTCACCTCTCAAAATATCATTGAACACCGGGGATTGACCTAGGACGTTCAAATCATTTTGAGAGCCGGCAACTCCAAAGAAGGCGTGCCAAACCCAAGTATCAAAACCAGCAACTGCTTCGAGGATGATGCTTTTCTGCCCTTTCCGATTACCATAATCCCCTTGCCAAGCAGATGGACAATTTTTCCATTGCCAGTGCATGCAGTCAATGCTACCAATCATTCCAAGAAATCCACGCGACTCAGCTTTTTGTAGAAGTCGTTGCAGGTCCCTGGGCGTAGGTCTGCGCAGGTAGTCCATGGTGTACAGATTTTCCACTACATCACAAAATCGCACCAAGCTCTCCAAAATAGTGGACTTCCCCATCCGGGCAATCTCATCCACCTGATCAGCAGATGACCCATACGCTAACATTCGTATCACAGCTGTGAACTTTTGCCCGGGAAGCAGCCCCAAATCTCCAGCACAATTTTTCTTTTGAACAAAGTAGTCATCATAATTGCAAATATCATGCATGACTTTATTGAACAAATGGGGTTGCATTCTATATCTTGCTCGAAAATGAACATCAGAGTACAGAGATTGTGGGATAAATAATCTTCCAGAAGATTCTTACCCCGAGAATGTCTATGTATGTCCACATTCGATGCCCGGCCTTCTCGTGAACCACGACGGCTCTGGTTTTCTTCCTCCATCAAAGCAACGGCCACACCAAGTTGCTCATCTAATTCTCTCTGCGCCCTTTTGCTTGCAGCTCTTTTGCGCATTCTTGCTCGCCTTTCTCGCTCTTGCCTATCCAAAACATCTTCCATGTCTGACATTGAGAATGGAGAATGAAATCTAAAATCTGAGAAATGAAATCTAAAATATGAGAAATGAAGATGCAGAGAAGATATAGTGTAGGAGGTATGAGCTGAGCCTCTGGTTTTATAGAAAAATTTAGACAGATAGAGATGACACGTAGCGCAATTTTAGTGGATGAAAATCTTATCTGAAATTTGAAATTCAAATGAAATTTGGAATTGGAAATTTATCTGGAATTTGAATTTCGAAATGTATCTGAAATTCAAATTTTGAATTTATCTAAAATTTGAATTTTGAAATGTATCTGAAATTTGAAACCGAAAATCTTATCCGATATGAATAATATTGACACGTAGGGAATCCAAAAATCTTATCAGAAAATATTATCCAAATTAATTGTTTAAATAAACAGAGTTGTGAAAAAAACAAAAAAATGAATAATATTTGCCATGGCAAGGGGCTAACTGCTGGAAACACACATTTGCTGGGGGAGCTAGGGCAGCCACTATTCACGTGAATAGTAACTGTCCTAGGGCTCCCCTTGCCATGGCGAGGGGCTAACTGGTGGAAGTGCTCTTATACCACACATAATAATCAATCACTCGTTGTTCACGTGATCATTGCGTGTTAGGCAAATCCCAAAGGATCTCAGCTAGGGCTATACCCCTTCAATTATTCACCATAAACAATCAAGATTATAATTACTTCACAATAATTGATCATCACCCCGCCGAAAGCTACTTGCTACACTATAAGCTCAATTACATATATCTCAGCTCTTATCACAGACAGTGGCCGTGTTCATTCAAACAAACATGGACAACAAAGACAATCAGAAGCTTCACATCGCCATGTTTCCGTGGCTAGCCTATGGCCACATAATGCCATTTCTCGAAGTCTCCAAGTTCTTAGCTCAAAAGGGTCACCGAGTCTCCTTCATCTCCACCCCCAAAAACATCCAGCGCCTCCCCAAATCATCCCTATCTCCTCTCATAACTTTTGTCGAGCTTCCTCTGCCGGCCATTGAAGGCTTGCCACAATCCACAGAGTCCACCTCCGAGCTACCAATTCACAAAGTCCCTTACCTCAAAAAAGCCTACGACTTGCTCCAGCCTCCACTCGCGCATTTCCTCCAACACTCGGACGTCAACTGGGTCATCCACGACTTCATTTGCCATTGGCTACCCCGAGTCACGACTCAGCTCGGAATCAACTCGGTTTACTTCAACATCTCCAATGCCACTTCATTGGCTTTCTTTGGCCCTCCCTCTGAGCTACGCGGAGGTCAACGCCAGCGGCCGGAGGAATTCACGGTTGTGCCGAAATGGGTTGACTTTCCTTCTAATGTTGCTTTTAAGCTCCATGAGATGGTCAGCCACTGGGACTGCATGGACGATGAGGTCTCCGATTTTCAGAGGCTCGCGGATGCGATTCAATATTGTGACTTGGTGACCATGAGGAGCTCTCACGAGTTCGAATCCGACTCAGTGAGTTTACTCAGGAAACTGTACGGTAAACCCGTTGTTCCACTCGGGTTGTTGTCACCCAGCTCAGTGCCATGTCAGCACGGTGGCGCTGATGATCAGGTGGATGAGAAGTGGGAAGTGTTGAGAGAGTGGCTCGACAATAAGAAAGAGAAATCAGTGATTTACATCGCACTCGGTACTGAGGTGACTCTGAGTCAAGAGTTGATGCACGAGTTAGCTCATGGGATAGAGAAATCCGGGTTGCCTTTTATTTGGGTGATCAACAATCGCCCATTAGTGGAAGGCATGTTGGGTGCGGATATTATTCCTCCCGGGTTTCAAACCCGGGTGAATAACCGCGGTTTGGTGTGGAGGGGTTGGGCCCCTCAACTTAAGATGTTGGGTCACCCGTCTATTGGGGGTTTCTTAACTCACTGTGGTTGGAGTTCGGTTATTGAGGCACTCGGGTTTGGAAGGGTGCTTATTTTGTTTTCCGGGGCAAATTCGGATCAAGGGTTGATTGCGAGATTGTTGCACGGGAAACAGGTCGGGTTGGAGATACCGAGAGACGAGCAAGATGGGTCATTTACGAGTGACTCAGTGGCTGAATGGACTCGCCGAGTGATGGTTGACAAAGAAGGTGAGTCACTCAGGTCAAATGCATGGGCCATGAAGGAGATTTTTGGCAACAAAGAGCTGAACAACAAGTGCTTGGACGAGTTCACTCGGTTCCTTGAGACATGGCCAGCTTCAACCTAATCACTCTGCACAATCAATGCCTTGGGGCCTCTTGTCACAAATTGTGCTTAAGATGCTTGCCTTTTATTTATTTCGTTTTTCTTCTTTGTCCACAATAATAAAGGCATTGCAGTTGGGTGTGGTCATATGATCATCCAAAGAAAAAAGTTGTGGTTTATATTAATTTCCCAGACAGCTGAATCTTTGTGAAAATAACTTGTTGAATGTCGTTTCTTCATCTTGATTTTTTCTTGAGTGCTAAGCATGATTGCAAACAGCCAGATTAGTGCAGATATTTCTTCACAAAATATCACGTGCAATAATTTGGTAACAAATTTAAGATTTTTTTCGAATCAAGTAGTCCTTTCTCACATTTCTGACCATAATGGCAGAAGGCCCTATGACAAAAATAAACCAGTCCTAAGGGATTTATCACCCTATGAGGCATTTTAAACTTTGTCCTAGACTAATAAAATGACTTGCAATAATTGGTAACTGATGAGGTTTTTATCAAATAAAGTCTTGTACCTATTAATTTTACCATATATTTTTAGAATTAAAATAATTTTAAAAAATGCTTTGATCCTCGTTTTCACCTTGAATATGTACTTAAACATAGAATTAAATCGGTAGATGGTTAAGAAATGTCATAACTGATCCAATTAGATCCAGCATAATCAGAAAACCCTAACCGCTCTTTCCCTCTGTGAGTCCTAAAGGAAAATTCCACAGAGGGGGGAGAAGGAAGAAGCGTCACTGTCCCTCTTCCCCCTCCTCTATTCTCGTCTTTTCCTTTTAGGTTAGTGAATAAGTTCACTGGAGCATTTTGAATAAAAAAAGCCTCTTGTGATAGCTTTTTCTAAGCCATGGTTAGATTGAAGTTCCCAATCATCCTTTTTAGTCTATGTTCTTAGTCAAATTTTACTCCCAAAACCCGCTCCCCGACGCTGTTCATGTTCTTTAAATTTGATTCTACATCATCTTTGACGGATGTTGCTGCAAATCACCCAATTGTTCTTTGGAAAAGTTATTGTTTTCGATTATTTGTTCGCTCTTATGTGCAGGTAGATCGTTGGAAATCATATTTTCCTCAGATCTGTTACGAATGCAGTGGTGGGTGTGACCACAACGGCGCTTCTTCAAGTGGTGGTGATAGGGTTCGTTTAGGCTCATTGGTTGATTTAGGATTTTGGTTATTTTGGTTTTATGGGTTTTGTTTGGACTTATGGCTAATTGTGGTGATGTGAGCTAGTAGTTTTAATGCAATTTTTGTCCGCGTTAGTTTTTCTTTTAGAATTTTAGTTTGTTGCCCTCTTAAGATTAGTATTTTAGATGTCTTGTTGATGTTTTTTATTGTACCGTTGAAGTTTATCTAATGAAATTTCTATTTGATTTTATTAAAAAAAACATAGAATTAAATCGCCTCAGTTGGTTGAGCTCTTCACTTCCACCCATGCGGGGAGATGTTTGAAACGAAACCCAATGAATATTTGTGTAAACCCTTCTCCCCCAATCACTTATACTTTTAAAATAATAATAATAATAACAGAATTAACTGTAGACCTGGGGCAGCCCAGTTGGTTTTCACACTTAAATTTGAATCCCCCTCCTTTTAAATTAGACTATCATTTGTATGAAGAAGAAAAATAATAAAAGTAAACTGAACTTTTCTTGGACGTTAGGTGTAAAGAGCAAATTATATGGTGCATTTAGTGGATCCACCTATTTCATTGCCGCATGGGTGCAGCCCAATCTTGTCTAAGGCCCAATTCCAATATTCCTCATATTTAAATGGAAAGCCCAATAGAAGTCAACCATACGATACGACTGCTATTTTAGTCAACGCTCCAAACTTCGGGGCTTCTCTTTTTAATGGCGAAATTGGCAATGAAGAAGCTGAGGCTGCTGGCAGTGCTCTGGTCTGGTGACGATGACGTCAGTGGCGGTGGCGGTTAAGGGCGGCGGGAGCTCAGGAAGCCGGCGCGCTGTGAAGTGGGCTGTGGAGAATCTCATGCCCAAAGCTGATCGCTTCGTCTTAGTTCACGTCATCCCCAAAATCACTTCCATTCCAACTCCATGTATATATATTCTTTCTCTGCTCTGCTTTGTTTAGTTGGTGCATAAAATAGTAGGGAAGTAAAAATTATGATTTTGGATTTGTCTTCTCTTTTCTTTTTAGTTTTCTCGAGAATCGAACAGAAGCTGCTTTCTCTGCACGTTTTTTCGAGAAGCTAAGCTGAAATGGACAGAACCCATTAATGAGCAAGATACCAAACTAAAAAATTTATGAAATTTCTTAGCCATTGGAATGTACATTTAATCTCCATGGCCAAACAGAGCATAAGTGTCTCTCTTGTGAGTTACTTACTGATGTTTTGGGTGTTGGTGTTGTGGTTTCGGCAGCAGGAGATCACATCCCTGTCACAGAGCTGGATGCGAAGTTGGTGGCAACGTATGTGAAGGACATGAAAGAAAAGTTTGAGGAAGCTTTTGATCCATTTAAGAACAAATGCAAAACTAAAAAGGTGAGTTTGTTTTTTTGGTCTTCTGTATGAATTTAGCTATCTTCTGTTCAAATTTACAGTCTCAAAAGCCTAGAATGTGTGTTCATAGCTCATTATAAGTTATAACTTTTGTAGGTGGAAACATTGGTGTTAGAAGATGATGATCCTGCAACTGGGCTTCTAAGGTTCATATCCGAGTCGTGGATCAATTGTTTGGTGTTGGGTTCTTGCTCTTCAAATTACATAACCAGGTATGGGCCCAAAACTACTCATTTAATCTCCCATTATAACTTGTTACAACTTTTCTGTTGGGTAATCTTTTTAGATGAAATTACTTTTTTCGGCGGTGTTACTGTGAATTTGTAGCTACTACTTTATACATGGATCCAATTGTCATTTCTTTTCTTGCTCTTTTTTATTTTTATATATCATGTCTTGGATTAGATTGTGGCATTTTTCTAAAACATTTAAAAAGGCTAAGTTTCCCATGATAACTTGTTTAGGAAACTGAAGGGACCAGGGGTATCGCAAATTGTTCTTAGATGTGCTCCTCACACTTGTGATGTTTATGTCATTTCCAGACACAGAATCATCAAAAATTCAGATGGTTCCTCATCTGCTATTGGTATGTTACAAGTGAGTTTTTTAGTTGATACATATGTGATGTCCTTAATTGTTTATTTTCTCACATCAGAGACAAGCTCAGCTAGCTGGATGTCTACTCAAGGAGACCATAAGAGAGGTTCAAGTGATATCAGTGAACATATATCCGGTGTTCGTTCTTTCCGTGTGGAATCCACAGCTCATGAAGCTTATGGAGCATCTCCAATGTCAGACCTTAGTTACCTAAGTTCTGAAGCATTTACGCGTATGGGCTTTTCAGAAAATGCTAGTGTAGATCAGGAAACGAATCATCATAACTTGGGAGATAAGCTGGCAACTAGTTCTTTTCATCATCAAAGTTCCTCAGTTTCTTCAAACACTGGGCAGGTAAATTCCACTGAACATTTTTCTCAACTGCTGAATTCTGCTTTTAGAATTTTACAGATATACCTATCATCCTTAGATGATGCTTGGGTGAGTTTTTGAGTTTTGTTATGAACTTTTGTTGTTTAGTCATATATGCAGATGGAGGTAGAACAGTTGCGTCTGGAATTGCAGAATACTATTTCCATGTACAAACGAGCATGTGAAGAGCTGGTCCATGCCCAGAGCAAGGTGAGACGTTGATTATGAAGTGTTCTGCCAACATGTAAAAGTCAAGCAAATGGAAACAAATATTTCATTACTAACAGGATTTGTTCTCACTAAGTCTGAAAAGGCAAGTTTAATTTTTGACGTCTAAGTTGGCATTTTTCTTTTGCATGTTTTACTGATTGATCTCCCATATCGTCATTCTTGTTTATATTATCAGGTGCAATTACTTTCTTCTGAGTGCCTTGATGAAGCAAGAAGAGTGGGTGCTGCCCTTGAAAGTGAGGAAACTTTGAGAAAAATTGCTGCTGAAGAGAAAGAAAAGCATTTGAAAGCCATGAAGGAGATTGAGGAGGCCAAAGTTTTGCTTGCTAAAGAGGCTTATGAGAGGCAAATTGCCGAGCTGAATGCTATGAAAGAGTCCTCAGAGAAAAAGAAATTAGTAGATGCACTTTTCTCAAGGGACCGAAGGTACAGGAGATACAGTAGGAATGAAATAGAGGTAGCAACAAGTTTCTTCTCTGAGGCTAATGTGATTGGCGAAGGAGGATATGGAAAAGTTTACAAATGCAGTCTTGATCACACCCCGGTAGCTGTTAAGGTTCTTCGACCTGATGCAGTCAATAAGAGAGAGGAGTTTCTGAAAGAGGTATTTATGTTTTACACATAGTTGAGAACTGGTCAGTTAATTTGTTATGGTTGTTTCATGAACCTATTTAATTGTATTGGTCTAACGTTAGCGTCTTCCTGTAAATCATGAACAAAATATTGCTGCCAAATATCCTGAGATCAGACTTGTTCTCTGCCAATTTTTCTTCAGGTCGAAATTCTTAGTCAGCTACACCATCCGAACATAGTTTTGCTGCTTGGAGCCTGTCCTGAGATCGGTTGCCTGGTCTATGAATACTTGGAAAATGGTAGCTTGGAAGATTATATCTCCCAACGGAATGGAAAACCGTCACTCCCTTGGACTGTTCGGTTCCACATAGTTTTTGAAATAGCTTGCGGGCTTGCATTCTTACACAGCTCCAAGGTGGAGCCTATTGTGCATCGAGATCTAAAACCGGGTAATATCTTACTAGACAGAAACTACATGAGCAAAATCGGGGATGTTGGGCTGGCTAAACTCATTTCAAACGTCGTCCCTGACAGCATCACTGAGTACAGAGAATCAATTCTTGCCGGGACACTCTTTTACATGGATCCGGAGTATCAGAGAACTGGCACAGTTCGTCCCAAATCAGATTTGTATGCTTTTGGGGTTATAATCCTCCAAGTATTGACAGCTCGCCATCCAAACCGGCTTATATTTATTGCAGAAAATGCAATGGCAAATGGCTCATTTGCAGACATTTTGGATGACTCTGTCACAGATTGGCCTCTTGCTGAAGCAAAGGAGTTGGCTCGAGTTGCGCTAAGATGTTCACAACTTAGATGCAGAGACAGACCAGATCTTGAAACTGAAGTTCTTCCAGTGCTCAAAAGACTGGTTGGTCTTGCAGATTCAAGTTTGAAGATTGACAGAAATCATGTCGATGCACCAAGCCACTACTTTTGTCCAATCCTTCAGGTAAAGCACTTGTTGGGCTTGCAGAGTTTACTTTCTATTTGAATTTTTGCATGCATCTCATATCTTGCTTATCTCCACCATGCAGGAAATAATGGAAGATCCACACATTGCTGCAGATGGTTTTACGTATGAGTTTAGAGCAATCAAAGCATGGCTTGAGAAGCACAATGTGTCCCCAGTGACAAGGCTTAGACTTGAGCATTCTGTGTTAACTCCAAATCATACGTTACGTTCAGCTATACAGGAATGGAGGACACATGTGACATACCCAAGTACCTAAGTGGAAAGGCCATGGACTTGTGCACCACTTCTTGCGAGCTTTTCAAACCAGAAACTACAAAATCTGGATTGAATTTGTGTTCACTTTCTTGAAAATGTGCAGATGAAACCGAGCATTCGAAATCCTTGTACAAAACCATCAAGCAACTGTAAAAACCATCAAATTTACTCCAATTTCATATATGTTATTTTAATTGAGACATCAAAATCAGCAACAAAAAATAACTGAAATGTGAACCCAAAAAAAATAACCCTGTGAATGAATTGGGGAAAAAAAAAAGTTAGGCGTTTTAAAAATTGGTTTTTAAGAACAATGAAACATTCCAATTTGATTGGGATATTACCAATTTGCCAACCATCAAATTTTCCTCACTATTTATGTTTTTTTTTATTAATAAAATTTATGTTAGGAAATAAATATAGTGGAAGCCTGGAAGCATGCAAGGTAACTTTTCTTTTTTAAATTTATATTTTATATTTTCCACCTAAAAAAACTATTTTAAAAAAATTGGCTAGCCTATTTGACACAAAATTAGAGTATCTACAATCATGCTTTCCATTTTTTTAGTTATTTAGCTAAAAACATACAAAAGCTATTTTAGAAATTCTCTAAAATTTGAACTCCAATCATACTCCCTGGTTTAAGGAGTCATACAATTACTCGTTATAGTAAAGGCAATTACACCAGTAGCAACAATCTCTGTTTTAAATGTATAATTATCTGCACAAACTCTATAATTGCTATTCGCTCCTAAACATTATGGAACCATGAAAGCATTAATGTCCCAAATTATGCTATGGATGTTGCAGCACTCAAGCTTCAGCTATCAACTTGTGTAAATTCCAGAGCGTTTGCATCCGGGTCTCGTGTAAAAATAGCTGGCCTCCCAGACTTGCTAAGCGTGTAGGGAATACCTGCAGTAGCAAATCGCAATGTAAGCTGCCCGGATTCCTCTTGAAAATCAACATCTGTTTGAGATATGATCATATATGAAATAACAACATCAGATGAGAAAATTAACACTTGCCAGCTTTGTCAAGGATTGCTTTCAGCTTAGCCACATCTCGGATTGCAATACAAGTATGACGATCGCGGCCTCCATGCTCAGGTCTTCCAGTTAAGGGATCAGGATTGGGAAGCTCCATAAGATGAATCATCTCAGAACCAACCCATAACCAAGCACCTCTATAGGGAAGCTTGTCATGAGGCCTAGCCTCATTTATCTCAAGACCTGTTTTTATCAAAGCATTGTTTTTCAATCCCAAAGTTTTATACAGTCATGTACTTTTACAATGTATAATATATAAAAGGAGCAATACCAAGAAGATTCTGATAAAAGCTGAGCGACCTTTCCAGGTTTTCACACAGTAATCCAACATGGTGGACACTAACAACTCCAAAATCTGCATCAGTATCAGCATATAAACCAAGTAAGATTTCATGCCAGAGAGAAACAGAGAAGGTATATGTACTATCAAAGAGAATCTAGTCTGCCATGGCCAACAGGCAACAAATCAAGCTTTTGGTTCCTTTTTTGCTCTTAATATTCCATAACATGGGGCATCTTTTCAACATCTCTCACAAACAAAAGTTCTTGAACCACAAACAACCATTAAAAATTATGTTTATTTCCAAACTTTTTTTTTTCTCTCAGCTGAAATTTTCATGACCCGACTTAGCAAGCAAATCGTGGTAATCAAATGAAGTGATTAAAGAATAAGAGAGTCACCATTTTTGTCCTGAACACTGACTGATTGTTTCTCAAGCACATCTCCTTCAACGGTCATCTTCGATTTTGTCACAAAACACCGCCCATGACGTCTAGAATTTCTCAGACCAGTCTGGTCAATTTTGGATGATGGGTTCGTAATTGCAGGGCTGACCCTCATGCGATCTTCCTGCAATCAACAAATGGACCGACCCAAAATAAGAAAAGCAAAACAAAATTATAATGTTAAGAAAATTAAATCGAAATATCGGTGCTTGGAGGCTGAAGACACAGCGGGAAATGATAAAATTACCTTGAGTTGCAGAGTAGCAGTGGGGGGTGTGATGAGAAGGGAAGCCATGGAAGAGCAGCTGCTCATCTGGGTTTTTGTCTGTTTGTTCTTTGTTGTGTTATTTGTGAACCTCGAATCGCAAATTCACGCTGGTTGGTTGGCCTCTGACCAGTCCGTACACTTCCTGGCTCGCCATGTTTTGCAGATATAATATAATAATGATAAAGAAATTTAAAATCCTCAGAAAAAACATGAGCCATTGCTTCGCGTTTTGGGCGACTATGCAATATTCAAAAAGATTTGGTGGAGATGTATCAAATTATTTCTCACACATTTACCCGCCAAAATAAATTGTTTTTTCACATATGGTAACAGACGAGGTTACTTGTGAGAGTTAAAGATTTTGTTGTATTTGTAGTTTAAGCGCTTAGGCGTATGGTGTTCTCTGCCTGATCTTTCTAGGCTTACGGTATTGTTTACCATATTCTCTCTGGCCATGTGTGGTTATGATGGGAGTTTCATTGTTGATGCCATTGCCAATGAACTCCCCTTTATATGGATAACTTTTTGTGGTTACTGTGTTTCCGCATTTGTATCAACCCTAAATGAGTCTTCGTATCTGTTCTTGTACTGCCTTTTATGGCTAATGGCCTTGTGCCTAATTTATTTTAAAAAAAATTATAATGAAATTGTGTTTTTTACACATTTACCTGCGAAAACTATCTAATGAATTCTTACTTTTTGCCCAAACAACAGATTTATTTTAAGCACAATGACAAGTTCAACTACAAAAATGCTATACCATTATAAAAAAATATAAAAAAAAACTTTAAAAAAATGCTGAAGTGGCAAGTTTATGAACTTGATAGTATGTGTATAATATAATATGAAAATAGGAGTCTAACCCTACGACAATGTAAGCAACAAAAACCATAATTTCTTTTGTTGGTCAAAACAAAAAAACAATAATTTTCTTTTTTTGACATTAATGAAAAAAACTTTCATGTCACACTCCTTCGTCATTTACAATTTAACTCTAATATATATAATCATTTGTAAATCATACATATCACATAAACACAATAAATTTAAAATATGAAAAAACACGCGCACACTAACACATATACAATAATGTTGCCAAGATAGAGTAAGATCACAAATCTTCTTGAGGCAGTTTAGGTCTACTTCTTGTGTTTGACTCACTCTTAAGCTAAACTTGCTATGGATCATTGGATTGTATTGATTATCATGTATGGGTTTAGGAGGCACCATGGCTCCCCTTCTCCAAAATGATGTTCATGCTTCTATTGATTAATTTTGAATAACATTGCATTGACTATTGAAAATATTAATAATAACAACAAGAATTGCCTTTTTTCAACCACTTGATCAAATATGTATGAAGACTAATATGTATAGAAATGAGTTGACATGCAAGTCAAGTTAATAAAACAATATGAGGGGATGACCACCAAAGAAGTCATCCTTGGAAAAAAAAATAAGACAAATTGAAAATCATTAAGATATCTAATTGCAACCAATAAAATCAATGAACACGGTACTTCAAAAAAGTAATTAAATTTCAATAATTTAATTGTGTGGTTACGATTTATATTAATGAAATACAAGGCGGAGTATATCCTATAAGAATGTCCTTCAAATAAGCTTATTTGAGGAATACCTCAACGGAAGCTCTCTGAATATATATATATATATATTCATGTTTTATTTGATTTCCTAATATGAGCAATTAAATTATTTGGATATTTGTTTTAATTTTGGATTTGGATTGCGATGTTTATGTCAATATGTGGAATGTCAAACAATTTCTATTGCAAGTGTGATTCACAGCGCTGGTCTTCAAATTTGTACGTATATAATTAGGTAACTATCAATCAATAAATTTCAAAATGAAAACGTTGACCACTAATTTGCGGGTCAATGGGAAGCGATGGACCATTTTAAAACAAATGAAGTCAATATTACTATAAAAGCTAAGAAAGAAAAACATGTGCTGCACGAGGAAATAAATTTACATGGTTAGAAACTTAGAACACAGTAATTGTCATTTTTGTGTGTGGGTATTTTAGTAATTGTAAATTTACCAAAATCTAATGGGATCATCTTAGGAAAAGGGATTTAGCCTAGTGAAAATGGTCTTAATTTGCAGATCAGAGATCTCAGGTTTGAACACCTATGACATCAGTTATGTGTGTGTGTGTGTGAGAAACCCCCTCATCTCTAGTTTATACTATCACTTGTACTAATGGGATCAGCTTAAATAAAAGGAAAAGTGAGATGAGTGGTAGAGTTTCATTAAAAAGGATCAAAAATCCATTTTAGTATTTATTTGAGATCTTGTTTTAGATTGTTCACATAGCACAATAATAGAACACATAATTAAAAAGAATAATGCCACTTTTATCACATTTGTATACCACATTCTCATATCACTTTATGTGGCAGATGAAGTGGACAACAACATCAATTAAAAAGTATTAATAAATCATAAAAGAAAAGAAAATGTTAAATTAATTTTAATTGATGTGAATGTCCACCTCATCCGCCACAAAAAATTGTATGAAAATGTAGTACACAAATGTGATAAGAGTAGCATTAAATGCTAACAATGATTACACATGAAAACATAAAAAATAATAATAATAATAATAAGTAAAAAAGTAAAAAAGGCAGCATAGATTTATCTACAATTACGATAGTTGCACTTTTTGCCCCCTGATTTTTAATCAGGACACCGTTTTTAGAGAACAACTATGCTTGGGAGAGTTAGGTGTGCAAGTCCCGTTGTTTTGGTGGATGTTAATATCAATAAAATCATAATTATTTTTAGTTAGAATTAATTTGGATCATCTATATTTTTTATTTCCTTGTAAATTTTGTAGTATCTTTCTTAATTTAGAAGATTTTGGATTTTGTGTGTTAATAATAAATAAGGGGTGATCCTTGGAGCTTAGCATCACTCTCTATAATTTCTATAATCCCACGTCTCTCATCCCTTCTACAATCATCATATTCACTTTTCTACTTCTCTCGAATTTATATTTTTTACTTGCCAAAGAAATGTGTTTCTTTTGTGCAGACGAGTGTTAGTTATACAACATTTCAGTTGGGTTATATCATGGAAGGGGCAAGTCAATACATCACTAATGCAACAGTTTGTGGGCTTGGCCAAACTGCAGTTGGCTCGAATTACCTTGAAGAGAGTGAGATATTCGGTGCCTCCTAATTGTCTACATACTTATTGGAATAGGAAATAATTATTTGATTCTTTTAATTGTAATTTTCTACCCAAGAAACACTCTTAGAGCCGTTTTTACTTTAAGTGGGAAGGAAGTTACTATTTTTCATCCCTTCTCCTCTTCCTCCACTTTCAGAGACAGAAGGTTTCCTCTATTTTGTCTTCATTTTGTTATGTTTTTCCTATAACCATCAGAGATGGCTATGTTTCGGCGTCAAATCTCTACATGCATTTTGATGTCGGATCTCTACCACCATCCATTTTGCGATTTCTTTATGTTTAGAATAAGTTACAGAGACTTGTTGGATGCTCTGTGTGGTTTTCACCACTCATTTTGTGAGAGATTTTCACATATCCTTTGTGAAAGCTTTTAATCTCTCCCTAATAAGAGCTTTATTTGTATTGTTATAACTTGGTTTTTTCAAGTTTTATCTTCTTCTTTTTTATTCTGAGGTTGCAATCTTAGTTGAAATGCATATGCCAGAGTTTCTTCGATCCTGGGTGATTGTTAGTGGAGCCACACTATATTGTCTTAATTTTGATGTTAGATTGCTCTGTTGTTATAATGGTCATTTGTGGCTAGATTTTGTTTTTAAAAAAATATGACGGTTGCATGTTTAAAATACAAACCATCTATGAAATTCTATAAATACCTCAATAATTTATATGAAAAGTACTCCAACGGTTTGGTTTAAACTTTTTATGGCTCGAATTCGAATGGTTTAGTTTCAAATAGTTTTTGGCACGAAATATTTACATTTACGTGATACCTCATAACTTGCAAATAATTACATGTATTGAGAATTTACTTCTAAGGTTTCTAACGGTTTTACTAGTGAAGAAGTGAAACATGATGCTTTCTGAAATGACAATTTAAGCGTGTCTAAAACGGAAAATAATGAATCTTAGTGGGGGTCTTTTTTATATATATTTACTAACAAAAGTTGTTTAGCAATTGAGTACAAGCAAAGTCACTATTTCACTTATTCTCCACTTTTTTGTTTTTTTTGCTCTTTCCTTCCTCCTTCCCTCTGTCCCTAAAAACGAAGCTTCTCCCCTCCTCCCTCTCCCCTCCCTTAATATTCCCAACGTTTATACAAAAAACCATCAAACCCCAAGATCCCACCGCGTAAATTCTCTCAACTCTCCATACCAATCCAAAAAAAGTCAAGTCTCCGTCAAAGCCCCCCCACGCCGCGTTCACATCTGCGTACACGCTTCCTAAAACCCCCCTCCTCTCCTCCCACAAATATATAAATATGACCAGAGTCCAACCAAGCTCTCCATCATCATCTCCAGTTCATATCCAAACTCGGAATTCAAGTTCACACAGACATTTCTTCAAACGCTTTCACACCAATCCAAAGCCTTTCATGGAAATCAAATCGTTCCCATTTCTTAGTCAAGAAGATTACTCCCATTTCTACACTCTGTTCCCTGACATGGACGATTTCGACATAAGTGGAGAGGGTGGCTTGAAGAAGCGGAGAAGAAAGGAGGACGACAGCAACAACAACAATGGCCCAATGAGCGACATACTCACCACGCTGATTTTGCTGGATGAGGAAGAGAAGCAGGAGCAAGAAGAGTTCTTTGTTCAAACCCAGCAGGAAAAATCGATCCTTGAAGCCAATCACAGGCAGAAGACTCGAGCTATGAATGAGTACTTGTCTGATCTTCAACAGAACCATGCTCAATCTGACGAATTGGACCAGTCTCGCGCGAAACGGACTCACCAATCGGCATTTGCGGCGGCTGCGGTGGCTGCCGAGACTGCGAATTCGGGTGCGGGTTCGGAGCCGGGATCGGC